GCTCTTCATCGGGATGTCTACAAAATTTCATGGCGAATTACTATCCCAGATTCCAAACATAATGAAATATCCATTCAGAATGACAATTTGGCAGACTATTTTGTTTTGCCGTATATAATTTTGAAACATCCGACGGGACAGTGACGAAATGATCCAGACAGACCTACAAAAAAAAGCATTCAACAACATGCACAACTCCCACGCTATATAAAACCAAAAAAGAAAGCAAAGAGCTGATACCGAGTAACAGTAGAGGTAATTAGCAATAACAACATATGAGTAGGAATAAGGGCTAAGAAAGCAAAAGATGTTGGGCCAAAGGTAGTGGGACTTTTTTTTTTGAAGGGGGGAGGGGGGGATTTTTTCAAAAGCGCACATGTCTATGTAAAGGAGAGTGGGAGCAGCTCTACCACACTCCTATCACCGTGGATTCCGCAGCGTGTCCAGAATGCTGTTTCATGCAATGGATTCATCCTGGCCCTTCACGGCCAAAGCTATGTCTCTTGACCCAGCCTCATTGAGTCTGGCAGGGGTAAGTGTGGCTTTGGCCTTGAGAGCAGCGCGGATATCCTCCACACTGCGATCCTTCCACATGTTAACACTGCTCTTGCTAAGTGGGTAGAGAACATAGTTATGCTCGCGGTTGATGAAGTCGTCTGCCTTAGCTGGTGGAGTGGAGGTGATGATATCAAGGTCAGCCGCCAGTTGTTGGCAGAAGACATCAAGGGGAAGATCATTGACGTCATCACCGAAGGGGTTTTCGATTTCGGCACAGATGGAGGCAATGCCGTGGATGATGTAGGTGGCAGCTATTATACATTAGTATGGAGATGAAGGATCAAGAGAGGTCGGGAACACTTACCGATAGTTCCAGGGATGGCAACCCATTCAAGTTTGTTGACGAGCTGGAAGGGTAGGGCGAGAACGTAGAGCCAAGTGATTTGAGAGATCAAGATGGTGTATGCCAATGGAAGGGGAGTATTAAGCACACGCTCGTTGCCGGTCATAACTTCTTCCATGGCATTGAGACATGCACCAGCTTGCGACTGATGCACGGGCATGGGAATCGAACCGTTTATTAACGACTCGTGGATATAAGCGGACAGGTAGTTGAGGATCTCGGCTGGTAAGTTTCCTAGAGGCTTATCGGAGCGCTTGATTTGCTTGCGTGGGTTTGACATGGCCATTGGAATACTCAAGTACTGGCCAAGAGCCTTCATCATGCCTGGCTTCTTCCCTGATGCAAAATCTGGGTCGTGAGCAGCTTTGGCAAAGGTATCAAGGTGATCAATAAGGCCGGAGATATCCTCATAGCCGCTACCAGGCTCGAAACGCAGTTTATGCTTGAGGGCAACAGCGAAAGCCACGATAAGGTTTATTCCAGTCCTAAAGAATTGTCAGTAAATCAACAAGAGCTAAAATGACATAACTGTTGATGGAACTCACAGTTTCGAAATGATATCCTCCTTTCCTTCTTCACCTTCGCGCTCGGTCTTATGAATCCAGATGATACGGGCCAAAGTGCGGGAATTTTGCATCAGAGATGCCCAGTACTTGCGACCTTCACCATAACTAAAAGTGAACAAATAGTGAACAAATATTAGCCTGATCACAGCCTAGCATGAAGTTACCAGGGTCCATCATACCGTTCATAAGCAGTTGAACTTCGGAGGGAGAGAGCAAGACCGACGACGAAACCGAGAACAGTAAGAAGAGTTGAATCAATGCCGACTGGAAGGTGTTAGACTACGTTGCTCTTCATGTATTCGTCTGATACATGGAGGTTCAACATACGAGGGACACCACCCAGGCGAGTTACACATGTAATGAGAGTTGACCAGCAAGTCATTAATAGCAGTGGGATAATCATTCGTGGCATGACACTGCCATGAACCCGAAGGAATAGGGGCCATTTCGAATGCCTATCGAGGTTTCTAGGTCCTTTCTACAAGTTCGACACAGTTAGCCGAACGTCCATTTTTACCGCCAGGGCGGGAAAACGGAGGAAGAATAAAAGGGCCACTGACGAAATAGTCGTTTATGTCAATGGTGTTTCTCTTGGAGAGCATTTGCTGGGGTAGCTTGAGGTCTGAGGCAGCTGCTGCACCACTGATATATGTAGGTCTAGGGGTGATCTTCGAAGGAGTGGATTGACCGGTCTTTGGCGGTTCACACTTGGTCTCCATGCTGGATGTTTTGCTCTGAGCTCGAAGATTCTGGGGGTGAGGAGCCGGCTCCTGGTTGTAGGAAATCTCGTCACTCATATCAACAATTAACGGACGGAGTACGAGATGGATTGGAGAGATGCAGGGTAGATTTGATAAGGGATAGACAACGGTATATAATGTTCAGAAAAAAGAAGGACAAAACGCTCGTAAACGAAAGAGTGAAGATCTATCGCAATAAACAAAAAGAGATAGCAAACGGGAAGACACGAAGAGAAAAAAAAAGGAGAGAGTGGAAGGATCAATTCAAGTAATATTTTCTGGATCCCCTGAAGGCCTGGAATGAATGGCGATGGTCCACCGAAGGGCGCTAACAAGCAGAAGGTTGCTTGTCCCCTGTCAAGACGGTGGAAGAAGGTGAAACAACACGTTGCAGGCGTCACAAAATGCCTCGGGCCCTGCCGCACATGCAGTTAGCCCCCAAGCAGCCTGATTCACCATTTTTCATCTCTCCCTTGCCTGGCTATCGTTGGAAATCGTGGCGATCAGTATATGGCGAGTGGGTTGTCTGGCGGAAGATGCTGTGCAAAGTGTCTCTGTTGGTAATCCATCGAAAGTACCTATAAATAGAGTAAATTAAGGATAATTAACTCCGCCGGCCCGTTCAGGCAACCTTATGTTTTGGCCGGAGACAGAGCGCATAGCCTCTGCTACCTTGATATCACTGACAATCGCGAGGCATGTTGGAAAAGAAAAAGGAAAGCGAAAAAAGTGAAGTTCAAATCCTTCCCCTTATCTTCGGCCATCCGGAGCCTCCCATAAGTATGAACGTAAAAAGTCGTCGTTTAGTCGTTTAGTCGAGCGTTAGTCCAAGCCGAGCGTTGACGTTTTGTCATCAACGACATGGTTCATCGACCATGCCTTGGATGTGTCAGAGGGTTCGAGCGGTGCTTATGCAGGCCGAAGGATTGCAAGGGATTTAAAGAAAGAAGAAAAGAGCCAGCAAGCCAGAGAGAGGCTAAGACGTTTTGACCAGGAAGGCTGACGTCTTGATTCGCTGCCAGGCCCATGGGGACCAGCCCCTGCTTCAAGGCTGGAGATGCGACAAGCCTGAGGACCTAACCAGTTAAAAGGAGCCAGGCATGTGGCAGAAGAAAATCCGACAAGATATTTCACCAGCGATCAACGCCTCAGCGTTCTGTTTAGTGGTGACATTTAGCGACTTTGTGGACCTGGGGAAGATGTATGTGCTCGATGTCCCATCTTGCATCTATGTTATTATTAGTGAAAGATTTATGGCTCCTGCTGCTGAGGCAGTCGAACGAACCTTTCTTCATCCTGCTCATAAAATAAACATGAACACGTCGATCTCTTAGCATTCATTCTCGTGCTTGTTGTATTGGATGCCAGCCAACTAGCTAAGCCTGACTGCAGTGCAGAACAGCCAGAGAGAGAGAGAGAGAGAGAGAGAACAAGAAAGGGGGAGTCAGAAAACGAGGACCGGCGCCTCTGATACCCGCTGAACCGAATCACTGCCCAACACTGACATCACCACGAGATCCCCTCTCTGACCCGACTCTAGGCCTTCTTACTGGTGTCAAAGGGCGTGTACTATGCACATAACCTGACCCGTACGGCGTAATACCCCATTTTTCGTGTATATTGATGGAGTCAAGCATCACTCCAAGCACCGCTCCAAGCATCCAAGCACCGAAGAGCCGACGAGACACTAACGCTGTCGAACCCGCCCGCTAGACCACCGTTGCAACGCCTTCGGTCTGGCCGCTGTTTTCGAAGCTTCCAACACGTACTTACTAGTTGCCACCAGGGTATCCAGACGTCCTAGATACCACTCCTGTCTCCCTCATGTCTCTTCTTAGATACCATCATCTCAGGTACCATCATAGATGAATGTCGTTGTCTTTCCTGTCGTCGTTTCGAACGTCGTCTAACTTCTTGGAAGTCGCGACCTCCTTCCCTCCTTTCCCTTTTCGGTAACTCCGACGCCGGGCCGGTCCCTGCTGATATAAGCATTCTTATCTTATCATGGCGGGAAGTTTCCTCCACATCGGGACTAGCGCCTGGCCCCTGATTGGGCGGCTTGGCCGAAGAAAAGCCGGAAACCTCGTCATGCGGGGGGAAGCTAGACAGCTCAACAAGAACAACATCAACAACAAAAAGGAAAACACCAGCTTGAATAGCCGGCGCTTGTCTCTGGTCTTGCCCCAGACTTATTTTAATTAAAGCTCGCCCTCACCCGCTGCCGGGTGACTCTGCCATTCTTTGCATTTCCGAGCTCTTCTTTCCTTCAGCGTGTGTCTGCGATGGCTTCCATTCTACGCTCCAGGGCCGGCGTCAGGGCTGCTGCTCAGGTCAGATGCTTCAGCTCGACTCCTAGACATGCCGCTGCCTCTGCTTTCTTCACCAACGAGCCGGCTGGTCCGACTGTAAAGACTGCCATCCCGGGACCAAAGAGCAAGGAGGCCATCTCCCAGCTTGACCGCGTCTTCGATACTAGGAGCTTGAATATGCTGGTTGACTACCAAAAGTCCACCGGAAATTAGTACGCTATAGCTCTCTCAATTGCACTGTTTACGGGTCAAGTGGACGGAATTACTGACAGACACACTTGGTGTAGCATTGCGGACTTGGACGGAAACGTCTTGCTTGATGTGTACGTGTTTCTCTTGTTGGGCGGAGATACCCTTAATGTTCCGGCTAACTGACGGGTCCTGCAGGTTTGCCCAGATTGCTTCTATCCCAGTGGGATATAACAACCCAGCATTGCTTGCTGCCACCAAGACCACCGACATGGCCAGTGCCCTCATCAATCGCCCAGCACTCGGCAACTTCCCCTCTCACAACTGGGCAAGCATCCTCGAGTCTGGTCTCTTGCGAGTTGCCCCCAAGGGTCTTGACCAGGTGTTTACCTCTACTACTGGCTCTGATGCCAATGAGACTGCCTACAAGGCTGCTTTCATGTACTATGCTCAGCGTCAGCGTGGTGGTCCTGATGTAGAATTTTCCTCCGAGGACATCTCTTCCACTATGGTAAACCAAGCTCCTGGCTCCCCCAACTACTCTATCATGTCATTCACTTCCGCATTCCACGGCCGTCTCTTCGGCTCCCTCTCCACCACCCGCAGCAAGGCCATCCACAAGCTTGATATCCCGGCCTTTGACTGGCCCCGTGCTCCTTTCCCACAGCTCAAGTACCCACTCGATCAATTCGCTGCTGAGAATGCCGCAGAGGAGAAACGCTGCCTTGAGGAAGTCGAGAGACTGATCAAGGAGTTCCACAACCCTGTCACCGCCGTTGTTGTTGAACCAGTCCAGTCTGAGGGTGGAGACAACCACGCCTCCGCAGCCTTCTTCCAGGGTCTCCGCGAAATCACCAAGCGCAACAACGTCCTCTTGATTGTCGACGAAGTTCAGACTGGTGTCGGTGCAACTGGTAAATTCTGGGCTCACGAGCACTGGAACCTATCCACCCCACCAGACATTGTCACCTTCTCCAAAAAGGCACAGGCCGCCGGTTACTACTTCGGCAACCCAGCTCTGAGGCCTAACAAGCCATACAGACAGTTCAATACTTGGATGGGTGACCCAGCTCGTGCTCTCATCTTCCGTGCCATCATCGAGGAGATTGAGCGTCTTGATCTAGTCAGACACACCGCACAGACAGGAGACTATCTCTTCGCTGGCCTTGAGCGCCTGGCCGAGAAGTACCCTGGACAATTCAACAGCCTACGTGGAAAGGGACAAGGCACCTTCATCTCATGGGACAGCCCTCAGCGCGATGCCGTGCTAAAGCGCGGTAAGGAGGTTGGCATCAACATTGGTGGATGCGGCGAGTCGGCCGTTAGGTTGAGACCCATGTTGGTCTTCCAGAAGCACCATGCTGACATTCTTCTCGAATCTCTCGAGAAAATTGTCAAGTCATAAAGAGTGCCGTATTATTGCTTTAATTGTTATGTTTCGTATCTTTCTTCTGTTTTTTCGTGTGCAAATTGCACGTTTGGGTCAATTCAGGGAGAAATACAATCCCTAGCTTAGCTTTAGAGATGTTTCACGAGCCTAATATGAACTTCCAGCAAACGTCTTACTTGCTGCAGTATATAAACTTGCTTTTTTCTCCCGATGAGCTTCTGTTCTATGATTTATTCTATTACGTAGTAGAAGTCCCAGAAAAATATGTCTGAACACAAAAGGCACTATAAACGCCTTCGCCTTGCTACCAGCCAGTAAACCAAATGATAGCACCGAACCCCTTGAACAAAACCCATGAGCTAGTGTGTATAAATCACTTTAACCATCGTTATCGGCGGCACTCCCATCCCTCCTAAAAATACCAGTTAGTCTCAGATTTTTTTTTTTTCAAGCATACAGTCTTATCACATACGGAATATAGGTTATTCCCGCATCTTCCAAGTCACTCAATACCTCAGGCGGTAGCTATAATCCATCCCAATTAGCACATCTGCTAGAAATGCAACGGGAGAGTAATTTCCACACTCACCGACCCCACAACCTTCACGGCATATGTTCCAGGAACATACCCGTCCAGTCTCTGCCAACGAGCTACCCATGAAGCGCGCTCGTCAGCCAAGGCAACCAATCCTTCAAAGACCTGCGAGGTACAATCTTGTATCGCTTCAGAGTTTCCGCGGAGGTTCAGCACGGCTTCGCAGTTTGGGCAGCCTTCATTCATGAATTTCTATGAGATACTCGTTAGCTGTGTGTTCTGGGAGCTAGGTATGAGAGGAAGCTGGGGGGACCGAGGTACGTTGTGTAGCTGGACAATAGAGCAAACCATGCATGCGCGCAAAGAGCGCTGCTGGTTGGCTGAGACGTAGAAGGATCCGGATGCCATCTTATAAGTGTCGACTGCTGACCTCTTCTTCGTCCTCTCGTCCTGACTTTTGTCTTCCGTCGAATGTTCATCATCTCCGTCATTATCAAAGTTTAGGCAATTGATGACTAACCGTATTCCTTATTACGTGATTATGCTTATTAACAGGGCCAAAGCTTATCTTTCCCCGGTTGCCGGTTGACTTTTTTTTGTCTTCGTGAACTTCTCGACCTTTCGACATCGCACTCGCTCGCCTTCTGGATGTGCAGTTTTGATTCCGGCCGTGCGATATAGAGCAGGACGATAGCGATACCGCCTTTTCCTTTTGTTGTTCAACCCAGTCAAGTACTGTCACCCACGTATCTGCACATTTATCTACAGAAACCCCACATTCGTCCCGCTACAAATCACTTTAGCCCCATGTCTCAATCCGACATTGAGGCTGCTACAGCCCTCAAACTGCAAGGCAACAAGTGCTTTGCGCAGCAGAACTGGCCTGCGGCTCTAGATCTTTATACACAGGCTATCGAGCTGTATGATAAAGAGCCGTCGTTCTACTGTAACAGAGCCCAGGTATATATCTCACTTACCGGTTGTATTATGTAGCAAATCACGTAGACAGTGATCTCATACGGTTTTTAGGTCCAGCAAGTTAACTCTTACTTTTCCCCCTCTAGGTACATGTTAAGTTGGAAGCCTTTGGATTCGCAATTGCGGATGCTACCAAGGCTATTGAACTAGACCCTTCATATGTCAAGGTATACAGAAGGAAACCCTTGTTCGGACCGTAGTACTGCGTAACGCCTTCGGCCTGCTAACCAGAGACCAGGCATACTGGCGTAGAGCTGTCGCCAACACCGCTATTCTCAATTCCCGCGCTGCCCTTAAAGACTTCAAGACCGTTGTGAAAAAGGCCCCCAACGACCGTGATGCGAAGCTCAAGCTAGCAGAGTGCGAGAAGCTCGTGCGGCGGATTGAATTTGAGAAAGCTATTGAAGTTGCCGATCCACCATCAGCATTTGAGGGACTCAATATTGAATCAATGGTCGTGGATGATAGCTATGACGGTGTACGATTGGAGGATAAAATGACACAGGAGTTCATTGATGACATGATAAAACGATTCAAGAATGGAAAGCAGATACATAAAAAGTATGCGTTCCAGATAGTGAAAGCTGTGCGGGATATCGTATACAATGAACCTACTATGGTTGAAATTGGCGTTGAAGAAGGCTCCAAATTAACTGTTTGTGGAGACACCCATGGTAAGCTTAAATTCTACCCCCTTAACGACGCTTTCACAACACTTTTCTGTTAACAATTTGCCAACAGGCCAATTCTTTGACCTTCTTGAAATATTCCGCCTTAATGGTTTCCCCTCTGATACCCACTCCTATCTCTTTAATGGTGATTTTGTTGATCGTGGTAGCTGGTCTTGCGAAATCGCCCTCCTTCTTTACGCCTACAAATGGATGCGCCCTAAATCTTTCTTCCTTAATCGTGGAAATCACGAAACCGATGATATGAACCGCGCTTATGGCTTTGAAGGAGAATGCAAAGCTAAATACTCCGAGCGTCTGTTCAAGGTTTTCTCTGAATCCTTCAGTGCACTTGCTCTTGCAACACTGATAGGACAAAAGTACCTAGTACTTCACGGCGGCTTATTCTCCGATGATAACATTTCCTTGGCGGATATCAGAGCCCTGAACAGGCATAACCAGCGCCAGCCAGGCCAATCCGGTCTGATGATGGAAATGCTCTGGACCGATCCTCAGACTCTACCAGGCAGAGGACCGAGCAAGAGAGGCGTCGGTATGCAGTTTGGTCCAGACGTCACCAAGCGGTTTTGCGAAAAGAATGGCCTTGAGGCTATCATTCGAAGCCATGAAGTGCGTATGGAGGGCTATGAAGTTGAACATGATGGAAGATGTATCACCGGTGAGTCTAATTTCTTTTGTATGCGCTAGAGAGGCTTTGCTAATTATTGTGACAGTCTTCTCTGCTCCTAAATACTGTGATAGCACAGAAAATAAGGGTGCATATATCAACATTGGCCCTGAACTTAAGCTCGATTTCCACAAATTCGACGCTGTCCCACATCCTAACATCAAACCAATGGTACGTTTACCTTTCAGTGGCTTATGACTTCTAGTTCTTACTAACCTCACTTCCAGGCTTACGCCAGCAACTCCATCATGTCCCTGATGTAGTTAAGTTTACAAGCCGAATTGCCACCACAATCCATTAGGGACGTAGATCCCATACAATATGACGGTAGCGTGGGTAAAGGGGCTGGTTATACTCCATTTGACTGGCCACGTATCCGTGCCTTTAAGGTCGAATTATAGACCTTAGGATTACCACCACTCTTCCTACCAATAGGCATTGCCCGCACCACCGTGGGTCATTTTACCCGAATCGCACTTCATTTCCCCGAATCTCCGATTGACGAACCTCGTACCCCTTATGATTTCACCATACGGTAGTGCACAGGCCCTTTTGTAAAAGAATCCGAAGTACATTGGGGATGCAATCTGTAACAAAAGAATGCCTTGGGTTAGCTATCTTCCTGTAGCTATTTTGTTGAAACTTACATTGGCACCCTGGAAGTCTTCATTTGTACCGCTGATAGCGTCTATTTTTTAGATCTACCTAATGCTTTTTTTTTTCACCTATCCTTTAAGTTAGTTAGGTACCTGTTTGATAACATCTTATCTCCGGGATAATTCCGCGTGCGTGGGGTGTTACCTAAGTTTAACTAGCTTTGGTGGGACATCAAACATCGCAAGTACCTTTGGTCGAGCTCACTCAACTGCATACTTCTAACCCCAACACCGTGTACCAACTTTGAAGATGGAATTTGATACCAAAACCCGTAAGCGCCCTCTAATGAACACCAATTCAACCCTTCTCCCAAGGCCTGCGCGACCCGGCCTAACCATTAAAGCCCTCTACTTGTGTTTGCGGGGTTGTCAAGCCGTAGATGCCGAAGCTAACACCTCCGCCGAATATTAGCTCCCGTCTGCACATCAGATAAGGAGACATTCGCATACATCTCCGCTTTAGAAAGATGGCCTGTTATTTTAGTGAGATATTCCTGATCTACTACCCTGCAAGCGCCTAACTTGATGGGCTAATTGAGCGTTGTTCCTAGACTGGCGCCATCGACGACCTTCACCGTTCAGTCATCAAGGCAACAGATGAAGAGAAGCAGAAAGAGGGGAAGGAAATACTCCATGAACTAGCTGCATTGAAGTACGAACTTCAACATGGCCGGAAATTGACGTTAGTTGACTCTGGTTTCTTCTACAATACAACTTTGATAGATGAGAGATGCTAACTCTTGATCTAATCTACAGCCCCCTCGCCGACGACGGAGAGTCAGATATTACCATCTATAACAAGGAACTCGCAGATCGTGGAGAACTCTCATGGTTCGACGCTCCATGGTTATTTGCGGAATGCTACTTATGTTCGTGGAAGCTCCAAATTCCTTGCACTGTTCAGCATCACCAACTAATAGTAAAACACAACTGAAAAGACCGTCGGATGAGCACCCATTTTGCCCTTTCTAAGCATTGGAAAGAATATGATGTCTTTGCACAGCAAAAGATGTCAACTTTTAGATCTTCTAGACCCGCTGTGCTTGAATTAGCTACTCGGTACAAGGATTTATCCCAAGATCTCAAGCAGATACATTCAAAGAGGGATGATATGACCCCTGAGCAACATCAGGAGGCTGATAAGGTGCTATTCACAGAGATGTGTGAAATTTGTCTGTGGGGAAATGCTACGGATCTCTCACTCTTGACGTCTCTTACGTATGAGGACATCCAAAAGCTTCAAGGTGCAGAAGCCCGAAAGAAGGCCGAGGCCAATGTTCTGGTGAACGATCTTCCAGCCGCATTTGAACTTTTAAACAAGGCCCGAACGGAACGCAAAAATGAAGAGCGTCGAGTAGACATCGTTCTGGACAATGCAGGTTTCGAGCTCTTCGTTGACCTCATCCTAGCAGGCTATCTTCTCTCTTCGGGATTGGCAACATGTGTTGTCCTTCATCCCAAATCAATTCCATGGTTTGTGTCTGATGTTCTGCCACGGGATTTTGGAGACCTGATTGCCCTTCTTTCTGATCCGCAGAGCTTCTTCAGCAGCACTGGAGAAGAATCTGGGGAGGAAAAGAAACCACAGCCTCTCACAGACAAGGAAGTAGATGAGTTGAAGTATCTATTCCAGCAATGGGGTGATTTCCATGCGGAAGGGCAGTTGATTATTAGACCGAACCGATTCTGGACAACAGCGTCAAGCTATTGGCGGCTACCACATGAGGCTCCTAGTCTCTATGAAGATCTAAAAGAAAGTGAATTAGTCATCTTCAAGGGAGACCTGAACTATCGAAAGTTGACAGCAGATGTAAGTCTACTTTCCCATTTCTACGTCTCAAGTGTATGACTGGATACGAATATTAATTTTATTGTCTAGGCTCACTGGGACCCAACTACTCCCTTTGACACGGCAATTGGACCACTTGGCCAAGGTTCAGGGGTTAGGGTTCTCGCTCTCCGCACTTGTAAGGCTGACGTTGTCGTTGGTCTCGAGAAAGGTGAAGATGAGCGCTTGCGTAACATGCCAAATGGGGGAGGTGACTCTGGTTCTCGGAAATGGGCCTGGAGCGGGAAATGGGCTGTCGTTTCACTTTGTGACGGGAAGAAAAAGGAATAAAACACGCATACTTAACAGTGAGAGAAAAGTGGATGTAAGAGAAATTATTAGTAGACGGAGAGCTAGAGTGTGTTTGATAGATATTAACTTTCGCGATGATTTCAATGGAATGTAAGAAAAGTCCGCTTGCTCAATGCTTTTTGAACAAAAAACTAGTACAAAAATTTATAACCAAACACCAAGCTCAAATCATAATTCATGCTACGGACAAACCCTATGCTGAAAGCATATTCTCCTTGTCCTCTGCTTCCACCTTAGCATGAAGTTGTCTCTGCCTTAACCTAGCCTTGGCTGCTGCAAGTCTGTCTGAAGGTATAGAACCTAATTTGGATTGAGCAGGACCATCCGATTTTGTGGCTGGATGGCGGTTTATATCCGAATGATTAGTAGTCCGGTGCCGTTCAAGGTGTGAAGATGTTCGTGACTTCGGCCTTTTAGGCAGGGTGTCTACACGGCCAGAGTTCAGATATGAAAGGGAAGGGCGAGGTGAATGACCAGGGCGATACGAAGTTCGTTTTTTGACAGCTGACTTGGAGAGAGGTGTAGACTTCACATCGCCTACTGAGCCTAGGGTCGTGTTCGTCACATTACCGTCCTTCTGGCGGAGTGATTCAAGATTCCGGGCGGAACCGCCGAGTCTAATAAACAGTTCTTCGGCTAGATTGAGCGGTTCATCGGAGTTCTTTGAACTATTACCGGCAGCTTTTGCATCGGCGTTGAGTTGTAGCTTGCGACGGACGCTGGCCGTAGGAATGCTATTAGTAGCTTCTGTGTCCACACGTATATGCTCAGATGTGCCTTGCTGCATAGATTGCTTTGTTGGTGAACTAGTTCCCCCTCGAAGAGTTTTCAATAAAGCGCCTATGGTTTCTTCATCAAACGGACTTTCAGGAGCTTTACTCTGGGTATCCTCACGAGATTTAGTCAGTGACTTTGTGGGCGAATTAAGCACATCCTTATCGCTGGGGAGGGTAATTTCTAGTTGGTCGTCGCCTGAGTCGTAGGAATCCACCCGTGCGTGGTAGCTACTAGTAGCTTTCTTAAGCCGCTCAAGTATATCTTCTGTAATCTCCTCACGCCGTGTCGAGCGAGTGGATGTTTGGGGCTGGGAGTTGTCAGAACGCAAGGCTAAGGTTCCTTTCAATAAATCGATAGTCTCTTGCATTTGTTTCCTCTCGGCGTCAAAAGACTTTCTTAGCGCTTCCTCTGCCGCTTGGTGGTCCCGTAAAGAGTCAGTCAAGCGCTTACTATATTCCTGGGCACGAGACTCGAGTCGCTCCTCACGCTTCTTGGCTCTCTCTTCCTGTGCCTTTCGCCGCTCCCCAATGTGTAGAAGTTCAGTCTTTACCCTGTCAAGATTACGCTGCAGTAACAGATTCTCTCTTTTCAATTCAGCAGCTTTCCGCTCCGAGCTCCGGACCAGTTCTTGTAGTTCCTTTAACTTCGGGTTTCTTTCACTTTCGCGTAGTCGAGCGTTCGCTTCGCTGAGAGCCTCTTCAACCTCACGAAGCTTCGCAGCAGTTCTCTCTGCTGACATATCTTCTGCCAACATCTCCTTATTGACAATGCCGTGATCTTCTAGTGTTTTTCGGAGAGTCGCTGTTTTCTGTTTATATTGCAATGCGGCAGCAGTCTGCCTTGAAAGCTCACGGAACATCTGGTCCTTGTTCGCGTTCTCACCATCGCCACTGCCAACCATGCCAGCAGCAAGTTCAGAGACGCGCTTCTCCATCTCCGCTACTTTAAGCTCTTCTTGCTTCAGTTTCTCAGTAAGGCGAAGGGCCTCTGTCTCCTTTTTCTTTGCGTAAGATTTTGCGACTGATCGGTATTCGATGAGCTTTCGTATTTCCTTCTCAGTTTTGGTCCGGTAGTTTTCGAATTCGGATTTCCAATACTTTCCGGATTGGGAATGCGGAGCCTCGAGGTTAATTGTCACATCTCCCTCGTCTTCCTCTTCTTCCTCAGACTGACCAGAATCACGGTACTCTTCAATGTCCTTTTCGCGGGTATCTTTGCGCTCTTCTTTCTTGACTGGAGTGTCATCAAAGCCATCTACTTTTTGTCCGAATTTTTCTTCGCGGGCTTCAAGTAGAGACTGTGTCAATTTGCTCCTGCGTCCAGAACCACTGGGCACGCTCGTTGACCATTGGCTGCTGATATTTCCTCCGCTTAGCTCTAGGTCCCGCTCATCGTCAAGGAAAACAGGTTTGCGTTCATTATCCTTAACACCAGCCCCAAAAGACACCGTTTTACGGCGCGTTGTGGCAGTTCCAGGAGTAAGCAAAATACTCTTTGAGGGTGAAGTTATCGCATGTGCAGGCTCCTGTGCCTTTGGCTCAAGCTTAGGAATTTCCATTTTTCGGTCCTCGCCGGACGAAAGTTTCTGAACTGCCTTTTTCAGGTCATCATTTTTCTTGTGAGAACTCGGGTCTAGTGGGCGTATCGGGATGGTTAAGTCCTTGTCCTCGTCCACCTCAGGGGCAGGAGTCCCAAGCATCGCGTTTTTAAAAGCTCTATACGCAAAAACCGGCGCTGGTGTCTCTGGCGCATCAAGCACCATAGACTCGTCTGTTTTGAATCGAGATGCGTGGTTAATATATGGTCTTCAAATGACTGGTATCCCCAGAGGGAAGTGAGGTGAGGCGCCTTACCTCCCGCAACGCCCTGATTGGAGCCTGCCAACCAGCTCAGCATCGTTGACACCTAACGAGTATCGAATTAGTCTCAGTAGCTGTTCATTACCAATGATACCTTTCTCCCAGGAGCATGCGAGCCGCGTCTGATACTCCCTTTACCGACCTCTCAGGTTGCGCTTCTCTCGTCTTCCTCACGCGAACCTTTTACCCGCCGTCCAAAAGGGAGAAAAAGCGCTTTGTTTACTCTCCTGACGTCACGTGGTTGCCGCATCGACGGTACCCGCCACTAGTCCCGACCTGGACTAGCGGCTTACTCTAAAACATGCCGAGGTACGGGGTGCATGGCGGAAGCAAAAGAGAAGTCGACAGACAGTGGCGGTGGCTCTCCATATTTAAGAAAACAGAGGGCGTCTTGCGGAAGGGATGTAATAGGAATAGGGCCCTGTAAGGATAATCCGTGGGATTTCTGACAGCGGGACTTGCAGAGTTGTGTAGACAGGGGCGCGCGCAAGACCAACTGGTGGTGGTGATCTATAAATAGGAACATGTCAGCCTCCAAAGTGACAGATTTCAACGGCGGAACGGTTGACAGCACCAACCATTGCTTCTCGAACATATATATTAACCATATAAATACTACATGCCTCGAGGAGAATTTCCATCTCCATACTTGAAGTCCAAACCAAGAAATATTTTCTGTAACGGCGTCTTTCCAGGGTAATGCAGACTTATCAGCACGTGATCCGGTGCAACTATCTTCCGCTCACCGCCAGCAAAATCCCTGTACAAAGATAGATGTGAATCACTTGTTGGGCACAAAGACAGACAGGACAATCCAGCACTTCTTCTCACCTAACCACCAATTGTTTCCCGTCTAATAATGTTCCAATAGAGGGCTGCAGCTACGGCTGCAATCTCTGTTGCTTGCTTCCTGAGAAGCAACACTCCCGCTCGTTGAGAACACTCTCTATTTGTATGCGATCATGCCGCGCAAACAAAGGAAAGGGAGCACAAAAACCAACGGTTCCCCTGTGGAAGACAAACAGCAGACTATCTCTAACACGGCCCTGGCCACTAATTATGAAGAAATACACAAGAATGAGGCGGACGCCCTGCGTTCAATATACGGCGACGAGTTCGAGGACGTAGAGACAAAACCCTCTGCGTGGAATGTAAGTTTGTGTCGAGTGCTCTGCACTGTATAAATTCGCACACAGTTTTATAATGGCTTTTCTTTTATACGAGACTCTTGATTTAACCTATTATGCTTATCTTGTCTATCCAGCAATCCTCGACAATATCCTTTAAGCTGCAGCTCAAGGCGTCCTCAAATCCTGAGGTTCGAGTCTGCCTTTTGGTTGAACTACCGACGACTTATCCCAAATCAGTCCCGATATTAAAACTAGAAACTGTTCAAGATGTCAGACAGAGTGCCAAAGAGCGGCTTGAGAGCGTTCTGAAGTCCAAGCCAGTAGAACTCCTGGGGTCCGAGATGATATATGAGCTGGCTGTTGCCATTGAAGACGTCCTGGAAGATTGCGCGCAGGCACAAGCCCAAGACAAGGACTTACCAAGCCTCGAGGAGGAGCGTATAGTCCAGGAGGCTGCTGCTCTTCAGCAGGCTGAGAAGCTGAAGCAGGAGGAGTTAGCTCGACAGCAAGAAGCAACCGTTGAGGAGGAGAAATCATTACAATTGCTAGTTGAAGATAAACTGAAACAGCGTCAAAGGGAGCACGAGCACTTGTCTCGTCGCAAGAGTAGGACTAATGCAGAAGACTTTGGTATTTTGGAGTCTGTTGTCGATGTCCCAGATGCGATATCGTTCGATCTCCCAATGGCCATTACAGGTCTGCATGATCGCCCTCTATGGTTTAAATCAGTTAATGGGAAGAATATAATTGGCAAATCTCATTACAAGGAAACGTTCTTAGTGAGGCCAATCGTCCCGGGAAACATATCGTTGGTACCACTCCTTGTTCTGAAGGAGATATTCATCCAGGAAAGTGAACATAAGGATATTGATCTCCGGTTCCAGATCAGCGTGAGTGAGGATAAACTTGAATTCCTGAAGAAGCTTCGTCATCCCAACCTCGTGGATTTCATTGGCTTCAAAATCCAACGTCCCATTGATTCATCCTCAACTCAAACTGGCACCTGGCACATATATGCTCTCTTTGAGCATGCTAACAAAGGTTCCCTATCTGAACTACTGGATATCGTCGGCAGCGTTCCGGCAGATAATGCCAGAGCCTGGATGATCCAGCTGGTCGAGGCTCTAGAGTATTATAATCGTCACGGTGTGGTGCATGGAAATATCCACTGTGGTCGTGTCTTGCTCTTCAGAAGCCCATCAAGTACAACGACAGTAAAACTACTCGGTAACGTGGAAGAAGTATACCCGCTATCATCTACAGCGAGGAGAAGAAGTCTTACAACACCAAAATCTCCATTCTGGTTACCTCCAGAACTCGCAGGTGAAGGCATGAAACCAACCATCAAGACTGATGTTTGGGATCTAGGTATTCTGTTCTTACAAATGGGCTTTGGAAAAGATATTCTACAACGGTATACATCTGCAGATGCCGTCATCAACTCCATGGAACTGTCCCCTCAGCTAGAGGACATGCTTGCTGAAATATTTAGATCTGACCCGAAAAAACGTCCGACACCGTTCCAGATCCAACCCTTTGAGTTCTTCCGCGTTGACACACCGTTAATCGTCCCCACTGGAAGTCCTGGCTCGTCTTCCCTTCCCCATCGCACACGTCATGATTCTCAGGGCCATTTAGCTGCAGTCTCCCGTTACAGTCATGATTTCGATGAAGTTGGCCGTCTTGGACGAGGCGGTTATGGTCTGGTTGTCAAAGCTCGAAATAAATTGGATGGCAGGTTCTACGCTGTAAAAAAGATATCCCAGAAGTCCCCTGTTGCTTTAAAGGATACCTTATCAGAAATCATGCTACTGTCAAGACTCAATCATCCTTATGTTGTGCGATATTTTACTGCATGGCTAGAAGAGAATTACGTTGCAATAAGTAATGATGATGAGTCGGATGCCACTCTGTCTTCAGACGGCTCCGGCTCCCATTCGGGAGATAATATCGAGTTTGGCTACAGCACTAGTGGACTGGATTTCATCAGCTCCAGCGGTTACCCAAAGGTCGAATTCGGATACGATACCGATGAAGAAGGGGAAAATGATACCATTTCAGATGGCAATGGCGCTCAGAAGAAAGAGACCGATGCCAGTACTACGGAGGAGGGTGTATCGCTTCGCCGTGTAAGGTCAGGTTCACAATCACGAGTCATCCCTACAACCCTATATATCCAAATGGAATACTGTGAAAAACACGTAAGTGAACCCCTGAAAATAATTGCAGAGGTTTTTGGAAATTAACTCACCATTTTAGACTCTGCGAGACCTTATAAGATTTGGATTGCATGAAAATATCGATTCTTCATGGAGACTCTTCCGGCAGATTCTTGACGGTCTAAATCATATCCATTCCCATGGCATTCTACACAGGGACCTCAAGCCAGACAATATATTTATTGATATGGCAAATAACCCGCGAATTGGAGACTTTGGCCTGGCTACAAGTGGACAGCTTAGCTCAACCGACCGATCGCCTGCGCTGGAGAGCATAGGAGCCGGGTTTACTCAGAGTGTTGGTACCACGTATTATGTCGCTCCAGAGGTTAAAAAGGCTTCTATGGGACAGTATAATGAAAAAGTTGATGTAAGCTACTCTTTCTTTTATCATCAAGTTCTTGCTAACAATTCACAGATGTACTCTCTTGGTATTATTTTCTTCGAAATGTGCTATCCGCTTGAGACTGGAATGGAAAGAGATAGGATACTCCAGGGTATCAGACAAAAGGAGCATACCCTCCCCGAAGCGTTCAATCTCCCAGAAAAAGTGGCACAGGGAGAAATAATACTCTCTCTCATTAGCCACAGACCAAGTGAACGTCCAACCACAACTGAGTTGCTTCAGAGTGACAAAATACCGCTACAGGTTGAGGAAGAGATGTTCCGGAAAGCAGTTATGGGACTCCTATCTGACCCTGAATCTCCGGATTATAAAAAAATACTCTCCGCAATATTTTACCAGCCTCAAAAGAAGTTTGAAGACATTGCATGGGATATAGATTCGCGTGCAAGTCCTACGGCTACGGAATTGCTATTGCACGGGGTGATAAAAGACAAGCTTACTGCATTGTTCCGGAAACATGGAGCTGTAGAAACTTGCAGGCAGTCACTATTCCCAAGATCATCCCATTACGGCCCAGGCGCCGTCCGGCTTCTAGACCCAGGCGGAAATCTGGTCCAGCTGCCTTACGACCTTACTCTTCCAAACGCTCGTGCTCTACCAAAACAGGATTTATCTATCGAAAAGGCGTTTTCATTTGGTACTGTTTACAGGGAATCTGTCCATAGAGGCGAACCCAGGGGTCATAAAGAAGTTGATTTTGATATTGTTTCCTATAACACCTTGGATCTACCTTTGAAGGAAGCAGAGGTAATCAAGGTACTGGATGAGATTATTGACGAATTTCCGTCACTGAAATCTACCCAGATGTGCTTTCACCTCAATCACTCTGACCTCCTGGAGGCGGTTGTGGCATTTTGCCGTATTACGCCCGAACAGCGACCCATCGTGAAAGAGGTCATCAGCAAACTTAATATTGGACAATACACGATGCAAAAGATCAGAAGTGAACTCCGATCACCGAGTATTGGAGTGCCATCGACGTCAATTGATGATTTGTCGCGGTTCGATTTCCGAGGTATGTCTAACGGACTTTCTATTGTATTATTGTTTTTCTAAGATATTAAATTGACATTTGCTCTAGATACCCCCCAGAAAGCATTAAGCAGGCTTCATGCGATCATGGATGGCACCGAATACGCCGATAGATTATCACCTATCTTTAACCGATTGAACATAGTTGTTTCATATTTGGAGAAGTTCAAAGTGAAGCGAAAAGTCTATATCAGTCCATTAAGCAGCTTGAACGACAAATTCTACAACGGTAGCGTGCTCTTTCAGTGTGTCTTTGATAAGAAAAGAAGAGATGTCTTTGCAGCCGGCGGAAGATACGACAGCCTGATCCAGGAATTTCAGCCCATCTTGCGCTCGAACCGTCCAAGATCCCATGCGGTTGGCTTTAATCTTGGATTAGATAAATTGAACGGGTCAATGACGAACTATCTGAAAGGATCTAATAAATCTTTTCTCAAGCCAGATGCAGAGGTTGGAAATTCCTGGCGCAAAAATAAGGTAGGCTGAACTCACTACTATAAAATAATGGGCGTGCATGGCTAACAGCAAATGATTACAGTGTGATGTATTGGTTGCTAGTTTTGATCCTTCTGTACTGAGAACTGTTGGAGTTGGTATTGTCTCGACTTTATGGGCACACGACATCAGCGCTGAGCTTGCGGCGGACACGACGCCTTCACTAGAAGACCTTCTCACCAGATACGTCGACGATAACTACAGCTGGGTGGTCATTGTCAAGCAGGACAGTATCGAGAGGGGGTTGAGAGTCAAGAGTGTCCAACGCAAAGAAGACTTTGACGTGAGAAGCTCAGATCTAGTCCCCTGGCTTCGGAATGAGATGCGTGCTCGCAGGAAATTTAAATATGACCGACCCCCTGACTCTCCAAAGCTGGTCAAACATCCTAGCCAGGTTGAGGCCAGCCTTTCAGGCAAAGAGAGAGACTCGGATGTTAGAATCCTAACGCCCCTTCACAAGAGCAAAAAAACTAATAGGAGAAATATTGTTGAATTTGGTATGACTTCTTCATAACCCCATACGAGAGTCTCCCTTGTTAATGGTTATGTTACAGCACTGCGTCGCTCTCGTGAAGTTCTGGACAAGGGCCTTGATGGACCCATTGCTGCAATAGATGTCCGAGATGATGTTCTCGAGAGTATTCGAGACACCCGCCTTTCAGATCCAGATAGCTGGCGAAATGCCATCCAGAGTGCGCCGTTGGTAGAAAGAAAATATCTAGGGAATATCCATGAGCTATTGATCGATCTAGCGAGTGAAAGTGTTGCACCGGATGGAACTGTGAAGTATACCAACGCTTTTGTCTACAACTATCGAACCGGAAACTGCATTTATTACGACTTGAAACGAGGTAATTAAATTAATTAATCAACAGACGATCGAATTCATGTAAATAGTTATTTTACAATATGCCCGGTTAGAAATTAGCCAAATGATATCTAAAGTACACCAGAGAAAATGAAAAGACCTAGGGAACTGGAAAAAAAAAGACAGAGGGATTGTTATCCCCGTGGTATCATTCGCTATCATCATCACTACCATAAGCAACCAAAGGGCCGCCTGAACTCTTGGTTTCAGCCGGTTTTGTAGTAATACCGGAGCCTCCATAGCTCTGTAACGCAGCCAAAGTTGAGCCAGATAATATCCCATTACCCGGAGCCGGCTGTGCAGGAGGTCGTGCTTCAATCAACCCAGGTTGAGCCGCTGGTTCAAGCTCTCTTGCGCCATCTTGGGCTTGTTCCAGCTCTCGACTTCTTGCATACCAGACTTCATCTGGCGGCTCATAGCCATCCAAATTAAACCCAGCTTCCAGCCTTTTCCTTTTCTTGGCCTCGGGGTCCCTGCCTTCAAGCTCTGCTACAAATTCAGCCGGTAGAGCTCTCCTCACAGCTTCAGCAGCCTGCTCTTCAATTCGTCTTGCCTCCCTTTTCTGCGCGGCCGGGTTTGGGTCCACGGTCGCCCAGCGAACGTTTAATATTTCATTATTGTCCAAGCTCTGATGCGACATTGCCTCCTTTGCGAACTGAGAATTTGCTTCATTCGTATATGTGACGAAAGCTACTCCTCTCTGGTTAAGAACGCGTATCCTGTCGATTTGTCCCCATTCGGCGAAATGCCTGGCTACCACTTCTTCGATATCGTCTGTAACGTGTATTCTTCCGACATATAGAGTCCTATTCTGTCTCATAAATGTACCCACGCCTCCCATATCATCTCTGTAGTCGCTAAACTTGTCTCTGCCAAAACAGTCCACGTTCGGGTTGAAAAGGTCATGTATTCCCGGTAAGCGGTGAAGGTATTCACACTCGTGTCCCTTTGGACAGAGTCCCCGAGCAAAGAATATGCAAAAGAAGGACCCTGTTATTTTATCAGCACGCGTGTATCCGCTATCCTTTGCGATATTGCACCTCGACTCGGCTGGCTGCTGGGAGAGGTATTTGTCTTCTCGATCGCCTCCTGACCACTTATTATACCAGATGTTGAAGATGGTTCCTGTCTGCGGCGGTGGTTCTGATTTCACAGTCGATGGATCAACCTGTACCCGGGCCGGCCGTCTTTTCCGCCGTATTATCTTGGTCTTCTTCTCCTTGTCTGCTCCGTCTGCCGTTGTAAGGGCAGTTTCTGTTGCCTCTGTCGCATCTGCCTTTTGCACCTGGAGGTCTGTCGACGGCTGTTCAGCCATGGTTACACCCTCCTGAGTCTCAACCGAGTCTGTCGAAACCATCTTTCTATCGCAGGCGTAAGATTGTGGTTGTTCTGATAAATAGCATGAATTGCAGCTCGTTGAAGCTCCAAAACTTCCGAAGCTGCAAAAAGCGATGGCTTTGCTTATGTAATCACCGCAGCCCACATTTGCGCCAATCAGTTGGCGGGGAGAAGAAGACGAGAAGAAGAAGAAGAGGAGAGAGGAAGATATCAAATTAATACCACCAGCTTGATCTCATTATTTTGGTCATTGGTGGAAGAAGCAAGGTCAGAGATTTCAGATCTCGCGGATAATACATATCGATACTGGATTGATAATACCCCCCTACGTTGCCAATCATGGTGAACATCACGGAAAAGATTAAGGAGTGAGCGTTACCATATACATCCATCCCTACAGATGGTGAAAACGGGCTAATATGAGTATCTTGTGGTGTGCAGGATCGAGGAGGAGATGCGCAGGACGCAAAGTATGGGCTCTTTATTATATAGAATTGTTGATATCATTATCTGGTATATGAGCTAACTGCTTGGGCGTATAGAAAACAAGGCCACTGGTATGTTCGTACGGGTTCAGTCCGATTTCTGCATTGACAAAAACTAACGTCTTCTAGAATACCATTTGGGTCTACTCAAGGGGTACGTATACCTATGCACAACTAGGAGCTCAACTATCAAACTAATTTATACCCTACAATCAGAAAACTTGCACGACTACGAGCCCAGCTTCTTGAACCAACTGGAGGATCTGGATCCGGTGGAGGAGCTGGTTTTGACGTTAGCAAGAGCGGAGATGCTCGAATTTCTCTTGTTGGATTCCCTTCCGTTGGAAAGTCAACCTTTTTATCAAAAATCACCAAGACCAAGAGTGAAGTTGCTGCGTACTCTTTCACAACCCTCACGGCTATTCCTGGTGTGTTGGAGTATGGTGGTTCAGAGATTCAGATTCTGGATCTTCCCGGAATCATTGAAGGAGCAGCAGAAGGCAAGGGACGAGGGAGGCAGGTTATTTCTGCGGCTAAGGTACTAATCTTCCCACCGATGGACTAAATTTCCCGTTACAATAGCTAACATGAGATGAAGACCAGTGATTTAATCTTGATGGTTTTGGACGCAACGAAGAAAGCTGAGCAAAGAGCATTGCTAGAGGCAGAATTAGAAGCTGTCGGAATTCGGCTGAACCGAGAAGTGCCGTAAGTATACACAGTTTCCCATCACAGCAGAGCAATTGTTAATATATACCGACAGTAACATCTATCTGAAAGTCAAAAAGGCTGGCGGGATGAAGATCACATTCCAGTCACCTCCGAAGTACCTCGACGAAAAGATGTTGTACAATATCCTGAGAGACTACAAGGTACTCAACTGCGAAGTCCTGGTTAGAGATGAAAATGGTAATGACTCTCATCCTTTTACTTGCCTATATGCCATAGTCTAACCATAGACTATAGCTACGGTCGACGACTTCATAGACGTGATCATGAAAGACCATAGAAAATATATTAAATGGTAAGGACGCCAACAGTGATCTAGAACCTCTTCGACTTGTCTGACGGGCCAATTCTAGCCTGTACGTGTATAACAAGATCGACAGCGTCAGTCTAGACTTTCTCGACCAGCTAGCGAGAGAACCTCACACTTGTGTGATGAGCTGCGAGCTCGACCTGGGCATCAAAGACGTAGTAGATCGATGCTGGCAAGAACTCCAGCTCATCCGCATCTATACAAAGCGGCAAGCCACCCATTGGCCCACCTTACTACCTCTCTGTACTTAATGTTATTGCTAACCGGAGCCTAGAAAAGGAGTGGATCCCGACTTCAACGAGGCTCTCATTGTGAGGAGCAACTCTACAATCGAGGACGTGTGCGACCAGATACACCGCACGCTCAAGGAGTCCTTCAAGTACGCCCTTGTCTGGGGCGCCAGCGTCACGCATGTACCGCAGCGAGTAGGGCTGGGCCATTTCGTAGCAGACGAAGACGTCGTCCACATCGTGTCCAAATAGTCTACACCTCAGCTATACAATAATATCACCTGCTATCGTCTATATATCTCAGCTAGTTATTTGATATCAACACCCCCATCCAGCACCGCCGGCCAACCAGCGTTGGAGAACCTTCTCGAAGCTTCGCTCGGCCGCGGGATCGGCCCAGGCATCACGTCACAGGCGGCACCCACTTAGCCGGCTTGTAGCAGCGCCTCATAAAGACCACCAGAGGCTGCGCCAACTCCCGCCCTGCGTAGACATCACGGACGTCTCTATATATACTTGCCGGTGCTGCTGGAGCTTGGAAGCGAAAGAGAAAACAGCCAATCTTTTCCCAAGACTCCCGTGCCTGCTGGGCAGTGACATTATTACCTACTCGCCAGCCTGGTCGCTGTTTTTGACTGGCTGCTTAATTCGCCCTGCAGCAACTTTAACTACTTCACGACTACACACCGCATAATCCACGAAACCGCAAGCAGCTCGACACCGCGGAACAACCCAACCTACTATACATTGAACACTCTCGCTCAGGACCAGCAGTCATGGTTGCTGAGACGAAGCTCTACGACTCGCTAGGCATATCTCCTTCTGCCTCGCAGGATGAGATCAAGAAGGCATACAAGTGAGTGTACTTCCCAGATCCCCGCTTAACTAGCTCCTCGTGGCGTCGCCAGGACTGACAGATCGATAGGAAAGCAGCATTGAAATGGCATCCAGACAAGAATCCAGACAACCCTTCGGCAGCTGAAAAGTTCAAAGGTGAGTGTTTACTCGATTCGTACCCGTTTAATTAACAACTGGTGGCAGACGGAGTGGGCTGACAACCGGTGTGTGTGTGTGTGTGTGTGTGTAGATGTCTCCCAGGCATACGAAGTGCTTTCAGACCCCGAGAAACGCAAAGTCTACGATCAATATGGATTGGAATTCCTCCTTCGTGGCGGAAACGCAGAACCCCCACCAGGTGCAGGAGGAGCTGAGGGCATGCCATTCGGTGCTGGTGGAATGCCTGGAGGCTTCCAAGGGTTCGGAGGCATGCCAGGTGGAGGGACTCGAACATTTCACTTCTCAACTGGAGGCGGACCAGGCGGATTCTCGTTCAGCTCGCCAGACGATATCTTCTCTAGCTTCGCTCGATCCGGTGGCGCTGGTGATGACGATCTCTTCTCCTTCCTGAGCGGAGGTGGTGGCCGTGGCTTTGGAGGAGGAGGTGGTGGTGGTTCGCGATATAGACGAGAAGCACGGCGGCCTCCAACGCCTGAAGTTACGACTGTTGAAAGGCAGCTTCCCCTCTCGCTGGAGGAGTTGTTCCACGGTGTGCACAAGAAGATGAAGATTAAGCGGAAGACCTTCGATGAACGGACAGGAAAGAGAAGCATGGAAGATAAAATCCTGGAGTTTGACATCAAGCGAGGCCTCAAGGCTGGCAGCAAGATCAAGTTCAAGGGGGTTGGCGATCAGGAAGAGGGCGGAACCCAAGATCTACATTTCATCGTCGCCGAGGTAAGTCATTCTTCACCCTAACAAATGCAGGTACCATATATAGAACACCTTTTCTAACTATTCTACAGAAAGAACACCCACACTTGAAGCGTGTCGGCGATGACCTGATAACGACCATCGAAATAAGCCTCAAGGAGGCGCTGACTGGCTGGTCTCGCACAGTTAACACTATCGACGGAAGACAGCTGCGTGTCAGTGGAGCCGGACCAACACCACCTGGATTTGAAGAAAAATTCCCAGCACAAGGCATGCCAAAGCCGAAACAACCGACTCTCCGAGGTGACTTTATCGTCAAAGTGGACGTCAAATTCCCGACCTCCTTGACACAGGCTCAGAAGACGAAACTCGCACAGACTCTCTGATCTGGGATTCCATTTCCAACCGGTCCCGCTCCCATACATATACAGGAGGACCTCGCTCGACATGAACACAATGAATTAATGAAATAAATTTAGCACAAAGGGGAGGGAGGGCAGCTGCATTGTTGGAGTTTTTTTGGTTTCTAATATCATCATCAGTGGAACAACAGGGGATTGGTTGATTTCACATGCAACAGCTACTAACTAGTTATCATCTGGGATGGCGTTTATCTACCTTTTTACTCTTCTACTTCTCCGGCAGCGCCCTTATCGCTCTATCATAAACAAATACATAGTTTTATCTCTTACTCCCAGCTTGTATCTATCATCTACTTCTGCTCTGCCCGCTTTTTAGTCTCAAAGCTTATTGGCGCGCTAGGACTCCACCCGAGAAATAGAACATCAAGTTCCAGCAAGCTACAAAACTACAAACAAGCGATATAAACAAGCACAAAAAAAAGGGGACCCGAAGACGCCAGACGAAGACATAGACAGCGCAGTCCGTCACGATGAAGACTCGCCTGACTTATATCCACGAAGGCGACAGTGACTTCGACCCCGACCAGACCACCGTGAACCAGACGGCGCTCTCCATCCGGGCCTTGAAAGCAGCTAAGCAGGAGAGGATCTTGTTCGACTACACCGAGCTCCCTCATGAGGTGAGATATGCTGGGCGATACGAGCTTGATCAGCAGTACTGATAGCATGGCTGGGTTAGATCCGACAGATACTGAAGAAATGCCGCGACCTGCGCATTCGCTGGGCCTCCGAACGACCGTACGCTGCCGTTGCGCCGTTTAGCAGCAGGGTCTCTCCAGGGCTGCATGTCGTCTTCACGCCCGCCAGCAGCGGTTCATCTGGGTACGTTGTGGTGCCTTGCGGCCTCGTTATCTGATTCTTTGTCTACTTTTCCTCCCTCAGACCTGGACGGCTGCTAACATCAATCTTTTTGTCTTGAATGTTTATAGTGAATCTCTATGCCGCCTGCTACAGAAAAGCTTCACCAGTCAGATTGATTGTACCATTTCACCGGTTAGTCCTGGCATCTTCCCACTTTTACTTTGAATAGGAACATATATTAAACGCTCAATGTGCTCTAGTTATCATCTTCTCCGTCCTCATTCATACCAACAACCGATCCCTACGCACGGCTAAAACTTCAAACACTACTTCCATCCTTACACCAACTTATTACCTACCTCGATCGATACATTTGCCAGGAAAACACCGAATGCCGCAACCGCATTGCTTCGATCTCCTCGGCTTCTTCGCTGGATATAGACTACAATGATTCCACGGCCCATCTGATGGTAGCTGCATATTGGCCAGACGCTCCCGAAAAGACTGGCTGGACAGAAGTAATCAATGAGCCTAAATATGACGGAGACCGAGTTGAAATTGGAATCTTAGCAGAGCAGCCATCCCTGAAACCAGAGGAGGTGAGGGTGGGTGGGATGTTGGCCGATATAGGCCGAAAAGCAGAGCTAGGTATGAGCACCCTGTCCATGCCAATCACCACCTGAGGTATTTTCTGACATGTCGCCGCCTAGCTCCCACTCTATTCAGCTTCAATTCGCGACACCATCCTATCCAAACTACATACCGCACCCAATTCACACCTCCAACCGGTCTCCACCCTACTCTCCAGCTCTCCCTAAAGAAATCCTCCCTCTATCCCCCTACAAAACTACCGCCCGACACAACCTGCTCCTTACACACATACCTCACCCTCCCATCGACAATATTCGCCGATAAATACCAACTCTCCACCCAAGACCCTCTCTTCCTCCAATCCCACAACCTTATTTCCCTACACAGCATCCAAGGCGAAACCGACCTCGAGGCACCAGACTGGATAACACAACAATGGGGATCCAACCTGCTCCTAGAACTAGCCACGCCTTCACTGGAAGTTGCATCAGAATACCCTCTTACGAATGATGAATGGAATATAACCGTCCCTCTGCACTTGCGGTACCTACACCCTTCCCCGTCAGGATACCGCGACATATCCGTCCCCTGGCCTGTGGTTTTCTGGGCCTGTGCCAACGACGACGGAAGCGCTGATGACAAGCAGAAAATTAACCCGTTTGATCGCGTGAGTTTGGGATGGGAGTCGAATTTCCCTGTCCGGACGACGTATTATCATCTCCAGCCTGAACCGGAACCAGCGTCAAACCTGCTCGTTGAGACGATTAGCGTTCCAGTATTGAATATGAGCCGTGATACGCAACGGATGGAAATACAAGTCGGAACTGCTATGATTATCATCGGTGGTTTCATGTGGATATTGTGGAAACTGGGACTAATAACGAACTCTCCGGCTCCCGTACAAGCAACAGATGAGCCAGAGGAGAGTAGGAAGGATCAATGATGCATACCATAACTTCTAAGCACACTTTAATTAATAACTAGTTACGTATGAAAAGGAAGATCATGACGAGATACAAATGAAGACATATTTAATTACCCTTGCAATAAACGCATAATACAACGCATTGCATATAACTAAAAGTGAAAAAAATAAAAAAAATAAAAAAAAAAAAAAAAAAAAAAAAAAAAAAAAAAAAAAAAAAAAAAAAAAAAAAAAAAAAAAGAAAAAAAGCTCGTGAACGAAGAGAGTAGAATTTGCCAGTCATAAATCAAATGCCTCATGTATAATCAAGTCCAGTATCGAGGGGGAAGAAAGGACTATATACACATAAAAGGAAAGAGCTTCAATCGATCCTATCATAAACATTCATCGTCATCATTAGATCGATAAACAAGGGGGAAAAGGTGTAGGTTGCTAGCTTTGTGCATGAATAGAGTAAAAGAAACAAAAACATTTCCCTCCTTTTTTCCTGACATTCAGGAATAGCATCAGATTCCATACCACTTCGTTGAACTGAGCTTCCGACATTCGTTTGAACAAATAAGGGAAGCAAATAGAGAAAAAAAGAAAAAAGAGAATCGAACATGACATGAATATTGAATGGACACCCATCTGGAGTTTCCATCGGTCGAAGCCAGGGGATATACGAAAATAGGGGCGTGAGGTGGGTATGGATCTGTTGCTCTTATCGTCATGCCAAAGACGACTTCTGAATGAGCACACCTGTTTGAAATAGGGGCGAGCATCCTTCGTATGTGAAAGTCTGCGTGGAATTGACGGCGGTAGGAGACCGCTTGTGCGGAATGATATGAAGCTTAGAAACTCAAACAAAGGTGCAACAATGGTTCTATCCCAGTAACCACCAAAAAAGAAACGCCGGATCCAAATGGCCCAAGGAGATATTAGTGCATCGAGGTGTGAGTGTGAATTGAATGATTGATCCAGTGAGAACTCCAACATGGTAAAGTGGCCAACAAGGAGGAAAGTGAACTCCAAAAAGCGGTACGCAAACACGTTCAAAAAAAGAGACGACTGGACATCAAAAAAAATGGCAGCTTGTGTTATACGACAATAACGTCTCCTTCTGCATCTGCAGGATCAGACAATGTCATGTCCGTATATTTAGTGGTTCCAAGAAGGACAGAATCCTCTTCCAGAGCAATGGCGCTGTCATCGTTATTAATCTGGTTTCCCTCTAGACTCGTGTCAACAGCAGGCCGGTTTGGGACATCGGCCTTGATGGTCTTAGCTGCGGTATTCGATGTGCCCTGATTCACGTTTGGGGTCACCTCCTGTGTTGATTGCTCGGTTTCTGTTTGCTGGCTGGAGAGATGGTTGGTAGAGGCGAAGCTTGCAAGTCGGGCTGCAACTGCTGCCGTGGGTTTGTTCAAGAGGTTTGCAGAATGTTCGCGCAGTGATCTTGGCGAAGTAGCCATAAAACCTCCCCTTTCTGCTTGCCAGTGCATCATCTCAAGGAAGAAAACCTTGGTCATCCACCAGGCACTAAAGCTCTCGGCATTCGAAAGGGTGAGGCGGTGAAGGGCGGTGGTCCATAGAGCATCCGCCTTTTCGATTATGCAAGTTGCAGAGTGATTGGGGAACATCGCAGGCAGTTGTAAAATGAAAGTGATCCAACGGTCGGGGAAATTCGTGTATTCTTCATTGTTAGTTTGCTGAAGGGGGAACTTTTGGAATCCAGCCAACTCGTGGTCAATAGAGTCTGTCTGAGGAGGTGAGCAGTTATCCAATGGGTACAAGAGAGACTTCATATGTTCCTTTAATATGGTAATTGCGGTTTTCAGCGAGCATGGAGGTATATTGGCCTTAATGACGGTCTCAGTCGGATCAACAAAGGTACTAAACTCTTCCCACATCTTATTTCGATTTTGTTGGTGGCATAGCCATGCAGCAGCGGCAATGGCAGACTGGTTAACGTCAAGCATGCGTTTCAGCAAATGACAGAACAGCCGGCAAGGAACAAGTCGCGCGGTGGAGACATGCTCTGGTTGTGATTTGAGGGTTTCGGCGATGTGAGTAACAAGCTTGCATGAAATGGATTGGAAAGCCTTAAGGACAGGGTCTGGGACAACCTGCGTTGTCAATGGAGATACAAAGGCAAGCATCTTCTGGTACATGATCCAGTCACATTCCTCCACCCACGGTGCAACGTTCGGATGAACGAGGAGTTTGTGGACCGGCACAGTGAGGGTGCCCTGGAAGGCAGAAAAGTGACGGAAGAGGTTCTTTTCCTTGCAGAACCTGAAGCTGTCGATAACTGAAGTGCAATGAGAGCGATACAAGGCGGCAAGTGCGTCAGCGGCTGAAGGATCAGAGTTGTCGGGGAGATACTGATGTATATTTGGCAATGAGAGGGTATCGCTGTCGGTGGATGGGGTATTGTCTGTTGGCTCGAAGTGTAACAGATGCTTGATCTTCAACTGGGTTTTGACAGCCATTGGGTCAACTCCCGCGATAATATCGGAGATGTTACTGTCTGCGCAGGCACAACGGTGTGTAGGGCCAGATGGCTGGCTTTGCTGCAGGATGTTCAGGTCCGGAGATGTAGCATTCCCTGCATCAACAAGTGATTTTTGCGTTTGCTGAGAATCAGGGAGGAAGCTGGACTCGAGCTGGGAACCAGCACCATCAAGGTTCAAACCGTGATCCTGCGCTTTGTCCATCTTATCATCGCACTCAGCTTTGGCGTCTTGACCAATAAGGGACAAATCGACGTAATGATATTTTGACTCTCCGCGGACTCCGAGGCGACGAGTCTGCACATTTGGGAATATAATCCTGACAAGCTTGCCAAATGAGGCGGGATTAAGCACCGACACACGGTCATTTCCACATTTTTCGGCATAACAACAGTAAACACGGTCTCGACGGACCGATCCATCCCCTCTCTGGCAGTTCTCACGAAGCCTATGTCGGGTAAATAAGTAAATAATATGCATGACAAAATGGAAGGAAGACTATGCATACCATATCATAGCAAACACTTGTTTGACTTTTTCTGATTTACCACCAGCTCCCTCGTTCTTCCTAACCTCGGAAGCCATATCCTGTAGAGAGTATCCATCATATTGACGCAGAAGCCGGCGTAGTTCATTATCATTGGCTATGGAAGATGAGGTGCCTCGTCTCTTTCGAGGACCGACTTCCGACCCGTCATTATCTTCGAGCATGCGGTCTGGTGTGGGATGATGGTGGTTTTCTGTGGTATCAAACATCTGGGGAAAATGAGCGGATGCAAACTCAGCCGGGATGATGGCTGGTGGCGGAGACGGCTGTGACGGCTGTACACTAATATTCCTGTTGCGCAGAAGATGTTCCTGAAGCTGTAGGTCTGGACGCTGCTGCCGGACTGCTGAAACGTTATGACTCTCTTGCTGTTGCTGCAACGTATGCTCGTCCAGTCTGGGCGCAGGAGGAGCAGCATGTCCGAACTGCTCACCGTACCGCAGGATCATCTCTTCTGGGTTTGGATGATGATAAGTTACTTGTGAAGGAGGGTACTGAGAGCGCATGTATGTAGCATAAATATCCTGGGGCGCTGGTTGTTGCTGTGGCTGGACATCTGGATGGTACTGTGTGGTGACTGAGTGAATGCTGGCGGTCGACCCCCGAGACCGCGAGAGTCGAGCACTCTTCGTCGACGCTGTGTTTGACCTCGACCGCATGGGCTCAATGGTGCTCTGCCGGCTTCTTGGTCGCTTTTGAGCTGTCTGAGCCGGCAAGCATGAAGTATCTGCCATCGCGAGAAGCCAGTCAGCCAGGATGTCAGGGTCAGCCATAGGGGGGCGGAAAACACCCCCGAGTACACCACCAGCAACAATAACAACAGCAGCAAATGTAAAAACAGAAAGAGGTCAACAAGGCCATTTACCGATATCTGGAGTCATGATGACTTGTGTGAGTATTCAGCGAATGGTTGGATAAGAATATGATCCCTCGTTTTTTTTTCGCAGGCTTGGGCGGTCCTTTGCTGGACTCGAGATTGTCACCGCCACAGGCCTAGCTCGAGCCAGGCAGTCGATATACCCGGTCGACAGAGCGATGCGAAGACGGCCAAAGGACAATAGGCAGTGGAGGTTCCTCGTCGAGCCCGGCGTGGCTGCGGCCGTCGTGGTCGTTTGCGGATGTGTTGGACGTCGTTCGCCTGAGGTGCCTGGGTGTGTCGTTTTCTTCCGTCCGGCATGTAAACAAGGTGTTGTTGAGGGGGAAACGCCTCGCCTGCGCCTTTATTTCTCTGCCCATTTTTATTTTATTTTTATTTTTTATTTTTTTTTTCGCTTGTTTTGGTCTAGTTGCTTTTTCTGCTTAGTCATGACCAAGAAAATAATCACATGATATACATCATCACGTGATGAAAACAGAGTCATGTGATTATGGTAAATGGTCACGTAATAAGTAGATAAGATCACATGACCAGTATTATCGTGAAGGCGGTGGAGGTCGGCAGAACGTCCCAATCAGGGAAGTGGCAAAGCACGTGAAAATCATCACGTGACCATGCCTGCCGCACACGCCCAAAGCAGAAACCCGAAAGGGAACGCAGAAAAGTAAAACAAGCCACAAGTTTCGAACTTCCTGCTCGAACAAACAACGCCAGAAAACAACGACGACGACCGCCCAACCCCGGACTTCTGACTCTCCTTTTCGACCACAGCTTCATCCTGCACCATCTCTGACACCAGCGCTTCTCTCACAAGCACACACGAGCTACCAGCAAGATGTCGTTCCAGGACCGTGTGCAGCACCAGATCGCCCAGATCGATAAGGAAGTATGCAAGCTTCTCGCTCCTCTCTTATCTACCCAGCCCGACTACAAAGGCGAACATCCCACTTCGCGGGCCAGCAAAAACAGTGCTAACGAAGGCCTCCCTGCAGCTCTCCAGATACCCAGTGCTCAATAATCTCGAGCGACAGACCTCAGTGCCCAAGGTATACGCCTTCCTCGGCGTCGCAGGCATCTACGTCTTCCTTGTCTTCTTCAATATCGCGGGAGCTTTCCTCGTCAACCTCGCGGGCTTCGCCATCCCAGGCTACTACTCCCTCAATGCCCTCTTTACCTCCTCGACGGCAGATGACACTCAGGTAGGCAGTGCAATACTTTGGCTGTCAGCTTTCTTTTCGACGCTACCTTCATTATCCGTGCTCGTGCTGACGTTTTTGTTTGTGTTTTGTAGTGGCTGACAGTTAGTTTTTGCCCCGAATGACCCACCATGTGTACCGAGACCTCCAGGTGATCGATTTAAAAAGCTAACCACGTGAAATCGACGTTTATAGTACTGGGTTGTCTTTGCACTGTTCAGTGTTATTGAGAGTGCTATCAGTGCTTCATACTGGTTCCGTAAGTACATGCTGGTTGCTGTCTTGCTGTTTTTCCCTATTCGTTGCTGCCTAGGCTGACGTGTTCCCGCCCCTCTCTTTTTGCAGCATTCTACTACCTATTCAAGTTCTTCCTCGTTCTCTGGATGGCACTCCCACAGACCAGGTAAGCCAGTCGACAGCTCTGGTTGCACAGAGAACCCCTTTTTATTTTTTTTTTATCTCTTTTTTTAATTTTAATTTTAATAACTAACGGACGTTGTGCGTACAGTGGAGCTCAGATTGTCTTCCACTCCTTCATCCAGCCTGTCTTTGCCCGCTACTTCCAGAGCCCCTCTACCTCCTCCAACCTGAGAGCCCAAGCTGAGCAGGCCGCCAAGGAGCACTCCTCTTGATTGCCTTATCCTTATATCGATATAATGAACTGGAATGGTGGACAAGTCTCTCCTTGCCCCTGTCACTTGTTCCGACGAGATATGAACCCCTTCTTCCAGATGCGCGCATAACTATGAACGACAGGCTTGACGCTGCGTTTGGTATATGGATAAGGACACAAAAACACAACACACACACTCTCTGTCTGTCCCACGGATGGATTCTTTTTTTAATGGTCACAAGAGCAGTCATCGCGGCGTCCCTCGGGACGTGAAAACAAACAATAACGGATCCCACTGCTTGTTCTATTTTACTGTCTGTTTGCCCTCGCGTTGACTCGACTCTCGTATCCAACCGCATCGACTCTTGTCTTTTTTATATTGTCTCTTTTGAATTTATTGTTATTGTTTCCTTCCGTTGGCTTGCAGGGGGGCTTGGCCATGCAATAATTATTATAAAAAAAAGGAACAACCCCTGTTGCATGGCTCTGCGCCATTGCCCTATATTCTCTCTCATCTCGATTCATTCTCCATTTCTTCGTCGGTACGCGCGGTAATTCTGGATGTTGTGGAAGAAGGGAAGGTAGGTTGTGGTGCAGTGGCTGGGCTTAATTGGTTGTTGATGTATAGTGACTCGGATTGCCACCTGTCACTTGATTTTCTTCTTCGTCCTCTTCTTCTCCTTCCCATACCCAAAGTTGGCTTTTTTCTCGTCTTCTACCCCTCAATAGAAGCAACTCGGACATGGAATTGGCAAAAGACCATCCATACTTTCGTTCAGTAACAGTAGTTAATTATTCAGTAGAGACCCAGTCGGTTCCCCCAGTTGTCCAGTTTCGGGTTCAGAACAATCTGGTAGGGAAACGGGTTCGACTCGCTCGTAATCGGCGGAATGTGGTCTTTATTCTTATTCGCAATGGCCACGATCTTGAGCGCGGCTTTCCTCAACATTTTCTCCATCGCCTTTCGCACCTTTGCTCGGTCTATACTTCCCTATTAGAGCTGCACTGCTATATAACCACAGTAGAGAGTCAGGTAGCATACCTAGTTCGGTCCGCGGAGTCGCAATGGTGATATCTAGAGTCCATATCTCCCAACAAACCTCCTCCTCCCCACTGCCGGTCAATCCGGTGAACCACGCACCAGACTTCTTCCGCCTTTTCTCAAAGAACTGCACGGCAATGCGAGACCGGACCCCACCAGTCGCTGAGTTCGATGCTGTAGAAAGATGTTGCTGTATCAATGCATTCACCCGCGCATCGATCAGGGTCTCGACCTCCAGATCGTCCACAACAGGCAGCGTCAAGTCAAGAACGTCGACGGAATCTGGTCTGACGCAGGGAAAGTAACGATGGAAGAAGATCGCGTGTATAACTCCTGCTCAACCGGTTGTATTTAAGTTAGCTACGGTACTCCACGGGACTGTAGTAGATATGGCGCAACGCACCCTTCACAATCTCCTTGACCGAGGCACGATCCGCGAAGATCTCGAGAATATGCTCCGGCGGCTTGCGAGGATCCATGGTTCGAGGAGAGACGACGGCTAACTGCCAGAGTTGGCTGGGGAAGGAGGGGGGGGGGGGGGGGGGTCGGGTGTTGGTTGCGTTGCTGAGGGCGCGGTACTTTGTCCGATTTGGTTTGTGTTTCCCCCCCGCGGACCCAGCGGACTGGGATGTTATGTATGCAAGTAAGTAACTTCTTATGCCGGTGATTTTAATATGTATGTATGTATATGCTGGGCTGTCAGGTAATATGTGTCTTGTATATGTAAGGGGAGTAACGCCACCAAAAGCGAATCCCGTCTAAGTAGTTGACTTATCGCACGTGGGAGGACGAGGTCACCATCTCGCTGGCGGCAGACAGGGCGCTCTTAACATAGCAGCGTATCCATCGGGTTCGCCGGGTGTTATTACGGTGTAGCAGCGGCGGCGGCGGAGGAAGCGAGGGATCGGAGCGAGAGCCAGAGAAAGGAGCCGACTCAGAGCTGGCTGCGGGGAGCTTTTTTCGCCTTTTCAGCTAGACCATCGGCCACTTGTAGGTCTGTTTTTAAGGAGAGCCTCGAGGGGTTTCTGCGATCGCCTCTCTTTTCTATATCATCTGAGCGCGCGCAAGGACTGGAGCCTCCACGGAGGATGTACTTGAAGTATATATAAAGTGAGTCGCAAGAGTTTATTCCCTCCTGGAAGTTTTAAGGTTACTTTGTTTGGCTATTAAAAAAGGGCGACGGGGGCAGCCGAAGTGGCGATAGCGGGGTCACGGGGCCGCAGTGACGCCATAGCCTGCACGGCATGGCTTGGCGACTAGTCCAGAAACGGCGAGCTTTCTCGTGACCCCGATAAAAGAGACTCCAGGTCACCTGCCGCACCCTGAGCCGAGGCTCGAAGCTGCTGAAAGTCCAAACGAAAGCAAAAAAAGCGCAGCGACAGACGGGAATCCGGGGAAGCAGAAGAAGACGCAAAAGACAGCTTTATATATCATCTAGGGACGGACAGCGGTTATATTTGGATAGGACTATCGCGAGTGTACGGCTCTTTTTGATACTGTGGCTGCGGCAAAATACCTCGATAGCACGATAATGCGCTCGCGGTCAGCGTAGGGGGCATGTTCAACTCAACGAAGCAGTGGTTGCGCCGGCACCGCAGCGGCATTGCCATTGGTGCTGGAGTCATCGGAGTCGGCTACTTGGCCGGTCAGTATGTGCTGGGCAAGATATCAGAGGCTAGAGAGCGCATGAGCAGTGAGCGGATTGCGCGAGAGAAGTATGCAAAAAACTCGTCATTGGAACAGCACTTTAGACCGGATGAGGATACCTAACAATTATCCCTAGTCTACGACGCCGATTCGAACAGAACCAGACAGATTGTACCTTTACCGTGCTTGCCTTACTACCTACAGCTACGGAGAATATACTTGGGGCTCTTCCGGTCGAGGAGCTGACGAATGAGTTGCAGCAGAAGCGTGCGGAGAGGTTGGCTAAGCAGTTGAACGGAGGAGAAGCTGCAGGATCAGAGATAAGTTCAGATCCCCTAAGTACGGTAGACGATGATGGGAAGAGCTTGTCGAGTCTCCGGAGCCAGGGGTATGTGCATACTAGCCAGATGGGGGATTCTGTTGCTGGAGACGGGACACCACGGAAGAAAAGCAGGACGCAGCTGTGGAACGAGCTCAAGGTCAACTGTATGTCTGATCCCCGGCCAAGGGAGCATATATACATCACACTTGCTAACTGGTGCTCACAGCTTTAACACGATCGTTCACTCTTCTATATACACTCTCGCTGCTAACCTTGCTCACGCGCATCCAACTCAACCTATTGGGTCGACGGAATTACTTGTCCAGCGTAATATCACTTGCGTCTCCACAAGCCGATCCAGCTATAATAAGCCTGGAAGAGAACGACGGTGACAATGCGTTTGGAAACGACTTTGAGACCAACCGTCGATACCTTACCTTCAGCTGGTGGCTGCTCCACCGTGGATGGAAAGACTTGATGGAAAAAGTCGAAGAAGCCGTCGTTGAAGTCTTTGGACCGCTTAACCCGCGAGAGGACATAACGCAGGAAAGGCTCTCAGAGTTGACACTACAAGTACGAAAGAAAGTTGAGGGGGCCACGAGCGAAGAACGACGGGCGAAGCAGTGGTTGCCATACCTCCTACCGGCCGTCGAGCAGGAAGACTACGTACTACAAGAGTCTGGTGTGCTGCTGTCGTCTGAAGAAGTCTCGCCGCAGACAGCATCCAACCTCCGACACCTACTCGACGAGACAGCCGATCTTATCGAGTCGCCGCAGTTCACGCATATTCTTTCATTGCTCAACAACGAGGCCTTCTCCTACCTTATCGACCACAAATGTGCCATCGACGCCTTCAAAAAGCCGCCCACAGTCCCTGCAACACAAGCACCGGAAGCAAGTCCGGCAAATCTGTTCTCGTCTTCAGCTACCGTTGTGCCGTCAGATAGCCAACAGCCACCGCCAAACCCGCGGGTGAAGCTGGCTACGATTCTAGCGGTTGTTTCCCGCCAGGCACATACTATCGGCCAGGGCTCGAATCCACCCAACGAGTACCTTTCAGCCATGGAGGAAGGGGTGCGGGAACTCGAGGCCTTTGCGGCTGTGGTGTACAGCAGTAACTTTGGCCTCGAAGGGACCATGTCACCGGGGGGATCGGTAGGCGGTTCCTTTGTCGTTGTACCACAGTCAGAGAAGACGGAGAAGGTGTCGAAGATCGAGATGAGAGACGTCGAAGCCGACGATGAAGCTGGAGCTGGAGCTGGAGCTGGCGCTGATGTCGAGGAGAGCAACTTTGAGTCTGCCTGGGGCAAGGCGACGACTGATGAGAAGTAACTCCCATGTTAGAATACCCTATATAGCACGAATAATCACATTCAACCACCCCATCCATAGACATCCATCACAGACAGCAGTGGCCGTTGGTTGTAGCTAAAGCATCCAGAGCCCCATCTCTCTCCACAGTGGCCTGACCATGCACGACGCTGATCTCTTTATCAAACCACCGCCATCACCACCACCTCCAACGTCTATTTTCACCGTCACCGTCTGTCCATCTGATCGCTTCTCTACCTTCGCCAGCTCCTTTTAAGCCCTCCAGCTCGGCTTGCACTACCGCTCTCGTGTTAGACCCTCCCGTATCCCGGCCAGCACAAGACGCTTATCTCTCCCAGCGGCAAAGAAAGAAACAAAAGAACACCGGGCCCAGCGCCGTCTCTTTGACCAGCCAGCTCCATCTCAGCTACGGCCCAGCACGAGATGGCGTCCAGCGGAAGCGCAGCCTTTCTTCCCCGTCGACCTGAAACCCCCGCGCAAGCCAGACAGTTCGACCTAGCAAGATAACTTGATATCAAACCAGCCAGTCCATGCCATTGCCATGCCACGCCATGCTGTGAGACCCGAGACTCGTTTCTCTGCCATGCGAAGTGTGACCTGAACCACATGGCGTCTGCAGGCTGCATTGAACACACTTCGAGCCAAGTCGGTAGTAGCTTTAACCACGGAACCGCTGGCGAGCGTTCGATAAAGAGATGGGCTTCGGTGGCCGGGGTGGCCTTGGGACCGGAATATAACACCAACAGCACTAAGCAACGGCTCAAGCGCTGAAGGAATCCCAAGACAAGCCGTACCACCCTGGCTTAATTTACTAACTAATTGAACGAGCTAACTAACTAGACAAGACATGCAAGGCTCTCCCTGGGCAATGACGTCGACCGGGTGGTGAAAGTCGTTGGTTGCTCTCAGGCAGCTGAAAAGAACGACTGCTCAAGTTAAATAGCTGCTGGACCGCCCGCCCCCCTTTGTTGGAAGAGCTGCTCTCGTCCAGCTGCTGCGTCCGTCTTGCTCTTCAGGCTGTCAGAGAGAAGCTGCGCTGCGTCGTCAAGATGACTTCGGTGACTGGCTCGTTGGTGGCCGCTGCAGCGGTGGCTTCACCTACCTCTACGCATCGGGCGTCGCCGCAGGGAGGCATCTTCGACAAGGCGAATCCGACTCACTATGACTCCAAGAACCCGCTCGTCATCTTCATCATTCAGGTAGATATTTACTTTTACTGGGAGTTGAAGTCGTAGAGATGTTTTGTAGACTGACATGTTCTATAGGCTGGCCTGATCATCATCTTTTGCCGACTGATACATATCCCTCTCTCGCGGATGCGCCAGCCACGAGTTATCTCAGAAGTCCTAGGCGGCATCCTGCTCGGCCCTTCAGTTATGGGACGTATACCCGGATTCCGCGAGACCATCTTCCCCGATGCCTCCATCCCCAATCTCAACCTGGTGGCAAATCTAGGACTGGTGCTGTACCTGTTCATGATTGGCGTTGAGACAGATCTCAGATCGCTGATAAGTAACTGGAGAGTAGCCGCCAGCGTCTCTGCGGCGGGAATGTTGCTGCCGTTTGGTCTGGGTTGTGCAATCGCATACGGTTTGTACCATGAGTTTCGGCAGGAGCCTGGCCTGGCGCCCATCGGGTTTGGAACTTATTTGCTATTCATCGGCATTGCCATGGCTATTACGGTGGGTTCTAACAAAGAAAAGAGGCATAAAATGATCCATTGCTAACAAAATTTACAGGCATTCCCGGTGCTATGCCGTATACTGACTGAGCTGGAACTTCTCAGCACCAGAGTCGGAGTCATCGTGCTGTCTGCCGGCGTGGGCAACGACGTAGTTGGCTGGATCCTGCTGGCACTCTGTGTAGCCCTGGTCAACGCCAGCACGGGTCTGACAGCCCTATGGGTGTTACTGACCTGCGTCGGTTTCACGTTGGTGCTTGTGTTTGCCGTCCGCCCCCTGTTTCTCTGGTACCTGAGACGCACCGGCAGTCTGCATGACGGCCCCAACCAGTCGGTTGTCACTCTCACGCTGCTGTTAGTCCTTTCAGCCGCATTTTTTACCCAGATCATCGGTGTCCATGCCATCTTTGGTGGTTTCATGATTGGTCTGATATGTCCTCATGATGGAGGGTTTGCTATCAAGCTGACGGAGAAGATTGAGGATGTGATTGGTGCTCTTTTCCTGCCGTTGTATTTTGCTCTTTCGGGATTGAATACCAACATCGGACTGTTGGATTCGGGAACAGTATGGGGGTACGTGTTTGGCGTTATCTTCATTGCTCTTATTGCAAAAGTGACGGGTGGTATGGTTGCGTCGAGGTTGAACGGCCTCTTGTGGAGGGAGAGCTTGACCATTGGTGTGCTTATGAGTTGTAAGGGTCTGGTCGAGCTCATCGTCCTGGTAAGTAGCCCTTTTTTTTTCCAAGTATTCTGGTTATGCCGAGACGACGGCTAATTATATTGTTTGGTGCCGGCAGAACATTGGACTCCAGGCCAAGATCCTGAGCCCCAGGACGTTCACTATCTTTGTCGTCATGGCACTGGTGACAACCTTTGTGACTACCCCAGTGGTCTCCTACCTGTATCCTCCCTCGTATCAGATCAAGGTCGAGCGCTGGCGCCGCGGCGAGATCGATTGGGAAGGAAACGTTCTTGACTCCGAGCATGACCCGCACAGCGGCGCAGACAGCATTAGCCGACAAAAGTCACAGGGCGCGTCTGTCCGCAAGCTGATGATATACCTCAGGCTAGACAGCCTGCCAAGTCTCTTCACCTTCGTATCGTTGCTTGGGGCTGGAGACAGACCAGACCCAGTCGCCTCTCGGACCCATCATGCCCATACCAATAATAATAACGATGGCGAGGACGGTGAGGAGGCAGAAGGAAGACGACCCGAGAGTGCGAGAAGAGCCAACATCAGGCCTATCGAGGTTCATGCAGTGCGCCTGGTCGAGCTGACTGATCGAGACTCCAGTGTGATGAAGGTGTCTGAGGTGCAGGATTCCAACTACAGCTTCAGTGACCCGATCCTCAACGCCTTCCGCACCTTTGGCCAGCTGTACAAAGTGGCAGTATCCGGGGGCGTGGTTATAGCGCCTGAGCACGCCTATGCCGAGACGCTGGTCAACAAGGCGCGCGACTGTGCCTCTGACCTGGTGCTGGTACCGTGGAGCGAGACGGGAGGCATGAGCGAGAGACAGATCCCGCTGCTTGATGACAAGAGCGAGAAGTTCTCTACCGGCCCTCACAGCTCGTTCATCTTCAACATCCTGAAGAACTCGAGGAGTAATGTTGGTATCTTTATCAACAAGGGGTTCGGGGGCGCCGGACTAGCACGTCCCAAGCCAGGCGAGATATCAAGAACATTCAGCGGACACAACACGTATCGAACGAATGATCTTGCCATGAGCCCATCTCCTGACCGCGGCCATCACATCTTCATGCCTTATTTTGGCGGTCCAGACGACCACTTTGCGTTGCGGCTCGTTCTTCAACTGGCTAACAACTCATCCATCACTGCAACCATTGCATATATGAATGTCATCAACAATGCGCCAACGCCGCCGCAGCAGCAGCAACAGGAGAAGGACGCCGACGAGACCTTCTATCGGTCGATCCGCGACTCTGTGCCTCCCGAGCTGCGTCCTCGTGTCGTGTTCCAGACGGTCGATTGTGCATCGTCGTCGGCGTCGTGCAACGCACTGCTGGCCACCACCCGCGAAACTGCCGCTCAGGACCTGGCCCAGAGCACCAGCAGCAGCAACGGCAACCTGGTCGTCGTCGGCCGCAACAGCCTGGCCATGAACACACCAGCACCGGCCGCTGCTGCTGCAACAGGTTCTCCCTCTGTGGCACCCCGGCCGTCTTCCTCTTCTGCTGCCTCTGCTTCGGCCTCCCCTGAGTTTGGCCATGAGGCAAAGAAGGCGATTGGCGTCCTGGGCGAGGCGATGGCAGGGAAGGCCTACGGCATCGACGCCAGCGTCCTCATCGTCCAGGCCAGTCACTAGCTATCTCATCTTTCTTCTCTGCCAACTTTCCATCTGTGACACTCTAGCATTATTAGCATGAAATTTATTGACCGTCCCATGAAACTCAGGCTTATTCTTTTAAACTCTTCGGCAAGATCGTAACCTATCCACGGAAACAAACACGCGGAGTAAAAAGGTTAGACACAGGCCGGCCTGTTGCATCGGCGAATATCCCAGCCCTGACGCCCGCTCCTCTCGTATTAAGCTGTCCATCTCAAGCAAGCAAGCATGTCGTCTTCCGTCCGTCCGCCGCCCCTTGTCACCCTCTGCTACTCCGGTTTATACACTCTGTCCTTCAACGTATGGCTGTCGCTGCCGCCATCCTTGCTGCGTCTACAGCAGGTATAATATAGACAGGCTTCCAGCATCCGGCAAGGGGTCTCGCTCTGTCTCCGTCTGGCTGCTGCACCCTGCCGTCTCTCTGCCATCATCTTCCTCTGCGCTGCTCGACCCCATGTGTCACCTTCGCATGTACTCCAGGCGTAAACTGCGTAAACTGCTCCGTCGCCCAGCTCCCTGAACTCGCTGCTGGAGGTCCTGCGCGCCCCCGTTCTCCACGTCCGCCTGTCCAGTCCCAGCGAATCTCCAGCAGGGACAGCCAATCGCAGGGCCGCTAAAGGGGGCTTTTTCTGCTTCTTCTCTTTTTCTTCCAGAACGTGTGGAGATGGAAAGATGGAGATTGAAGTTTGAGATTCTTCCTGTCTGGTCTGGTCGGGGTTGAAATCAGCGGAGCTGTTGCAAGTCCAGTAGGCTGTAGGTAGTTGAAGTCGAGAGAGAAGGCGTTTTCCCGTGCGACTGGGATGCGACGGAGTGACAGGAGGAACATCCAGTCTTCACTGCAACGAAAGGGCCTTTATAACCGCCGCCAGGCCTCGTCGTCTCCCTTTCTCTTCTCTCCCTCTTCTTTGTCCTGCTCTCTCTCGTCTTAGCTACTCGATACGAGCTGTCTCGCTCTTTTATTCGGCAACTCAAGCGCGCCCAGTAGGTGGACTCCTCGCTCCGTCGGCCAAAGTCAGCCCCCGATCCTCCAGTATAAGAAGACTCTCGCAGCGACGCCAGGACGGCCAGCAGGACAGCCCGCAAGCAGGACTGAGACGGGCCAGCTCATACAACGAACTCGCCGGGTTCTCCCTTGCGACCGAGAGTAAACTACCTACTTATTGACCGTCCTGTCCCGCCGGCTGAAGATCTCAACTTCGCCCTCCACGCGACTCCCACGGCTCCATCTTTCGACCATCTCGACTGTTCCTACACCTTCAAGTCGCCATCATGGGCGTAAAGGCAGGTCAGTTTTGGGTCTCTGTCTTGCTGTCTGCCGGCCTGCTGACTCTCCCTCTGTAGAAGCAGATGTCTCTCCCGACCTCTCTATCGAGCAGGGCAGCGAGCTCCCGCCGCTCAAGAACACGACCGAGCGCAAGCTCATGGCAAAGATAGACCTCTACATCTTGCCCATGCTCAGCATCCTCTATCTGCTCGCGTTTCTAGACAGGTATCATGCGCCTGTCTCTCACTGCTGCTGCTTCTTCTTCATTGTTCTTATTCTCTTTTGATACCCCGTTTCACTGTGATGATCACTAACGCTGATGCGCATGCAGAGTGAATATCGGTAACGCAGTCATCTTCGGCCTCAAGAAGGACCTGGGCATCACCTCGGGCACGCAGTACAACACGGCCCTGACCATCTTCTTTATCCCTTACGTCTTGTTCGAGGTACGACGGAGCAAGTGTTAACTAGCAATCAGAAAAAAAGGTGACTGACTGGCGGATAGATTCCGTCAAACCTGCTGCTGAAGAAGTTCAAGCCTCATGTCTGGCGTGCGTTTGGCCCTTAAAACTATTACCCCGAGCAGAGAGGACGGATTTGACTAACAAACACCTCGCTATAGTCTCCTTTTGCATGTTTGCATTCGGCCTCGTTACCTGTCTCCAGGGCATCACGACCAACTATGCCGGCATTCTCGCGACTCGTTTCTTCCTCGGTCTTGCCGAGACCGGCATGTTCCCTGGCTGTAAGTATTCGGAATGCCTCAAGTATATACGTATATACACGTTCTGACTTGGATAGGCTTCTATTTGATGGGCATGTGGTACAAGCGATCTGAAGCCCAGAAGAGATTCTCTTTCTTCTTCAGCTCTACTACCCTGGCCGGTGCCTTTGGAGGCTTGCTTGCCAGTGGTATCGGCAAGATGGGTGGTCTGCGCGGCTACAATGGCTGGAGATGGCTGTTCATTCTCGAGGGTGTCTTCACCTGCGTCGTTGCTGCCATCTGGTTCTTCCTCATCCCTGATTTCCCTGAAGACGTCAAGTGGTTGACCGAGGAGGAGCGTGAGTTCATCAAGGCCAAGCTTGCAAAGGACGTCGGTAAGGCCGGTGTCGATGCCAAAGTCACCTTCAAGGACGTCATCTCTATCGTTGGCGATCGTGAGTCAAACTGACCTACCCATCATCCACTGCTTCTATACTAACCCAGCTACAGCCAAGGTCCTGATCGGTGGATTCATGTATCTCGGCATGATCGTTCCAGCATACAGTATGACACCCCTATTCTACCACTGCCGTTATACCTGTGGCTAACAATCAATCACAGGCTACGCATACTTTGCTCCAACCATCATCAAGAACTACGGCTATGGGCGTAAGTCTAGACCTACCGACAATTTACCCCCCTGAAAGACATTAACCAGCTAAACTTCCCGCAGCAATTGAGACCCAGCTCTACTCCATCCCCCCATGGGCCGTAGCATTCGTCTTTGCCATGTTGATGGCCTATGTCTCAGACCGCATCTCCCACCGCGCCTCATTCGCTACTCTGCCCATAGCCTTTGCCATTGCCGGTTTCTCCATGCTTCTCACCATCCATGGCAAGGAAAACAGACACATTCAGTACGGTGCTCTCTTCATCACATGCGGCACTTACAGTGCCATGCCAATCATTATCTGCTGGTACGCAATGAACCTGTCTGGTCATAAACGCCGAGCCATCGGAACCGGATGGCAGATCGGGTTCGGGAACAGTAAGTCACCCCGTACCCACAACTCATTCAAAGACTTGACATACTAATTGTATTCTAGTCGGTGGAATCATAGCTACATACAGCTTCCTGGAGAAAGACGCTCCGCAGTTCAAGCCAGGACACAGCATATCAATTGGCTTCCTGTGTCTGGCCGTCGTCTCCTCAGTGCTCTACCTCTTCCTCATCCTAAGCCGTAACAAAAAGAAGGATGCTCAGGGTGCTCCAACCCAGGCTCTAGACCAGGAAGATGGCGACTTGGGCGATCTCAGCCCTAACTACAGATACCAGATCTAATGTTGCTGCGTGTGCTCAGTCAAGGAGAGAAGCAAGAGAGATTCTTTAACTGAAATTAGTAATAGATGGATATGGATCGGGAGCTTAAAAACAGACGCCACAAAACAGAAAGGATCACGGCGGATAGTTATGTCATGTTTGTTACGTTATGGATGGATTGATTTCTTTCTCCCTTGCTTGCTGATATTATGTTTCAATACCAGCGATAAGCCTGCATTCTAGCTAGAGTCAACTAGTATTACAGAGTTTAATCCATTTCTCTTTATTCCCTATATTTATTTATGTAACTTATTGACCTGTCTTTATAAAGAGAAAAAGGGGGCCATTTATTAATTCCGCTTCTACATGCCTTCCGCCTAGATAAGCGCAGAAAATACATATGTATAGATGTGAGCATGGTATATGTGCATCGTTAACATCAGAAAACGCTGAATGGACATAAGAGTTGATGATCAACAGCATGACACAGGTAGCCATGTTGGTGAGAGATTAAAGAAAAAGTAGAAAAATGCACATTAAGTGGAGAAGATGGATGGATAGAGGGGCTATCTCGGTTCCTGCGAAGGGAAGAAGCGTGGCCCTGCAAAACCATGGGCAATGATGCTCTCAATATCCATCCGGCCGGGGTTGTAGGGAGCCCACATCTTGATAAGGATGTATCGTGCAGACCTATATCGAGTTAGAAGAAACATGTCATGTGTTAATGAAGAGAACGAACAAAAGGACATACACTGGAGGATTAAATCTGATCTGTACAGCGGCTCTCTCGTGTTCGATCGCGAATCTAGCGACAGGCTGCATGGTATCGGACTCCTGGTTTTGTCCTGTCTCAGCAGCTGGCCGAGCAAAGACGGTCGTGGGTGAGAGTGCTCGGTGCCGATGCGATGGTCTAGCCTGCATATACGGCACACGAACGCCGAGGGCCTCAAGAAGCTGGCGTTGTCGGCTATCTAGGTTCTGGGCCAGTGCCTCGGCCACACCGGATATGCCGTCACTGCTCTCGCTGTCACTGCCATCGTGGTTCGGGGAACTATCGCGCGAATTGGATGGTTCAGTGTCAGAAAGGGCCAGTTGGTCGCGAGCGGCGTCCAGCTGGGTTGATTCGTCGTCAGACTTGTCTTCTACGTCAATGCCGCTGAACGGGGGGTAGTCGAACGCTTGGTACTGCTGCTGGCTGGCGCGGGTTCGAAGCATACGGGCACGAAGGATTGAAGCTGAAGTCTCTGGTCGTCTGTTATTTCCCATGGCCGCTGCTGTGAAGGGGGATAACTGTTCGTTCCGACGACGGGGCCGGCGGGATGGGAACCCAGGCATAGAATCGGCGGTACAGCTGGCTACCGAGCGAAGGAAACGTGAGTCAGAGTCCATGGCTATACTCACAGTTCCTTCTCGGACACTAAATATTTGTATCTATGTTAGTAAACTAAAACGTAAAAAAAAAAAAAAGGTACTGGAACTTTATAGAGAAAAAGGGACATACTTCGTCTCGTCGTGGCATCCGCTCTTGGGAGTCTTGATGATCAGCTTCTTCAGCGAGAAAGGTATTTCGCCACGGTGCCTAAGGACGATGTTGCAGAAACCGCCCTGTGCCCGGTAGGCGACACCATCGTTGACCAGAATATGGTCTGGGGAGTTCCCTCGTCTGTCGGGTTCGGCACTACCTCCCTTGCAGCTATGGACTTCCATTTCCAGCGGCACCGAGGTGGCCTGGCCATAGTGGCTGTAGCTGAACCCCTTGGTGGTATCTCTGCTATCGTCAGCGTCGATTTTTCGGCGCTTTGACTGGCGGTGGTCTGACATCGAGTCCGTGGGTGGGGATCTAGCAGATGACCGTTCAGGCTGCCGTGGTGTCGACTCTACAGCCCCAATACTGGCGATTGCCTGCCGGAACTGACGCTCTGCACGCTGCAAGGAAGCCAAGGAGGCGAGAGACTCCTGTCTCTGCAGTGGAGGGCGCGGCGGCGGCGGTGGAGGTGGATGAGGCTGCTGCTGCTGCTGCTGCTGCTGTGACTGTCTGGCTTGTCTCCGAGCCTCCCTCTGCGAGATAACGTGTCGTTGTAGAGTCTGACTCAGTGTGGGAAGCGGTTCCGAAGAAGAGTTACTGATGGCCTGGGGGTCGACGGTCGAATCTGCGGTGTTATACTCTTGCAGAGAGCGGTCCAGGGCATGCAGAAAGAAACTCCGGTCTTCGTCCATTTCGGAGATGATATCTCTCAACTGCCGGATTCTTGCGGCGATGGTCTGGAAGCTCGTCAGGTCGTGAGAAGAGTCCCGGTCAAAGGATGGCGGTGGAGGGTTGTTCGACTAGATAACGCCGTCAGTATTGTGCGTGTGCGTGTGTGTTGTAGCCGCGTAACTGAACACCGGGCCGGTCGACGGAACAAAAGAACAGGCTGACCACTTCTGGGGCGAGAGAGGGGTGTTGCTCACCATGGCTAGGGATCGGTAGGGTAGGATTTTAACAGCCAGACAATCAACCCTGGACGCTGCCTTGCCGCGGACACAAGTGCCAGCGTGTGTCAAGCGGGTTATACACGCACTAACGTCTTCTTTCTTCCTTCTTCCTTACGAACTGCTGACTATTCCGTAGACGCGGGAACCGAAGGACGAGCTGGCCGTTCCGTTGTGCTGCTCAAGGAAAGCTGAGGGAAAAAAGGCTGCAGGCCAAGGCGCCTCTTCTTTGACTCTCCTCACTCGGTCTACTATTATTATGATTATATTATTATCGACGAATAAGCAAAACAGCGGAAAAAGAAAAGAGAAACCAGCGGTTGTTGAAGTTCGACGTCGAGAAGCAAAATCATCAAAAGACACAAAACAAAAAACGAAGACACGAAAAGCGCTGAAACTTCGCCCGTTTCGGCGATGGAGAAAACCGGGATAAAGTGGGGCGGCTTTAGTCAGCAAGCTTTAATCTGCTTCGGGACTAGCGCAAAGAAGGTTAAAACAGCGCACGGTTCAAGGGGGACCCACCGCTGCCACGTGATAATATGATGTAAGCATTTGATTATTATATAAGCAGGGCTTCTTTGCTTTTTCTTCTTTTCTTTTTCTTTTTTGAATTTAATAATAATAATCATCATCATCGTCACTTTCATAATGCGTTCTTGCCTCAACAACAGCTCACAGGTTCAACCCTCGACAAGCTGCTAGACGAGCTCTCTCGCTTGGAGGAGTTGCGGTACTTGCTGCGGTGTGCTGGAGCAGTTTGAAAATGGCTACACACGAGACAATGGCAACCAATGGAAACAGTGGGATCAGTGCCGGTGAGTCTTGCGAGTAGCTGACAGCTCATGTCCTCTTCTACATACAGCCTGGCCTAACACTGTGTGACTAGACGAGATCGCACTCTATGATAGACAGATCCGGCTCTGGGGCGTAAAGGCGCAGGAACGGTGAGGCGAGGATTAGCGATAGCATGTCTGAATAGCATTGCTGATATGTGTCATCCACCAGAATACGCAACGCGAACATCCTCCTGGTCACTCTCAAGGCTCTCGGGAACGAGATTGCGAAGAACCTCGTGCTTGCAGGAATCGGCACTCTGACTGTTGTTGACGATGGGGTTGTGCGTGAGGAGGATCTGGGTGGACAGTTCCTCGTTACAGAAGAAAACCTCAACCAAAGTGTATGTTCACACCTCCTTACAGACTTAACCGCGGAGCCACCGGTCACTAACGCTGTCTGTCACAGAGAGTCGAGGCAGCCGCACCACAAATCCGCCAACTGAACCCTAGAGTCAAGCTCATCGTCGACCCCTCCAGCATCAAATTGAAACCGCCAGTGTACTATGAACCGTTCGACCTTGTCATTGCCACGGATCTGGACTTCGAAACTTTTTCTACCATCAATGCTGCCTGCCGCCTCGCCAATCGTCCTTCATACATAGCTGGTGTCCATGGTTTCTACGGCTTCATCTTTGCTGACCTGATCAGCCATACTTTTGTGATTGAGCGTGAGAAATCAAACGTGGCCCCGCAGACAAACGAGACGCCTACACGCACCGTTCTAGAAGTCACTACTAAGGTCGAAAACGACAAGACAATCGAGATGGTCACCAAGCGAGAGACATACAGTCCTTTACTGCTGGCAAACACCTCCCCCTTGCCAGAGGAATTTACCCGCCTACCCCGGAAACGCAAGCAAGTCACACCCTTGCTCACATGTCTCCGTGCTCTATGGGATTTCGAGCGCCAACACGGTGTTCCACCATCCTTTTCCCGTCAGGACCTGGAAAATTATACTCGTCTAGCGAACGAGCGCCATCTAGAGCTTCAACTAGATCCTTCAACACTGACAGCCGCAGTCCTGCGCTCATTCCTACAAAATGTGGGGAGCGAAATTAACCCCGTAGCAGCGTTCTTAGGTGGCAGCTTGGCCCAGGACGCGATCAATGTGCTCAGCCAAAGAGAGCAACCACTTCAGAACTTCCTTATTTTTGATTCTGAGAAAAGCGTTGCCCCCATTTATTCGCTTCATCCGTTCTTCCCTGATACTACTAATGGTCTTTAAATTCCTTTTCTTAACTTCGATTCTGGGATTTGGGGGGTTTCAACGGGGCGGGGCAATGGTTTATTTACAGGCGGCTTAAGGGACTTTCTATCTATCTATTTTCCTTATATCTCCCATTCATATTCACGCTTCAATTTCACCCTTATTTGGTGGAAATGCAAGATAATAAATCTTACGACTTCCTAGTGTCATAGGACAAATTTATATCCATCCAAACAAGGACTAACTTCAACGATAGCGAGTAAGCTGGAACTACTGCAGTCAAATCAGAAATACCTTCCCATTATTTGATTTCCTAACTAAACTCCCAAACCCTTATCCTTTACTTGATGACCTAGTAAAACGACAGACGAAAAAGACTGGGGGAAAGGTGAGATGGACAAATAAATACAAGAAAGTTAGGAATGTAGAAGAATCTGCACGCCCTGAATCTGCTCATGGTAGTTGGGAAGGTTGTAGTTTATTGCGGGAAATTGGAAACGGAGCTGTTTCCGAAAAAACCAAGAGAGGGACAGACCTCAGTTTGGTCTCATGAGCGTGGGCGGAAAGTGAAGCTCTGGTAGAAGGAAATGTGAGAAATAGCTTAGAGCTTAACGGCTCCGTTGGTTGGAGCTTCTTCCTCGTCACGGTCTTTATCAGCCGCGCCGATAAGGCCTTCGAGTTCGAATTCTTGGGCATCACGGATATTTCGTTCCTGGGCGGCAGCAGTCGCGCCACCGTTCATTCCACCGTGAATGTCTGCATTTGGGGACGCTCCATCAAGGCCAAATGGGGCTGTCGGGGCTCTGGCATGATGGTGGAATCGGCCAGGCATATGGCTGGGGCGGTGCCGGGTGTACACTGCGGACTCTGGCCAAGCATGAACTGCATAAATGTGGAGAAGAACATTTACAACTGTTGGTACCAGATGGTTAGTTTAAAGTAGTCATTGATTGGCTGGGTATTGTAGAGACTTACAGAGGAATAGGAGGCAGGCCAAGCTGTAGAGGATAAGGAGGTAAGAGACATGGCCAACTCCAGCATCGTGTAGAAGTTGCATCTGTTCTTCTGTGGCGCCCATGAAGATAAAGCCAGAGGCAAAGAGGAGCTAAATAATTATCGTTAGTTAAATTTAAGTCAATTAGTTAAAATGCTCGTCGAAAGGGTAAACTTACGTATGGAGTGAGATACTGGAAGCTGTTTGGGTCAGAACCATCTGGGCTAAGGGTGCTGCGGTCCTTGAGGACGAAGGAGATCTCAATAATTCTTGCTGCACCAGCGGCCATCAAAGTGTATCCGAATACAGAGTGAACCATGGTGCTGAGCATCAAATGCTGGGCATGGGAGGACATGGCGTATCCAGTAAGCAGAATTACCACTGCAGGGAAGATGTTACGCTTTGGACGTCCGTTTCGCTTTCTGCTCAACCACATTCCCAGAAGACCGGCGCACCACCAAATGATACCCATAGTTGTGTGCTGCATATCACTATGGCTCCATTCGGATCCCCAGCGGTGCTCAGTAAAGGTATTGACAAAGCCCCATGCAGTAATGACAGCCGAGTCAAAGAATTCTTGGCTTCGTCCGGTACTGCGCAGCCAGAACTGTCCAACGAGGAGTAGAATGGTAAGGATGATGCCGTAAGCGATGAAAGCGCTTCCCATGATAAAATGAGCAAGGCACTGGCCGAGATGGTCTGCTCGGCAGAACCCGAGGGCTGTGATACCTCCAAAAACCATTTGAATCCAGCTCACGAGTGGCATAATCTTCCCGACAACTCCGTGGGTTACAACCACGTACTGGCGAATTCGGCCATGAAATCCTCTCTCAATGTGAAGTTTGAGGTACACGCCCAAAACGACTTGCACAACGAGCATGAGCATAAGAGAGTTGGCAAACGAAGCATGGATATTCGGGGCAAATTGGCGTCCCTTGTGAAGGTGGCCAAGAAAGTACGCGAGGATGGCCACAGCGGTACCAACGACTTGAACGGGAACATGGTATCGAGACCGGACGATCTGGATGTATCAGGAAATGTCAAAAATGTCAAAAACAACGCGTGTATAGGGTGTTTTGACGGCACTTACGCCCAAAACCATGCCAGTTGGAAAGATGAGGCCAAACGTGAGAGTCATCAGCAGGATGTGAATCCATAGCGTAGTATCCTATCAACCAGACGAAATCATTAGCAACCGTAGCCTCGAACACGTCCGCTTCAGCTTCCAGCTCCAGAAGATAACGTACCAGGGGGTCTCCCGAGATGACCTTTCCATCCGGAATCTTGTGATGATCTCCATGGGCCATGACCACAGGGCTGAGGGCTAGGCCCAAGGCGATTGATCCAAGCATCTTGATCGTCTTTTCCAGCTAAAATATGGTCAGGGATAGGGATTGTTGTTTATCAGGTAAAGGAGCAGGTGCAGAATAAAGCAGAAACAGGGCTGGCTCTGTTGCAGAGAGGTGAAAGACAAGATATGTGCAGAGATCGGGGTTTGCTATATATATGAAGGGAAATATATATAAAGAGAAAAGCAGTGTGACGCCGAGCTATTAGGACTATAAAGCCATAGCCAGTGTCCTCAAGAAGTGCGTCCTAGGCCTACCAGTCAGCAAAGACAGCCCAGGGCATCCTCTAGCAGATGGAATGCGGAGTGGTTTGATATAAGATGGTGATAATGGCTCTCCCTTAGTAGCAGGATGCAAGTCCTCGCAATCCCCTTTCTGCTTATGTCATCCCTTTCTTATCTCCGGCCGGTCCAGCCATGCAAAAAATTCTCCTGAACTTTCGACCGACCAACGTCCTACCATTGACAATTAATAGAGAAAGCAGACGGCAGCGCTTCAACGAGGTCGTTCGCTACATGCGAGACAGCCATAGGCCTTGTGATTCCCCCTTATTGTGTGAATATACTCTTTCTACGTTCTGCAAACAGCCCAGACAAGTCGAACAAAGACTGCTTGCTCTAGTTCGAAAGCTTGGAGCCATACCAAAACAAAAGGGTACCCCGGATACCCCATACCCCAGATACCCAGGTACCCCAGATACCTCAGCTACCTCAGAAACACCTAGCGACAATGACTGTGGCTATTGATGATGAGAATACTACCGGAGTCATACCCCCAACACCTCTGCAGGCAAAGAAGATTGTGCGTGCCGCCGTATCCAAGATGTAGTAGGAGACGGGATGTGGTGCTGATTGATTCTCGATTCCGGTATAAAGGAAACTTTAGAGGCCAGGATACCCAAGCTTCACGAGCAGATTAAAAAAAACGGACTAGCTATTGTCAAAGCCAGAGAGAGACTCAAGTACTTCCCCTTGTATTCGTTTAACTTGGTTGTCCTGCAAGATCTAACACTCGAGTTTAATCCCACTATAGTGAGTTGGTTAAGGAATATGGGGGCCCTCCGGATGCCGCTGGTATCGTCAAAGAGCATATTCGGCTTCTCCACGACTATAATGAAATCAAAGACGTTGGGCAAGGGTTGATCGGACTCATTGCTCAAAGCCGTGGAGTGAGACACATTGAAGTACAAACTGAGTTCGGAATAGCTACCGCAGATTAACCTGATCGCTAAAGCCGCCAGAGGATGACGCCGTGTGGCAGGTATACTATTTTAAGCTAAATCTATATCTATTAAATTCAAGGTCAAAGTCAAGAACCAGCTTTCGTTCCATCCTATATCGTTCACAAATGAGATTCATATAAATCGAATGAAAAATGTCGTAGACCAAATAAGACAAGACAAATGAAAATGGGAGAGGGGGGTAAACATAGTGATCAGACATTTCGGTGAAATAAAAATGACATCTAACAATTATCCTCCGACAAGAGAAATACAATCTTCAACTGCGTTTTCAAGATCTATGATGCGGTTCTTTAGGTATCGGTTCTCCTCCCGTAGGATACTAGTGACCGTCGACGCGTCCGAAGAGCCATTGGCACGGCAATCGGGACATTTCAGTCTAGAAGATGTCAAGGCGTTGAAGGATGTGCCGAGAGCCGATGATGATATGCCTTTGAGAACTCTGCCGTAGGCACTCTCGCGCTGTGGTGCTGGCTGGGCGGCTTTCGGGGTACTCGGGCTGGATGTAGGCGCATATGCGGCTGGGCTCGGCTGGGTGGTGGTCGCAGACGGGCTTGCCATTGAGACTGCAGAAAATCTGGTGTTGACTGATGCACCATCGTCATTCTCTCGGGAAAACACGCTTTCAGCAATGCTCTCGTCTCCCGAGTCAAAGCCGGAATCGCTAGTAATCGTCACGCCACTCGAATTTTTTGAGTGAGTACCCTTGGAATCTCGAGTTGGTGTAGCCGCATCTTCCGGTTGTTTCTGCTGCGGCTGCGGCTGCTGCTGTTGTTGCTGCAGCTGCTTGGTCTTGATTCCGTCCTGGTACTTTTGCCTCTCAGCCTTAAGTTCCTCTGTCAGAGACTTCAATGCTTTGTCTTGTTCAACCACCCGAGCCGCCATTCCGTCAAGCTGAGACTTGATATTTTTAATCCGCGATTGCGCGTCCTCCAGCTCGTCTTCCTGTGCATTTTTCTCCGCTACTGCCGCATGTAATGCAAAAGTTCGTAGTTTGTAAGCTTCTTGGAATTCGCGTAGGAGGTTTTCTGCGTTGGCTCGCAAGGAGTGAAGGGCTTCTTCGGGAGGGAGGTCGGCAAAGGAAGAGTGGCATAGGATAGATTTGATATCGAGATTCAAAAGCTTGTCATTGGCAGGTTCTGGCAGCGGCTCCCGTTGGTTTTGCTGGGGTTTTGACGTAAAGAATGCGAAAGGGTTTCCTGAAGCAACCTGCCTCAACGAGGCCGAGACGTTCATATTTCTGGACAGCTTCGTGGGTGACGATGGGGACGAGTTGCGACTTAATCGCTCGAGAGAAGGTGAGGCGTCGTGCATCATGTCGTCTAGAGCTCCCCTATCCGAACGTGGGGAGGGAATAAGCCCCAATCGCATCGGTGTAGATTCTCCCTGGAAAAGCCCAGAGAACAACCGACTTGAGCGGTTGGATTTAGGCTCGTTGGCTTTCTCCGTTGAAGCGCCCAGATCCACGTCCTCGAGCTTGGACGGGTCCGTGTCAGCGTAGTGGCTTGTCGTCCTTATTCCATCTATGGGGAATGACGGCCCATTCACAAGCCCCGGAAGGTCGGTTTTGGCACGACGATGCGAGGCCGCAATGTTTTGCGAAGAGCTATGAGGTCGGTCCTCTTGAGGCCGTAGCCGCGATGGTTTCGTTGGTGAGCTGGGTAGAGACCGGCCCCCTTCTGAAGAGTATGTGGCAGCGCGAACAGTAGCAGACCATGCTGCTTCCTGTTGACCTTTCGACGACAGGTTGTTGTTCGTCCTTGATTCGTCAAAAATCTTGTTTAAGCGTTGCTGCAGCCGGTCTGGCGACGGGTTTCTTGACGTCTCGGGCGTCTTCTCGCCAACCTGCTTTTTCCACGTATCCATGCTTTCACAAAGCTGCCCGACAACGGTTCATATCGATATTCCCACAATTCGGATTTTTTTTTTTTTCGAACGGGTACCAGCCCATATATAGGACACGGCGTTTATTGTTCGTGCAAAAGTTTGCAGCGCTGCCCAGAGATGAAAGAGTACACACCGACGCCGGAAAATAGTTGGCTTCCAAAAAGCAAATCTGCCTGAGACGTGCGATGACGAATTTCACTTGCTGGGCTGCCCCCTGGTGGAGCCGAATGATCTTTATCGATAAAACAAGCGTGTTGCTCCGGTAATGAAGGACCGCGTCCTGCACCAGCTTGTTTTTGCAAGGCCTCGCCATTCATAGAATTCACAGCCGAGGCATTTCAATGGTGCATTTTGCCGTGCTAAGGATGTGCATTTAAATAGTGGCTGTGCGGTGGACGTAAGTTGCATGCTTTTGGCTATGACGGTTGCCACATCATCGCGTGGACCATTATTTTAGTCGATGTTAGCTAATAAGTGCAGCATAACCGTAAAGGTACTAAGTACTCCTTACGTTAACAACTTTCTTTCTCGGCATCTATATCGTCTATGAGTATCTAGGAGTTGAGGATAAGCAAAAGTGCGGGATGGATGTTGTAAACAAAGGGGATCCAGATGTTTTTCAGAAAAGAAGTGGAGCAGCGCGGCTAATTGACGGGAACGGGCGCTTATTACTTATCCAGCCCAGCGAGCCTAAATTCGACGCCGCAGGGTCAACTCCGTCAACAGGACACAGTGGCAGGTCCGCCGACATCCAACCGCACCCACGGCCTAACAACCCGTTTTTTACTCTGGTTGATCTATTATATCACTCGATGGTGACCTGATTTTATATTTCGTTTCTAATTTCCCGCCTGAGTTCTGGGCAATTGGCCAGGACCGCAGTTGCCCACCTACCACAATGATAACGCTTGGTCTAGGATCGCTTTGCGCGGAATGCGTAAGCGTCATCAAGGATGTTCCTCTGTCGCTGCTCTTTGGACTTTTACTCTCTTGCTTTATGGGACTTTTTAGCCTGGTAAGCCTTGCTTGATCGTCGGTTATCAATTAATGCCACGTTGTAACCAACGAAGGTGTTCCGTTAGGCCTATCTCCTCCTTTTGATCCTAGCGCCTGCTCCGCGAGCCCCATTTGCCGAAGAGAAGAAATACAAAGCAATTCTAGAAGATGGGAGTCTTGCTAAGGACCAGCAACTACCTTGCTGGCATGATAAGATCAACCTGGACACGTACAAGCAGTCGGACCTCGAGGAACCCACCTTATTCATGTCTGTCGTGATACCAGCGTATAATGAGGAAAAACGACTCCCTGGGATGTTAGAAGAGACTGTTAGCTATTTACAACGCGCGTATGGAACACCAGAACGAACGGGTCAGGCAGAGAAAACAAAAACTGCCAGTTTGCGGGATGGCGATCTTGGAGAGACGAGACTTCGACACAAAGCCAACGGCGAAGCAGGATCGACCGCTGGCAAGTACTCGGCTGTACCGTTGAAAGGCTGGGAGATATTAATCGTCTCTGACGGTTCGACCGACAATACCGTGGAGACAGCACTAGCCTTCGCCAAGGACCACCAGCTGTCCGCCCATCCTAAGGGCCATGCAGGGCCATGGACCCCAAAAATAGAAGAAGGCGTTAAGATACCAGCCGGAAGTATACGGGTTATTGAATTGACCCAGAACAGGGGTAAAGGTGGCGCAGTGATCCACGGGATGAGACATGTTCGAGGACAATATGCCATATTCGCGGACGCCGACGGGGCCAGCAATTTCAACGACTTAGGCAAATTGGTGGAAGCATGTGAGAAGATAGAGGAACCAAACCGACGCGTAGTTGCTGTTGGCTCGAGAGCGCATTTGGTAGGAAGTGATGTGGTTGTCAAGGTAAGTTGACTTCTTATTGATTATTACAGATTCTACATGAGATATAATGTAACGTCAGCTAACATTCCTCAAGCGATCTAAACTACGGAACTTCCTAATGCACTCTTTCCATCTAGCTCTCCGCCTCCTTACGCCACCGGCAACAGCCAGAATTAACGACACTCAGTGTGGCTTCAAGCTCTTTTCCCGGGCAAGTCTGCCCTACATTATACCCTACATGCACTCAGAAGGCTGGATCTTTGACGTTGAAATGCTCATGTTAGCTGAATTCGCCAACATCCCCGTTGCTGAGGTGCCTATCGGATGGAAAGAGGTATCAGGTAGCAAGTTGAGCGTCGTCTGGGATAGTCTGGGCATGGCTTATGGGCTTGCTATACTTCGAGCCGCGTGGGCTTTTGGCGTCTATACACGGGCTGGAAACTGAGCTTATCTTTTTGATATACATGCATATATACTTCTTAGACTGTACATCATTTGCATTTAAACTACTTTGGTAGCTGGAGAATATATAACTACCATTGATAGTCCAACGAAAGCTAAATTGGGAGCTGTGGAACTGTTTGAAGACGATCCCTGGATTTTGCTCTACTTTATATAGTTACTCATAGTTCGCGCCGCCGCCCATACCGTGTCCACCCGATCCCACTCACTGATGCATTTCCAAACCGACTAATCAATAAAAGCCATTCCTCCAAAAAGTCCCAATGTATAAAAATATGCCAGAAACCCAATGTTGGGTAGCCAACAGATGGAAAAAAAAAAAATAAAGAAACAATAGAGCAGAAGTACGGTTGACTGCGTTGCTCTGGGTATATGTAAATTGATGTAAAAAGTAACATCTTCGGAATCATGTCTGCCGTCTGAAAGGCCGTGAAATATAATTATACAGTCGTTTCGGGTGGAGCCATTGGTAGAGTAAGTGTGGGTTATGTCGGTATAAAGAGACGTATGAAGATATGGCTGACGATGAAACAGCAGCGTAGACAAGGCTGTTCCAGAAACCTTGTAAGGGGAGCACAAGGGAGGCGACGTATGTCAAGACGTTGCTTGGTTTGTTTGGTTCTACAAATGAGTAGACACGGTTCAGAGATGCAGGTACCTACAGGTAATTGTTAGAAAAGTTGATAAAGAAGAGGCAAAGTTGGTTTTGAGAAGGAAATAGAATGGCAGGGGACTCACCCAGGTGACGAGCAGAGAGCAGAAGAAGAGAAGAGCGAATTTCGAATAAGCCCATGCAGCGCTCTGTCGTTCCCATGAGGCCTTGCGGATGCGGTACTTATCACCAGATGTGCCACATATTCCGGGGAAGCTCTGGTTGTTCCCTGGTGCATACTCTATGTCTATCTCGCCTTGTGTTCCTCCAAGTTCAGGGCCATGTGTGGTTTGTCTGGGTGACGCGGGAGGGAAGTAAGCTGGTTCAAGGCCATCACCTAGATGATCCTGCCAAAGCTCAGGTTCCGGCCAATTTTCCAGGTGATATGTGTGTTGTTGTGGCTGCTTTTTTTGCTGCTGCTGCTGCCGGTCTGTATGTTGACTACCTTGCTGAGCGTGTTGCTGCAGGCCGGGACTGATATCATGTTCGGCGTAGCTTGAGGCTTCAGTGACGCCAGCAGTGGTCGACTCAACACCCGACAAGGTAAGACTGATGTTGCGCAGGCGTTGAATGTCTTTGCGACTGGCGAGGATGAACCTGGCGCTGTATAGGTAGATGCCGAGAGTGATCAGGATGGTGGTCCAGATGGGTCCGTAGACGCCTCCGATTCGGAGAACCGACCACTCTGGTCTAATCCAACACCAAAGCTAGAAAATGAACAAGTTAGCAATTTTGCCAATATCACCGATGATCTCTAAGCAAGCTTACAGTTGCATCTCCATAGACCTTCCCTTTCTCCTCACTTTTGATAAAGAGGAAGGCAAAAGCGGGTATGAAGGGAAAGAGGTAGCATATAACCATGTACTTCCACTCCAACTTCCGTAACTCTGCGGTGCTATATCGATGGAACAGGGTCAAGTAGACATTGCAGGCCATACAGAATGCCCAAAGAGCATCGGCGACATGGAACCTTTACTCCATGAAACAAATTAGCATCCAACATGGTCCTCACATAGGAAATGATTCGAAGAGGGATTCATTCATACCATTGAATGAAGAGGGCTTGCCACTGACAGAGGGCGCTGTCCTCGCCCGCAATGATGCCAGATCTCGAGGTGACCGTGGCACAGATACCGAGTAGATTCCCCCATGTTGCGAAGAAGATGAGACGGTTGACGGGCGTCCTGAAGCGGTGGCTGGCGACGAAGGTGAGGACGACGAAGAGGCAACAGGCGAGAGAGACCGTCGAGCTCACCCGCTCAGTGATGTCCAGCACATGCAGTTGTCGCTCGGTGAATGGCATCGGTCTTCGCTCATGGCCATCTAGTCAGTCAAGTCAAGCCTTTTTGGAGATGGTTCGAGGTTTTGTTGAGCTGAGAGTCGGACACGCAAAGATGAAGTGTCCAGTCCCAGACAAGGCTCTGGCTCTCTCTTTTTGAGGGTGGGAGAGTAACCTCTCAGCCGTGCGGGTATCCTGCGCCTGCCTGCGTCCGGTCCTAGGTAGTTATATGTACATATATAGCTGGCGAGTTACTCGACGCCATCCCACCCGCCAGCCGCTTGCATCACTTCGCCTTCTCGCCTGCCTCTCGGTTTCGTCTCATCTTCGTCTCTTCCGTGTGCCCGGGGCGGATGCTCCGTCACGTGTCAGACTCCATGGATGGCATCAAGTTTGTTCTTCCTCAGCAAGATGCAAACCTGCATAAGTATGTGAGATTTCGCCGGCCGGAGCGAAAACGAAATCGAGCAAAAAGAAAGCAGCAAAGTAAAAAGTGACCAAGAAGAATCGGACCCCATATTATGTGGTTGGATGGTTGGTATCAGATAGCGCGATCCGCTGTGGCGTGTCTTGTTGATCGCGATGCATGTCACATATCACTGTTATTGGGCCAAACGAAGGGAGTTGAGCAGTCTCTTCGACCTCCCTCCTAGCGGCCGGCAGGGGTATTGGTGATAGTTATGCTGCAGCGGCAGAGATACATTATTGTTACTGCTGCTGTTACTCAGGGGAAGTACCCCCTGTCAGGCCAGCTGCGTATCCGGGGAGAAGGAGCCGTCGCCCTGACCGTGGATCTCGCTGCACTATTGATGCAGGGCAGGGTGAGAACAGATTATTATCTGCGTCTCCTGGTCCCCTTTCTCGTCCGTCGTCTGCTTCTTCTTCGTCCCTGCGTCTCGCTGTCTCGTCGTCATCCGCATCTCCTTTTTCCTTCTTAACCCCTTCTTCAGAGAGAAAAAGTTGCCGAGGTTCAAGTCCCGTGATCTCGGTCGGAAGAACTAACTTCCGCTTATCTTTTTTTTTTTTTTTTCCTCTCTCTCTCTACCTAGGTAGGTAATCCTTCTATGGCGGGACTTTTAGTCTTAGATCCCGCCGATGCCTGATAGTGATCTGGTCTTTGTTGGCTGCTGACGGTGATGCTGAATTGCTTACATTGAAGATGCGGTCGGTAGAGCCTTGTTGAAGGGGAGACGGTGATTGATTCGAGTCTACATGCCGTCGATGACTTTGGATACGTGGGATTGTGCTCTCTGTTTGGTCAGTGGGCGCTGCGGTCAGCCGTCGGCGCGCCTAATCCTTCGATCATCACCTCCATCAGCGACTGTTGCGTCCTCGATATCCGACGTTACGTCCTGAAAAGAAGCCCGCCAGAAAGCCACTGCGCTTATTAGGACTGGATGGGCTGATAGTTTATATTCACTAGTTGATGCTTGATCTTACCCAACATCTCCTGACACCTACATACACCAGATGTTGTCTCTGCACCGTTAAGAACCAGCCGTTAGCCGTTAGCCAGTTAAGACGCACACACCAGCACAACAAAGAAATCGAGAGAGAGGAAGAGACGGTGAGGAAAATAGTCTCTCCAAATACGATATTCGACACCATCCGACTAGTCTATATAAGTCTCCGCCTCGAGGTGGTGATCAAGGTCACCTACCCATGAACCTAGCCCCGGCGGACCAATCTCCTATACGATACCATCACAATCACTCACTCCCACCTTTACCGCTACCAGACGACAACAGTGGTCTACAGGCCTACATTGAACAATCACGAGCGGCCCTACAGAGTCAGCGTGCCAGCTTCGAATGTGAGCGCTTTGCATTTGGTGAGGAACGTAAATTGTGGAGTCAGGAGCGGGAACTACTCAAGTCGAGGATAGCGAGTCTCGAGAAACATATCAACTGCACCCATGTGGACATGTCTACCGTCGAGCCTGTAAGCCAGGCCGGCAACCCTTCTTCCGCCAGCTTACGAGTCTGGGAAGGCTCAAGGCCGACAGGAAAACCAACCAGGAGATTTCTGGACGGGACAGCAGCAGCAGGACCTTTTGCACCAGCAGCGCATGATCCCCCTTTTCTCCAGGTCGATGATCACCTCGCTTCTGGTAGATCGCCGTCTTTAGATGAGGCGCTCTCCCCCAGAACCCAGCCGGTTGACCGAGCACACCATGTCGCCATTCCTGTGGAGTTGGTAGACAGCAGCCTCGACGGCATCACACTCAAATCAACTGGCCTGCCTCTCAATGTTGCCGCCAAGCTAACCTCCCCTCCTCTCTCAACCCCAAACGTCTCCTCTCCACCACAGCCAGGCACCGCCTTCACCGCCGCTGCGGAAAGTGAATCGCGGACCCATTACCGGACCCATGATGGCTGTGATGCTGCGACCCTTCAGACCGCTCCTCCGGACGCCGGCCCTGTTGCTACTTCTTCCGAGCCCCCTGTCCAAGCGCCCGTACAGCGTCCCCGACTAACGACACATACGACGGACGAGCAACCTAAATTCACACCGGATGCGGACTCACCTGACCACACCGCAGAGGTCGAAGCCGACGAGGACCCAGAACTTACCGGCCCGCTTATGCTCCGGAATCATGAGGAGCACGATTTAGACTTCCTCGAAGCGCTTGACAAGAAGCTGCTAATGGAGGCCAAGAAAGCTGTTTCAACCAGTCCTGCATTATCTGACTCCGATTCTCTGTCTGATGCGGCGAATCCCCAGTCGGAACCCGAGCCGGAGATTCGTTTCAAGAAGAGTACCAATTTCGGCACAGCCTTTGGCTCGACGCAGCAGCATATAGCATGAAGTACCCCACGCTGCAGCCATCTCAGTCTGTCCGTGCGTCTGCTTGACTACGATGCTTGATTTTACTTGACTCTTCTTCCCTTTTCTTTTTCTTCCGTTAGGCTAGTCAACGAACTACTCGATTGGATAATTGCATATGTTGACCATGTTCTGTGTTGAATGAGCGAGCAAGCAAGCAGGCATTCCTACAGATTATTCATTATCTCTTATCCTCCTCATAACCCCCTCATCACCCCTTATCCTCTTTCACTCTCCTTCTCTCCTCTCCATTCATTCGATCCCAGTTCTTACAGCGTCTTGTATGCAGCATTTGGAGTTCGTTTTTGTACCAGGGACGGGCGGGCACAAATTATCATGATGGGCAGGGATACCCGCGAATGTACATATAATAATAGCATTTATCTAACTAATTACTACCTTTAGTTATTTCCTTCCTTTCACTTTTGAAGGGAGTTTCCGTAGCTTTAGTAGACACAGAACCAAGGTACATACTCTGTATTGCAAATATCACACACAGCATTGTTATTCACGATTCGATCCTATGCTATTTGATAAATCCATTCTCCTACGTATTGATATTAAATCGTACGGACTATTTCATCCGTTAGGTAAAATGTGTACAAGATCCCCAAGGCCATTATCCCCTAGGCACTAAAAGCGCTTCACGTGACACTCTTCCCAGGCCCCCTTGTCCAACTAGCCGCCGCTGCTGCCTGGGCGTCAAGAAACCAACAAATACTACATCTCCCCTCCATCGCTGCCTGGGAGCGGTTGAGGCCATGGCTAAAAGTTGTGGTCTTTTACACTAGCAGCATATGCTAGTATCCTTATATTTCTGATATCATATAAAGATTGTCACGGCGGGTCGTATTGCATTCAAGATGTCCAGTCCTCCAGACTACCAGGCTCTTTGGCTGCAGGAGAGAGAGGAGAGAAGACGAGCGGAGGAAGAACGGGATCGAGAGAGGGAGCGGACTCGTAATACGACCTTCCTGGAGTTCCTTGGTCTCTGTCATCATCTCTTCTCCATCCCATTACGAGTCGGGATACCAAGGCTCTCTACCAAGGGCTCTATAAACCCACCGATAGGGAAGGCCTGTCCGCTGCAATTTTTAAAATGGGATGACTGTGATAATGAACAGCAGAAGGTTTATAACTCTGTCTGTTCCTATTTACAACCTTTCGGAGAAACTGCACCGCATCTCTTTGCCTCGCGTCATGCTTTAGACCACTTGGGGGAAGTTTTCAGCGCCAGGGCATTAACCAGTGAGAAAGACCTAGAAGGATACGAAAGATTTGGAGTCGAAGATCATGTTCACAAAATCATCTCCGAACTCTGCAAGATACCAGGTGCTCAGGAGGAATTCGATTTGGGCGATGGAGTCTGGTTTGACAATCATGGAAACGACCTTGACTCAACCGGCGATAATACCCGTGACCTAGATTCAGATGGATACCCTGCGAGGCCGGACCAGTTCTGCATCCATCGAGTCAACGGTCAGTCAACTCAACTTTTGACCACGGTTGAATACAAACCACCTCATAAACTCTCAGTGGAAAATATCCGTAAAGCTCTGGAGCAACCCATTAACTTTTGGGAAGAAATAGTCAACGTTGACTCGGTTCCGAAGGAAGGTAATGATAAGTTAGTTCATAATGCATATGTGCTGACTGGTTCAGCCATTGTGCAAGAATACCATGTCATGCTTCAGGAGGGCCTTGAATATTCCTACTTGACTAATGGGTTAGCTGTGGTATTGCTGCGGGTTCCCCGGGATACGCCTGAGGTCGTATACTACCATCTCTGTGAACCAAACAACGATATCAAACCCGAAAACGCTCATTTACAAAAGCCGCTGACCACAATTGCACGGGTTCTCTGTCTCTGCCTGATGAGTTTTCGCTCGCCAATCCGTGACCAGGAATGGCGACAATTTGCAAAGGCACGGGTGCCAGAGTGGAAGACGAGTTTTGACCATACACGCTCCCAAATTCCAGATGAAGAACTGCGACAAAATCCACCTGACTCAGAATATACTTCGTCAGAGAGTGCAGGTGCCCCTACTATCTCAGAATATATGCCATCGTCATCTTCCTTTGAAGAAGTTGCCGGAGAGAGCCAGATATCGACTCGGTCTAGTACCCGAGCTCGAGCTCAGTGCAGGCCGAATACAGCGCAGAGCAGTGATCCTCCAGATGCCGATGAAGATCCTGATGCTGAACCCAGCGGGCGCAAACGTGGCTTCAGTGAATTGACAACGTCTTCGTCATCCCAGTCGGCACAGTCGCCGCGTCAGACGACGGGCTCTCGACAAACTGGAGGTAGTCCTTATCAGCACAATGCTCAGTTCTGTACCCAGAAATGTCTTCTTGGGCTAAAGCAAGGGGATAAACTAGATGAGAATTGTCCAAACGTGGCTCTTCATAGAAAGACTCGGGACAGTGACCACCACCTCATCGATGCCAAAACCTTAGTACAATTAATCAACGAGCAGCTAGATAAGAACCTTGACATTGACTGCACTCCCATGGGAAATTGCGGAGAATGCGGAGCCACAGGTGCGCCTTTTAAAATCACCTGTACTGAATACGGGTATACCGTCGTTGGTAAAGGAACCACCACTCATCTCTGGGGTGTGGTCTCGCGCGAAGCAGAAATATACGGTTTTCTAAAGCAAGCACAAGGCTCAGCAATACCCGTCTTCCTTGGTACCATTGACCTCGCCATGACATACTACTTGCATGGGGCTGGAAGGATCCGACACATGCTACTTATGGGATGGGCAGGTGAACATATTGATGGAGAAAATGTCGATAAGAGCGTTAGACGAGAAGTTTCAAGGTCAAAGAAAGAGATTCGTTCTCTAGGGTTATTGCACGGGGATCTTCGATGGGAAAATATCCTGTGGAACGCCGAGCTCAATAGAGCGCTTATTATTGACTTCGATGCGTCCCAGATGGACCCGCGGCTATTAAAAAAGCAGCCGAAGCACCTTAAGCGCAAACCGTCTAGGCCAAAGGGCGCTTTATCAGAGAAGATCAATCATGGAGAAGTGAAGAGTGAGCGGAAACGACTTCGTGTGCTTTGATAGCCACTGTAGTCAGGAACAGGAAAGCTGAGCGGATAGTTTTGGATACCTATACATGATATATCTTGACATTTTTTGCCTGAATATTTAATGATTTGAATAGAATTGAGAACTAATCTAAAGTGGTTTAAATCAAGTATTTGCGTTCTGAAGACATCATCAAGGCAGATATTATAAGGCACTGCCTGCCTAAGTAGGGGAATGCAATGCAGACAATCAGGAGATCTCCAAATTTCAATCAAAATGAAACCAAATCAGAGGAAAAAAAGGTAAAAAGCAAAGCAAAGCACCAACCCTATTCACTCCCAGCCAAGTAAATATATGATAAGCAAAGTGAAATGATTTTAAACTCCCATGGTAAAATCATGTTCGATGCCCGGTGTGACGCTGGCGATGAACTTGAGAAAACACAGGTACTGATCACCCGGATCGCACTCTGATCGCTCATCATCCCTTCATGCTCTAGCACCTCCCACTCATCTCCCGCACTACCGCTCCCACCCTTAGACTTATCTTCGCCAGATACCTTCAATTTCTCTGTATCATCCACCAGGCCTTCCAGACCGGCTTCAACCTTATCCTTGCCCTCCTTGGAGCGCTTCGACTGTTTCTCACGACGGATCTTCAGTGCAGCATCTGCACGGTCGAGAAGGACTTTCATCACACTTGCGTGCTTACAAGGGTGGACGCTAGCCATCTTCACACCTCCGTCGAAAAAGGGGAAGTCTTCTAGCGTGACTGTCTTGTCCTTGTAGTCGCCTACTATATCCTCCATCATCAGGTGGGGAGGCAGTGGTTCTGATACGGCGGCGTAGCCAGATAGATAGAGGCGAGGGGTCTTGTAGTATGGGGTATAAGTTATATAAAGTGAGTACGTTCGCAGGGGGCTAGACAGGCAGGTTAGCAACAGACCGTATATCTCGAGCGACGCATAAGAGTGGTCAAGACTCACGCATTCTTTCCGCCCTTTTGAGCTGGTTCCCGGATGATAGCTTCTTCATCGTCCTCTTCATCGTCCATGTCAGGAATCTCTTCATCCTCTTCTTCTTTCTCAGCTACATTCCCTGAGTCATCCACTGTCCTAACGTCCTTCGCATGCGTCTCAGCCACGCCCTCATCGCCACCTGTATTCAACCATCCGTCGTCATCACCGTCTCCGCCTGCGCCAGACGATTCTCCCAGTTCGCCTTGTATTATGATATCCGCCGCCTTACCGGCAAAGTTCTCGTCTAGTCGGCGGTTACATGGTACCCCGCGGGTGACGAGGAACTGTTTCCCCTCCGGCAAGTAGGAGACTCGTTTTGACGGGGACGACGCGGCGGACCACGACCAGGTTGGGAACTTGTAGACGAGGTAGTCTCCGGCGCGCACGAACTCTTCAGGCGTCACTTGGCCGGTATTTCTGAAGGTAGAGACGTTTGATATGGGGGCCAGACGGTCCCGGATATCGTTTAGTTTGGAACGGATAACGTTCATCCTGGCGAGTTATCTTGCTTTTCTTGCTCTTCTTGTTCTAGATGTCAAAAAGATATGGTTTGTAGAGGTTGTAGATGTGTGTATGTTACAGAGTCGGCTGGCGGTTGCAGGATGCTGTTGACTGTCGTGCAGTTAGATGGTGGTGGTGCCTGGCGAAGCCGCTTGACAGGGTGGGATGATCTCTATGACGTTTTCACGTGCTTGGCGGGTTTGTTTGGAGGTCTCTTAGACGGTCATATATCATTTATCCGCTAGAAGGACATCCATATATATCTACAGCTGCTTAGACGATGACAGTTTGTGGTCATTTCTTTATCGTACATGGGCCTCTGGTGACTCTTGGGTGTCGGCTAGCCGGCCTGTTTGCTGCTAGACCCGCTTTATCAAGGTAGTTTACCAATGTCTTGAGACGGGACCTGAGTACTCCTTTTGGGAGCTCCTTTTGAGAGCATCCGCTTGACAGCTCTGCTCGGTGGTGATTTGCTTGAGCTGTTGCGGATGCTCTGTATGTCACTGTTCAAACCAGGACTCTCTCTCGTAGGTGAATGAACATTCCTCCTGAGACGACAGCGGTGCTAGACCATGAGCAGGTGGCATCACGACTCAGCGGAAGCGGCCTGCTGACGTCTAGATGCCTCTCGCTCAACGCCGCCAACGGTCAAGGGGACAACTTTGCCCTTCCAGTACTCATGTTCAACCCTAGCAAATCCGTCCATGCTCCTCATGGCGACAACTAGGAATCCCAGCTCTTCGCGATCAACGTCAAACACCTCCCACCACTCACTGTCAACAATCTTGACTCCTTGCTCCCTTGCAGCGAGGTAGATAGCAGCGACAGCCAGCGCATTCGGCTGGTGAGTTAGGTACAGGATCTGAGGCGAGAACAAGGCGGCGTTGAGATGTGCGAAGGTACGCGCAGCCACGGAGGAAGAAGACACCTTGAGAGTCTGCAGGTAAGTCAGGGCGATAGTATGCGGTAGAACAACCCTTGTGTGAAATGAAGAGGTGCGTAGGACAGCCGACTCGATCTTCATCAGGTTCTGGCGTTCGATCTGGTATGAGCCTTCGGACAGGTAATAGCTCTCTGGTTCGGGGTGTTCGGGAGCTCCCTCTGGGTTGACGAAGGATAAAGGCGAAGCTGTAGGGGAGAGTAGATACGTGTACACGTTGAGCACCGAACGAGGCGATACAGGGTAAAAAGAGAGCTTCGCTGTCATGTACAGGGGTGCGGGCGATACGTCCTGTCAGGGTCGTCAGTTATACACCGTAAGGGCTGAAAGTGAGATGGGGCGCACCTTTGCAGAGTAGACTGCCAGACTGCCTCCCTCAGGCCCGACCCAGAACCGTGTAAAGGCGACTATCGCCTGGGCAATGACATCCTGCGGCAGCTGAAGCAGCACTCCAGCAGCCTGCGTGAGCTTGACGCCCGCATATCGAACCGACCTCTCGAGCTCCTCGGGCACTCCGTCCAGCGACGAGGAGGAGTGTTCCAGCTGCGCCGGAGAGGCGAGGGCGTTTGACAAGTGGCCCAGCTCGCTCTCTGCGCCCGACATGACTTCGTGCGCCTTGTTCTTGTCACTGTATCAGCCAGCAGCCAACAACGTCGACGTCAAGAGCCATCGCGAAACTGCCGTAAGAAAGGCGTTTGGTGGTGTCTATAGTGACTCCCACCTCATGAGCCACCAGCGCCCTTCCGCCTTCCACCAGAAAGTCCTTGATGGTCTAGTGGTCATGATTTCCGCTTGTCAACTTCGCTTAGTAAGCGGGTAACAAGCGCGGGAGACCGGGGTTCGATTCCCCGTCAGGGAGTTCTTTTTTTCTTTTTATCTTTCATCTTCTTCCATTCTCAACTGCATTTGAATCTCACCTGATGCAAAGATCAGGATTAGGATCAGGATCAAGCCACTGGCCCTGACGGAACTGGGTAGTGCGTGCTGACAGATCATCCGACTCTCCGTGTCTCATGGCCGTTGCAGAATTGGATGCCTTAAAGGCAGACAGTGCCCCGTTTCGCGAATGCGACGGGCGAATAGCAGCGCTTGCCGTCTGGTTGGCGGCTGGCAAACAACGAAGATAATCACTAGTTAACCGTCAGGGATGCATGCACAACTCGAGCAATCACCCGCCGCTGCCCTATAAGATCCTCCGTATACCTCACATCCATCGGTGTCCGGCCGTGTCCAACCTCAGCCTTGGGACCGGGTTGGTTGCTTCGGGAGTTTCGATACGGAGTATACGGAGTATGGAGGCATTACCTGTGACGTCTGTGCATAAGGTTAATTTGATACCGGACATTCCAGGTTATTAATGCCTTGGTATAGATTTGATACCCGTCTAGATCGTGGCAAAGGCCCAAGACAAGGCCAGTTGCGGCGATCCGTGTAGAGACGGAAACATATGGTAGCCTTGACTAGTAATTGGTAGCATTGTTGGTGGTGGCTATCAGTGGCAACATTGCATTCTTGCTTGAAAAGGGGGTGAGCATAGGGCGTGGAATCGTTTGCTCTTTGGAGTTAACTTAACGAGCTAACTGGGCCGTTATGTCGGTGAAGCAAGCGTATCGACCTGTTGAATGACTATCCAAACTAGCAAAGGGGTCACATGCCGGGAAGATGCATATCACTCTAACATATGCATGTATGAGGTGATCATTTGAGAGAGCAGGATGAAAGCATAACAGGTAGCTAATGAATGAAGGAACGTAAGATGCAGCGGCCCGAACATTATAGTACATATCGAGTCATATCCTATATACAAATTTCCGAGAAGACGGGCAAAAAGACAAAGAAGACGACGACGACGTTGGTAGTAGATATGAAATTAAACGTAATGTTGAATAAAGCAAGGAGAAAAGCACGACCAATTTTTCAACAGACAAAGCCATCCAGGCTTTTAAGGTGGCCATATAATTCTCGAGCGACTCAAGAGCAGCCTCCCAACGCTAAGAAACGACGACATAGAAAGAGTTGTAGATAAGATAGATAGAAACATGGGTGAGAAAGGAAAAGAGAAGGAACAAGAGCGGATCCCGGATGTTGGTCTGGAGATTCACGAAATTAATGAGATGAGATATGAGATTTCATGGCTCCTTGTCCTAGTCGAAGGTCAGCTAGTACCTGTCCGTAGTTTCGACCAAGTCGCTCTGGAATATTCCATTTTTCAACTTTTTCAATTTTTCTTCTTCATTTCTCCTCTGCATTCTTTTTTGTAACGTTGTGATGAGATTCATGCGGCTGCCTCGGAAAGCACTTCAGCAGCCTTTCTGAAGAAAGGGACTCGCTCCGAACACCGTTCAAGCTGCGGGACAAGATCCTTTATCTTGAACCGTCGCTGGGAGGAGTCATACGTGAACCACCGATCCATCTACCTCACCGTGTTACCAAACGAACTCAAACAGAAATAAAAGGAGAAAGGATATACTTACGGAAGCAAGCCTGCATCCGAGCCACAGACACCTCTCGGCTCTAACAAACGCGGTGTGAGCAAGCTCTAGCATCCGCTCTTCATCCTCCGGTAGCTCCGTATTAACAAAGTGTCCGTCAGGAAAGTAGAGTCTTGTCCAGGCCAGGCCGCGCAGGTCAAAGTCTTCAGGAAGATAGTACTTGATGCCCACATCCCTGGACTCGGGGAGCGGAAACTCGTTACTAGTAATCTTGGACTCGCTTACACGGTGGCAGTTAAGGGTATTAAGGAAAGTAACTAGGTCGCGGAAGGGGACAAGGGGTTCAAAAACAAGCATTGCCTCTGGGGCAAGGGAGAGGGTAAATAGAAAGGCGAGAGAGACGTGAATTGCTGGGAGAACGTTTTTATCACCTATCTGGCGGAGTAGGAGGGATAACGTATGCATAGACTGGTAGATAGTGTAGTGGAGAGGGCTGAGGGAGGAACTGAACCTCGTGCTAGATGATATAGGGATAGTGCTGAGTAGGGAGATAAGAGGCTCTAATTGGGTGCAGGAACTCCAATATGCTCTTGCGGAGGGGATTCTGCACTCAACTGGTGTTGCTACAGCTATAGTATATAGAGCTGTCAGCGTCTTACCCGTTGCTGGGACCAGGGCGTTATCATTAATAAAGAGCGTGGCAAAGTTAGAGCAGGAGATATGGACCCCCTGTTCGCGGAACTTCTCTCCCATCCGGCCTATGTGTTGAGGCAGGCAGGAGAAGAACTGTAGGGTGTGCTCGAAGTAGGAGTGGACTGACTCCTTCTTAAATATAATGCCGTGTGCCTTGACGAAAGAGGCTAGAGTTAGCGGGTGACGAGTTTGCTGCTTGGGGCGGGCCTGCTTGTGTAGCTTTTGCTGCTGTGGCTGCTGTTCTTCTTCCAGTAGCGGATTGAATAGTAGCAAGATACTTTCCCTTGAGCTAGCAAAGGGCTCAACGCAGACCAGGGACTTGGTATAGTAGAACAGCTGTGCCAGGATATAGGGCCTGGCCAGGACAGCAGAGTGGTGCTGAATCCGGCCAACATTTGGCCCCTTATCCGCTGCCATTCTATACCAGTACCTGGCTACCTCAGCCCAGTTCTCGCGGTTTTGTAGATCAACCTCTTCCACTGCCATCTGATACCTAGCTAAATCACCGAGGCACTCAATCCAGATATTTGCAAAAGTCGGCACACTCTCGAGTAAAAGAGTCATCATAGAGTAAGCAATGTAGATAAAGGATATCATATGTTCCAGAGAACCCGGTAGTCTGTGCCTTAGTAGCTCTAAAAAGGAGTGCACACCATGCCTCCACATCCGCGCAGGCATCCCATACTCCGTAGCTAGCTTCCGCAGTCTCTCCGTGGCAGAAGGGTGCTGGGAAGCCAGGAAGAAGTCGTGGTGTTCATGCAAAAGGGTTCTGTGGATAGCTATCAGGGCCTTCCACTGGTCATTGCTCAATTCCGTCCTGCTATTGAGCTGCTGCATATCAATCTCGACACACTTCTTCTCGACGACGACGAGCCCAGAATAGATGCCTTGCACCTCGACAATGAGCTGGTCTTCAGCGATCTGCCTGGTCTCTGGCTGCAGGAAGAGGTCTGAAGAGCAGGGAATGCAGTGTGGCAGGGACTCATCATGACCACTGGTGTCTTCTCCTTCTTCTCCTTCTCCCTCCGCCTGTTCATCAATTCCGTCGTCGTCTTCATCGTCCAGGTCGTCATCTATAGCCTGGTCCATGAACCCGTCATCAGCAGTGGCAGGCCTGGTCTGGAAGAAGACACCGCCTCTTTCGACCGTGTGAGGTTGTGAGTGAGAGCACCGCTTCGAAGACGGCAACCCACGCTGTCCGTCCAGCTTGCCGTCACCATTACCATCCTCATCAGCGTCTCGCTCGGAAGCAGGACGCTTCTTCGGCGTGGTATTACATTGGCTGTTTTGGTGGTGGGGGTGCTGTTGTTGGTCCCGGGGGCTGGCCAGGTTGGACTTGGACTGCCGCCGACTGCGCGCCCTGGGAGTGAGCTCCTGCAGGTTCAGGTTCTGCAGGGCCGAGGCATCCGGCGAACGAGTCCTGGCCGCCGCCGCCGCCGCCAGCGAGTCCTCCTCCAGTCCGGTGGTCCGGGAGGCTGAGACCGAGCCCGGGGCTGAGGCTGAGGCGAGGGGGGATGGGGATGGCGAAGGTGACGGTGACGGGGATGACCTGGGGACCGCCAGCCAGCGCAAGTTAGACAGACCACGAAACAGACAAGAGACACGAGGGCGAAGCTAGACAGACGCTTACTGTTCAACTTTGTCGAAGCTTGACCATGACGTCCCGCGCAGCGACTGGGCGGCTGCAGGCTTATTTCTGTCGTGGTGGTGGTGGTGGTGGTGGTTTTGGTGACGCCGCCGGTGGTCGAGATCTACGCGCACCATGATAGGCGAAGCTGCGGCCAGAGCATGCCAGGACAGACAGACACACAGACAGACAGACAGAGAGACAGGCTCCTAGGACTCTCGACCGAACTAACCAGAGCTCAGCGGCAGCAGCAGAGAGATGTTGAAGGCCTGCTCTCCATCCTGCTGGCGATTGTTCGGTTGGTGGTGGTATAAGTATGCTTGCTCCAACTCGCCTTTTCCCAGCCGCTGCAGGACTTATGCTTGCTGCCTGCGAGCCAAAAAAAGCAAATTGCACCAAGTACAGATCGCTAACCTTATACTCGGGGCTGACCTTCATTATCAACATCTCAAACCGCGGCTAGACGGCGTCCTGGCTTGTTTTGTCGTGTGTGCTGTGGTGTCTCTGGTGATGATCGCCCCTGGTGAGCAGCCGGCGCAGCCGTTGATATCTATCAATCTCCCTGCCAGTCTTCGGTCTACAGTATACAGAAGCACACTTACAAGATAACCTACCATACGAGAGCGCACACAGTCAGGCGGAATCACATAACTAGCGATTAGCTAGTGTGAGTTACCGCATGCATGCTACTTTATCGCCTGCAGCCGCACTTCCGCCTGGTCCCAGACATCCCGGCCTGCAGAGGGGCAGTGCAAAAGAAGCAAAGTGACACGACATATATTGTACAGGAGTTACCCCCAAGATACGGGGTTGTATTCCTGAGTGTGCCTGTTTCATGGACGATTTTGTCTCTATCGGTATGGTATCCTCTCATAGTACGGAGTAGCTCCCTCTCTAGTTATTAATAGACTGGTTCGCAGGCATATAGCCTTGTCAATAACCTGTTAACGTCCACTGCTTTGAAAATCACAAAGGATGCATCCTATCCCCTCTCACAAGGTCATGTTTTGGCTGCCTTGAAGCTGTGGGCGCCCGCAAAATCGCCCGGAAAGGGTATGTCTAAGCAGAGACTCCTTGGATCGTAACATAAGCCATTCTCATAGACATTCCTCTATAGGCCATATTGGCTGACCGGCAAGGTCATGCAATAGAGCGGCTGGCAGATGGTCTCTCTACGGTAGATGGTTCTCTGTTGTCTACCAAGGTGGTTATCCCATGGCAGGTGATACGAAGCGGGTGATGCTTACACAAAGGCAGAGAGGACAGACTAGACATATAGAGAAAAGAGCAGCCGGATAGGGGGGAGGACAGTTGATTGCTCTTCTACGGCAGTTGCATAGCTATGGATCTACTTGACTGTCGGGACCGGAGCCGGAACCGAGACTGAGGGGGAGAGAAGAGACAAGCCGTCCATTAGTTATCGTGACACTAAGCCAGGCTACTTCACTAGAATAACTCGATGGATCATGCCGATTGATGCACAGAAACTGAAACAGAGAACAGGTACAGACGGGTCTTTGAGAAAAGGGGGTCAAGATGCAAGGTACACACAAGTGCTCTAGAGCGAAAGAAAAGCAGGGAGTAAGGGGGAGGAAAGGGGGACAGTGTATGTAACGAGTTCAACGGTCCAACGTGGAAAGGGAGAAGATAGATTCCAGCTAAAGTAAACTCCGTTTGGTTGCAAAGTCGTGTATTCGTTCAGATGCGATGGAACGGCCCGGAATGCGTGATTGAAAAAGTGATGATGCAGGGTTGTCATGCGAGCGAGAAGAAAGATCATGCCCAAAGTGACGTGAGAGAGCGAGAGAAAGTAGGTTGATTTGACGTCAGAAGTGAAAAAAAAAAAAAAAAAAAGGCAGACAGGCAAAGACTGTTCGGTTAATTAGTTTTGACTACGTCGGCGGCTAGGAGATAAATATCCGAAGCTGCAGATTGAAACAGTCAGCCAATTGGTTACATCTTGCGTAGAAACACAGGGGGGAAAAGCGGAGGCTTACTCTCTGTTTAATTGTCGTTCGACACACGGGACAGGTTGGCAGCGGCGCTGCACGGCCAATTTGTCCCGGCTTCGGCATGATATGCTGCTCTGCACACCATCTACAGAGAACCGCATGACCGCAGGGGATAAGCGCGGTGTCAACAAGCTGTGTCATGCATACTTTGCATTCCATATTGACCGTCAGGCTAGCTGAATCCTTGGGCTCCGGGCGGCCATCGATCTCGACATCCAGCCCTATCATCGGCGCTGGCGGGCGGACGTTGGTAGGTGTTTGTCCAAGTTGCCCCCGACGTTGGTACTGGCGGAGTATCTGGAGGCGTTGATCCGTACTCATGGATCTCGCGAGCCCTCTGTTCATAGCGGCCAGGTAGCTGGAAAGGTGCTGCGAGTTGAGGATTTCGTCGTTGGTGTAGCGAGGTCTGTAGCCGGTAAAAACAGGCTCTTGTAGCCTCTGGGGGCTGGAAGTAGCGGTGCTGGCAGCAGATGAGGCTGCTGGATTAGGCTGTATTTGAGAACCAGTTGGAGACGGTTGCTGGGTAGACGATGCAGGAGATACACGCAGAGTTCTCATACGGACTCGGCGTTGAGTCAGGCCATCACTGCCTATTTGCCCTTGGTGAGGAGCAGACTCGTGCTCGGAAGAGGCCATGTCTTGGGCACTACGGCGACGCTGGGCCGGAGTTGTTGGCACCGCTAATGAAGGGTTCATCGAGTAGCCGAATGTCTCTGAGTCCTGGCTCTGACCCTGACTCTGACTCTGGCCATGGCTCTGATCTTGGTCCTGATCCTGGTCCTGGTCCTGATCTTGCATTTCTGATTCCTGGGGCGCATCTGGAGAGGAGCTAAAGTCCATGGCCGAACCCATAATCTCATGTATGTCACCAGCAGATAATCGCGGGCCCGCTGGCCCTAATGGAAGAATGGGTCTGGTATCCTGGTGAGCTTGCTGGGGCGTTGTAGGCGATGCAGCAGAGAACGCAAGTGACGATCCTGGCTCCTGGCTTGCCTGTCTCTGTGCGAGCTGCTGTCCCAACATGAGGTCAGGGGTGTCGTAGTCAGGCCGCCCTGCCTGGGTGCTGACCATAGCATCATTGATAGCCTGATATCCACCCATGGGGTGGTTGAAGGCCTGGTTGGTATCATTCACATCAGGTACGGATGGCGGGTAGAAGCTGGGAACGGGCTCTGCGAGACTGGTCAAGTCAGGCGGACTGGATCCCTGCAGTCTGGCCAAGCTATCATAGTTGAAACCGCCGCTGTGGATGGTGTTGATGGCGTTGGTATTAGCAGTGGTATTATTAGCACTGCCGCTGTTGCTGTCGGCACCATCATTCTGCCGTCTTGGATACGGCACAAGGTAGCCGGCTAAATGGATAGGTATCAGTATATCAGCTTGACTTCACTTGTTTTCAATTCGCTGTTCAGGGCGTCTTACTCGTCACCTGGGGGTTTGCTCGCTGCCTATTCTGAGGAGAAGACAGGCCGTACTGGTAGCTGCCAGGATACGCTTCCGTGGACTGGCGCCTGGAGGTGGCGAGGCCTGACCCGTAGCCAGGCTGGCCGTAGTTGGACGGCATGCCGCCGCCGTCCGAGTAGCCAGCCGAGCCTCTGTTGCTCGAGGTGAGCCACTGCAGACGGTCGGCCTGGTCCAGGGCCTGCGGGCTCACGGGGGTGTTTTCTGGAAAAGGCCAGTTTAGCGTTGGCTCTTCAGGGCGTCTGCGAGGAGGCGGACGGAGGATGCGAGGAGGCATCTTTCTTTGCGGTTCCGGACTGGTGAGAAGGAAGAGATGCGCGTGCAAGAGACAGGCAAGAGAGAGCAGTCCGGACCCAGCTAGGAGAGACACGATAGTGTGTGTATAGGAGTGTGGAAGTGTAGTGAAGGAGATGAATGAAATAAAAGGGGGATTGTGTGAGAGAGAGTGTGTATGTGATATTGATATGTCCTGACAAGACAGCTGGAGAATCCAGGCAGGAAAGATATCAGACAAGCCAAAGAGGACAGGCAGGCAGGCAGGACAGAAAGTCCGCCCTCCACCCCCTTTTTAGCGCCCTTTTTATATATCAAGAAAACAACAGGGAGGACATAGTGATAGCAGGTGATAGCAGGGGTGAATACAGAGAAGATACAGGATCTTATCTGCTTCATTTCCCACAAGGAAAGTGAAGAAGAAGACAGAGAGAAGGAGAGCAGAGCAGAAAGGCAGGGGATTTTGACTGACCACTATAGGCTGGATGGTGATGGCTGTGATGGCTGTAATGGCGACGGTGGTAATTGACGCCGCGCTCTACTTCCGGGATATCGAACAGACGGCCCTCGACAGCGGGATAACGGGGATACGACGGTGCCAGCGGCGGAGGCGGAGACGTCAGACTGGCCCTTCGAGGCGGTATATCAGACTGGCGCTGGGGCAGACAGACAGAACTCTTGCGGGATCCAGGACGGCCAGGCTGCGCGGCTATGCAGGACATGACGGGTATCGAGCATCCAGCAACATCCACATAAGACTCCTTTTCTCTTCTTCGCCTTTTCCTCCGGCTTCAATGACACTCGGGAAGGGCGAGATCTAGAGATTTAAAAAAGTACACGGCCTTAGCGAGGATATATATATGTATATATATATATATATTTATATATTTGTTTATAGATATACTGTCCAGACGCCCTCCCCCAAGGTCCCTTGCAGAAGACGAGAAAGGAGCATGTCCGAGTCCAGCGGATCAGGGAGTCACAGTGAAACAGACCGGCAGGGCGAAGAGGTAAACCGGGGAAAAGAGAGAGAGAGAGCACCAACCGATCCTGACGCTGCCGTTGACGCTGACGTTGACGTTTGATATTAGCTAGCTATACTCCTGCTGTGGTGACGGCCATGTATGTCACCACCATCACAGACACATGAAGAAGACGGATGCAGAGAGAAGAAGATGATGAGAATGAAAAGATAAGATGGTAGCTATTCTAGAGAGAATAGCAGTCTATTCAGCGCGACGAGAGAGATACACAGTACGGATAGGGACAGGATATATAGGTGGTGGTGTCAGGTCCCGACGGCGGTTTAGTTGATATCGGCCACAAACCACGATACGAAGATCAACCGCTTAAGCTACCAGGCAGGGGGGAAGAAGGGAGAAGAGGAGGAAGGGGGGAAAAAAGGAAGAAGAGAAAAGAGAGAAGAAGACGCCGAAGAGAGACGGCCTTTATAAAAAAACGATGCTCGGGCGAAGACGATTGAAGGCAAAGGCCTCACATGACGGAAAACGCAGACAAGGACGCAAGCAGATGAAGGGAGAGAGCCAGAGACGAGACTCGAGGCCAGCCCTCTGACATCAGGATAAGTTACCTCAGGGCGAAAGCAAGAAAGGAAAAAGAACTTGCCGGACCCAGATGACGGACGAAGATGGCCCCGAAAGCTGATCCAGGAGGCGAGCAAGCTAAACGGTGAACGAGAGAGCGACCAACTCTCCGAAGAGTCTCTGGCTAACGCAGGCAAGGGGCGGGGATGGCGCAGGACGGCGAAGAAGAAGAAGAAGAAGAAGAAGAAGAAGAAGAAGAAGAAGCACCAGCAGAGGGATGAGAAGCGAAGAAGCAACGAGATACGCCAGAGATGGAGGGCTCTGATCCATGACCTTGAAGATCAGAGAGGCTGCTGGCTGGTTGGAACCAACATCTCTCTCTCTCGCTCACTCGCTTCTTCGTTCCATCCTCTTGTCTGCTGCTGCTTCTGGCTCTGCCAAAGGATGACCAACCCTGAATCTGAATCCCAGTTGGTCCAGATGGACGAGACAGAATGTTGCATCGGCTGTACAGGAGGATCCGATTTGCTCATGGAACAAGGGAGACCGAGACCTAGTGGCTGGGATCTACCGTCTCTGGCCATTATACATCACACACACCCACGCACACAACCTACATACCACATCAAAACAAAAGCGAAACGACGGTTAACTAGTTACCGAGAGTAACTGAGTTGCGCCTGTCAGGGCAAGCAAAGCTGGAATCTGATCGAATCGAGGCCGAGAACGAGATGACAGCATCAACCAGGTTTTCAGCCGCGGAGGCTGCCAGCTCGAACAAGATACAGACGCCCTTCAACTCGGTTCGTCCCTTTGCCACATGATATCATGAAGCCGACCAGATGCGAACAAGCAGCGTTCTCCAGCAAGGAAGAGCCCGCTCTCGCATCTCATTCTCCACGCTGCCCACGGGGGGAGTCGTTACTTGAGCTCCGTACAGAGAGCATGGGGGTATTTTTAGTTATTACATACTCCGTACAGCCAACGGGGCCCCATGGAGAAGTTAACGAAGTAGCTACATAGTTAGCGAGTTCATCAACTTGTCACGAAAAAGAAACGAAATGTAAAAAGATGCAATGCAGGAGAAAAGCGGCTTTTCGGCGGTGTTGACAGAATTGGGGATCTAGATTCCTCAAAATCAAGAATCAGCAACCATCTTTTAAAACCACTTAGTTATCAAATACGACTTGCCGCGAGACCCTATTTGCTGCCAGAGAGCCCCAGATGGCCTCTTTTACCAGTTAATCAACTAACTAGCTACTCCGTAACTTACTTGGGTGTCTATTCGTTAGCTGGTTGTTATCAGATCCTATGCTAAGCAGGCGTCTGCAGCAGCAACTTCGCCGGTTCTCACTGAAAGCCAGCCGCAGCACCATGGCGACGTCGACGGCAACATCGAGCTTTACGCTGCCCGGCTCTGAGCCACCGGTGCCCGTTCAGTTGACGCCAGACATCTCACAGGCGCAGTTACTGTCGTTCCCGGCATTTAAGATCTGGCTGTCGACTCTACGTCATTCGCTGTCGCGGCAGGGCGACGCTTCCCACGAGTTCCACGCAAAGCCATACGCACTTCGAGGCATTACCGTCCAGGCTGTCGACTACTTTGGCGCAAAGAAGCTGGGATTCATCAAGTTCAAGGCAGATGTCTCTACGGACGATGGAGACAGGCTGCCGGGGAGCGTCTTTCTCAGAGGTGGCAGCGTCGGCATGCTGGTGAGCCGTTTACTCGTCTAACTAGCTAGTTACTCTTCTGCTAAAACTGCGCTGCTGACTGCGAACATATAGCTCATCCTCCAGCCAGACGATCTACCAGACTCCTCTAACGATGAGAAACACGTCGTTCTTACCGTCCAGCCACGTATACCGGCAGGATCACTTACCTTCACGGAGCTACCGGCCGGCATGATCGACGAACACGGATCCTTCGCTGGAGCAGCAGCAAAAGAAATACACGAGGAGACGGGGCTTACCATCAAGCAAGACGAACTCATCGACATGAGCTCACTTACTCGGCTCAACAAAGACAAGGATACAGATCAGGACGAAGCTTTACAGAATGCTGTCTACCCGTCTCCAGGAGGATGTGACGAATTCATTCCTCTCTTCCTGTGTGAGAAACGCCTGCCCAGAAAAGACATACAACAAATGCAAGGGAAGTTTACTGGCCTGCGGAAAGAAGGCGAGATGATTACGCTTAAGCTGGTGCCTCTGTCTAGACTGTGGCATGAGGCTGCTAGAGATGCAAAGGCCTTGTCAGCCTGGGCGTTATACCAGGGACTAAAGCAAGATGGTCGACTGTGAGAAATAAAAAATAAATACCTCAATATCTACCTTTTTTTTATACCCGGTGACGCCATTAGCATAGCCTGCAAGAGTGATATATGCTGTCATCTTTGCCTTATCGGTAGTCTCAACTTCGGTTTCAGTTCTTTTGACTTCTAGGTTTAACCGTTTGGACCGAACTCGCCTCTGCCACTACAAACATAAATATACCCCAAAAAGAGAGAGGAAACGGAACAGTGGCTTATCTATTAGCTATGGCTGGAATCTACTCTATCTAGCTCCTCTATTTAATGGGTATGCCATCATAATCGTAACTGCCGATGTGCTTCACTTTTTATCTATCCGACAATCCCCCATTGCCGCGCCATCTCTATTCCCTCGGCTAAGGTTCCCACATGCGCATCAATGGCATATCCTTCCTCTCGCTCCAACCGTTTGGTTTCCTCGAACAGTTTGGCAAGAGGAATGCTAAAACTTTCGATAAATTCGTCATCCTCAAGCTTAGGCTTTGGATTCTGGTTTTCCGGCAATGACATGTCAACACGTACGTGAACCATGTTCATATTTGTGTTGCAGAATCCGGGATCTGGGTTGCTCTTTTCTGTTAGCGGGCGATTCTCGATGTTTCCACCAAAGAAGCCTGAAAGGCTTAGATGGTGTCTGTCCTTGCATTCCAACTGCTTACGATGCAGCAATTGGACATAGCTCCCGTGACACTCGGGAGTAATACACTTTATTATATCTTCCAACCTCTTTCGTTGCCTTTTACAGCTCGCCCGGAGCCCGAGGAATCCGCCCAACGAAGAGGTAAATTGAACACGAATAGAAATGTTTTTTACGTACCATTGTATAAGATAGGCCCTTTCTGCTGGACAACACCAACATACCCGGTCTCCTCCCTCAGTTCACGGACAGCACACTCCTCCGCTGTCTCACCTGCGTCAACCAAACCAGCCGGAATCTCAATGGTGACCATATCAATAGGAGGCCGGTACTGTTTCTGCAGCAACAGCTCAGGACCAGATGGTTTGGAGAGAATGGTAACTATGCCCACGCCATCTATCGCGGAATCTGAGCGAGTCTAGACGTCGTGCTGTTAGCATACCTTGAAGCGACATGCGTATTTTATGGAATGCATGCGGCGAACAAGGCAAGAGAAATGGGAGAGAGACAGCAAATAGAAACAAAACGAAGACCTAAGCAAACCCCATCTTGGTAACGAGTTACACATGCACGAGATGGAATTTGCCCGGCATATGCATGTAATAGATGTTATAGCGCGGATCAAGCGGAAAGCAAGCATGCATGCATGCCTGTCAGCAGCCGAAAATGGACATGTAGCTACATAGTAGTTGTACCGGCAGCGGGCAACGTCAACGCCATGCTCGCTTGTGTTTCCGACCAGCTAGCCATAGACATACATATCCTTTTCGCTCTGTACCGGAGAATAATGTAGAAAGATAAATAAAAACGGTAGAAGATATACAGAATACGCATTATACTCACTAGTCTTTCCGCTGCTTCCCATGTTCTGGTTACCCCGTTTGGATCGGTGTACGTCCGCTTCACGAGTCCGATCCAGCGTGCCTCGGACGGATCCTACAGTCAGTATGTTTGTTAGTTATCGAGAGCAGCAATTATTACGTATAGAGTAAAGTGATATCATCGTGTTGTAGAAATTATGTAGTTTGTTTGTGCGGTAATGATAATCGGCCTAGGTTGGTAGCTCTGTGCCATAGAGCCATATTTGGCCTCTACTTATGTGGTTATTGGCTATTTACTTACCAAGGGCCCAGTGGAGAGCAGCGCGGGCTTCTTGAAAGCCGTCAGTTGGCCTGTCATGTTTCAATTGGTTATATTTTTGATGGTTTCTGTGAGAGTGGCGGGTTTGCCTGTTAGGAGCCGGGTAGAGAACGAGTTGGGCCGCAGTTTTGGATGGTGGTTAGTGAAGTTATATATTCGTTACCAGCTAGTACTGCTGCTGCTTCCAAGGTTCTATCATGTGACATGGGATGGCTCGGGAGTAGCCGTGGACAAGGGACAAAAGAGAGGACTTATTTAGAGCTGCTTTGAACAGGAAATGTCTTTGGATTTTGTTCTTGTCTGGGGTCTATCTGGCCATGGTGGGATCTTTGATCTGCCGGACATACATAAGTTATGCGAGTGCATCTTTAACGCCCCATCTTTCGAGTACGGAGCAATATTTTGAAAAACGAGGAAAAAGAAAACATCCGAGAATCATGAGAAACAGGTGGGACATGAGGGGTCATTCGTTGTTCGTCAATTCGTCTTGGATAGGAGAAGACAGGCTCTTGGAGAAATGGCAAGAGTGTATGTAGAGCTGTAGAAGACTAGAGAGAGGGGATGTCCATCTTCTCGATCTCCGCGATGCACTTATCCCATTCAGACCAGTTTCTCATGACGACCTTTGCTCCCTGCTCGAGCAGGAGCTTGGCCATCTCCTCCTGCTTCTCGGTGGTGGGGTAGCTGCCAACGTACGCGACAACAGGGATCCCAGCTCGAACAGCACTGAGGCAACCACTCTTGCTGTCTTCAACAGCGACGCACTCAGTAGCGCTCTTTCCGATAACCTTGAGCGAGTGGAGATAGATGGCTGGATCGGGCTTGGTAGTAGGCTTCTCGAGAGAAGTGGCAGCGGAGAAGATGTGGTCTTCGGGGAAGAACTGGGACTGGTCGACCTTCTTGATAGAGGCCTTGACGCGTCGAAGGGCAGAGGAAGAGACAACGGCCATGCCATACTTCTTCTCGGCGAACATCTTGACAAGGACCTCGGTGACGCCAACGCAGGGCTGAGCCTTAGCCTCGAGTTTAGCAATGACGCGGTTCTCCTCCTCCTTGACGTAGGACTCGAGCTCCTCGGGGGTAAGAGAAATGTTGAACTTGGACTGGATAGAGACCATCATGCCGCGGAAATTTTGGCCGACGAACTCGCCGATGAGCTGTTCGCCGGTGTAGCGTTTCTCAATGCCATGTTTCTCTAGGATCTCGTTGGCAATATCGGCACAGGCCTCGAAGGCAAGCTCCTCGGACAGGACGAGGGTGTTGTCACAGTCAAAGAGGATGTGGGTGATCTGCATATCAGGTTAGCTTTCAACTATTGTCTCTTTGTCTCTCTATAGAGCCAGATGAATCGCCTACCTTGGGCATGATGACGGTTAACGCGAGGGAAGTAGACTCTAGATGGTAGGTGGAGGAATGTAGACTGATGCTGGCTGATGACTGATGACTGATGGCTGATGGCTGATGGCTGATGGCTGATGGCTGATGGCTGATGTTCTGGTGGTTGTAAAAGAGAGAGGGAGGGAGAAGCAGAAGTGAGAAGAGGAAGAGGAAGAAGTAGGAGAAGTCGACGGCACGTTTCTGGCTGTCCTGCTCGGTGGGGCCGGCGGGCAGGTGGGATGAAGCAGAGGGAGAGGCAGGGGAAGTACAGCAGCAGCAGCAGGACCTGGTCAGTTAGACAGCAAGGAGGCGGCGCAGAGGACGCCTTCTGGTCACTTTCTCTTCCTCTTGGATGCTGAGGATGGCCTTGGAAATGTAGGCTGCTGAGGGTTCCAAGGTCGTCCGCGGCATGCCAGCAGAGACCAATATCAAGGAGCCATCACCGGCCACAACTCGAAAAGACATGATAGACACCTACCTCGGGCATCAGTACCAGCAGGCCATGGGAGCCTAAGCTGAGTACCACGGTTGTCTCGGGACTCAGCCGTGAGGCCTGAGATGCCCCTGACCGGCTCTCTTGACTGGTACTGTACTCTCTGGGGGGCTGTCTCTGTTAACACATTAGCTAGTTATGTCAAGACCAGAACAGCCACCAGCCATTGCAAAATATAGCCGGAAGATGCATTCCGAATCTACCGTTAGTACTTCGTATAATAATATAATGGTTAATCAACAAGAGTTCCTGGTCAGTTAATGGATACCTTTTGTTGGCTTGGTCGGAGGGAGGGTTGGACACAGATTCAGAACAGGTTCATGGTTGGGCCACTAGGCAAAACCAGGCCATGAACAGCTCTGGACGTGATATTCTCGATCTCATGCCTGTTCCTGTTCCTGATTCTGCATAATAACTAGCCTAGCTAGTCCCATTTGCAACACTTGATGCGCTGATAGCCATATTATTGATCGGATAGGAGAAGTCGATTTTCTCTCCAGGTTGTAGGTAACCTTTGCCTGTGGCACAGCGAGTTCTGTCTTATCTGCAGCGTATGGCATACCAGCCGTGCTCAACTCGCCCATAAGACTATCAACGCATCGGAATCACCAACCCTCCCCCGTCTCCATCGCCCGTCAACGTCATTCCACCTGCAGCTAACAGATGAACGGTGGAGTCGTGGCTCGCCGTGCGGAATTTTTATATCACGTGATCATCCCAACGCGCGCATTTTTGGCCACAAGGAGAAACGAAGACTGTCAACATCAACATCAGCGTCACCGTCTCATTATTATTATTATTATTATTATATACAATAGCCGGCATAATGATCATTTGACGGGTTCTTTTTGGATAGACGGGTGCATCGCCCCGGTATATATACAATATTTTTACTCATTTTTATTAATTATCTTGCATAATTACTGCCTGTCATGCCGGAACCAATATCACTAGCAGAAATACAATTCCCAGCTGCATCCCAGAATATATCCCATCTGCTCTCGGACCTCCGGAGATCGGCTCTGTCAATTACAAATAGACTAAGGTCTATGGAGACAGACTCTATATTTGTCCAAGAGATATCAGACTACTATGGTTTACCCCTCGTTGCCAACGAGCGATGTGGGAGCTGGTATATCCCGCCAGACAAGAAGGTCGGCAGTTCCTATTTTAAAAGCACAGATGGCCACATGGGACAGTGGGACTTTAGCCTGAGACGGCTGAACATGCAGGTTTTGGATATTTTGAAGAAATATGGAGGGTGAGTTGGGTTTAGCCTTGGATGAGCCCTTTGAGCTAACTAACTTCCGGTTTCTAGTTGTGTGATAGTTGATTCGACGAGAAGGGGTAAAAGTATGGCCATTCTAAAAAAACAAAAAAAACAGTACATTATGCTAACCTATGTACAACTCAGCGATGCCGGATGCCATGGGGAAAACAATACCAATCTGGTGCGCGGTCATGAATAGAACGCTGTTTCCTGACAAACCTGCCTACCACGCAGTTCAGTTTGCACCGGCATACCTTGGAGAATCAGAAGAGTCACAAATTGAAAGCAAAATAGACGGTTTCAGAGAATCATTTAGAGTAAGTATAAGCCCTTGGTATCACAATTTTATGTTTCATACAATTAACTTGGCTCGCTAGACATTAAACTTGGACATGGAAAAATTAAAAGAAAGATTGGGAAAACCCATCCGCCTGGTCTGGGCTACCAGGGACTTTTTCTCAGATAGCGACGAGCATGACGATTCACATTTACTCGTGCTCTGCTCGGCGTCAAGATGCGTTCGTGGTGCCGAGATGTCAGAGGGCGGATATATCCAGGGTGCAGGTGACGATAGTGAGGGATGGTCCCACGGCCTCACACCTCCCGTATTTTGGAAATATAAAGATCAACTCATGGCAGCTGGAGAATCAGAGCTTCCTGGCCTTATTCAAGAGCTGATTGAAAAGGAATGTAAGCTGCCATCGACCAATGGGCGGTTTCTGATAAGTCCCACCAGGAACATATATATCGGTAAACGGAGTGGTGTCGGCGATGATGCGTCATCTTTTGATCTGGTCATAGATTGTGCTGGAAGCGTTGATTCCAGTCAGTCGGGATCACAATCAACGAAATGGTTGAATCTTGGCTGTCCCGCAGGGAAGTTGGGAAGTCGGCAGCTTAGAAAGGTTCTTGCAAGTGCTGAAAGCTTTGTGTCCCGCCATTTAACTGATGATCCCTCTCTTTCCCTCCTCATAATGTGTTCGGATGGTAAAGATATTTCTGTCGGAACGGCGTTGATGGTTCTTTGCTCCCTCTTCGATGATCAAGGTATCGCCCCCGGAAACAACCTGACGCGTTCAGCTAATATCTAACTGGTTCATAGGAGCTTATTGTGGGCCCAGTGACAAGGTTGCAATAAACAAGCAATTTATTCGGCAACGTCTGGCATGGATAGTCATGTCGAAGGAAGACATTAATCCATCTAGGTCGACCCTTCAATCAATCAATTCTTATCTTATAGATAAGGAATAGAAGAAGGCACTTGGAGCCTATTTGAAGCAGAGCCCCCTATCCATGGACTAAAGAAGAAGGAGGAGAGTGCCATTAGGAACTAATCACCTTTCCACGTGCCATCATCCTTCCAGTCAAGCATAATCATATCTTCTTCTGTAAGGGCGAAGTCGAAAACGTCCATGTTGGACATGATGTGGTCCGGGTTTGTGCTACTCAGCAAGGGCACCCAGCCCTTCTGGAGCGAGTACCGTATCAGGATCTGGTGTGGGGTCTTGTTGTATTTCAATGCCAGGATTGCCACCTCGAAGTCGAGAGTCTTAAAATCCATGGTCAGAGCAGAGTACGCTTCAATCAGTACGCCATAATGCTGTAAGTGTTGAACGAGCTCCTTCTGCTGATTCCAGGGATTCAGCTAAGTATATGAATGTCAGCTATCTCGTGGCTCCTTTAGAAGGTAGATGCGGGATTGGACTTACCTCAAGCTGAACTACATGTGGTGGCCCTATTTTCGAATACGCACCGATCTGGAGGAAAGGGTCAAGGGTATAGTCGCTCACGCCGATGCCTTTTGTCTTCCCATCTTTGAGCACATGCTCCAGCGTATGCCACATATCACATCTCATTTGGATACTATCGGAGAGGGTCTCTATCAAGATCAGGTCGACGTATCCGCCGATGCCTCCAAATTTATCCACACTCTCGATTATGTTTTCGTAGGTCTCACCTGTGAAGGGCCATTCTATCGAGACCTTGATCGCCAGAAAGAAGTCCTCTCGAGGAATGCCAGATTTACGCACTGCCTCGCCAATTTCTGCTTCGTTGCCAGATTCTTGGGAAGTGTTGATATGCCGGTATCCGCAGGATATTGCGCGAGAGCAGAGCATTTCACAGTTGGACGCAGGGGTCCTACAGACATTTAACGCAGGCCGGGGTACGTATATTGTCGAGGTTTTCACTGGGGCAGTGGTGTCCACCAACACCCCCTTAATCACTTTGCTATCCGACATACTACGGGCTTTTTAACTAACAAGCTGAGTTGCTTTGTTGCTCTGTTTCTTCGTTACTTCGTCGTTTCGTTGCTTCTATATTGCTTGGTGGTTGCTCGGTGGCTACTTTGTTGTTGCGTGGTTTTGCCGTTGTTTCTTCGTTTCTCTTCAAAAGTGCGAAGTGTCAAAAGAACGAAGTCAAAAGTGCGAATGCCCTACTATATATATGGCGTTTTGCCTCTCTATCACTCTTGGATTTTGTCATCAGTCTATGACGCTGTTGACTCGAGCGTTATTACGTTTGAGGCCCAAATCAGCTAATTTTAGTATCATCGAATCTATATATGATGTCGTCGACATCAGCGTGTACCTTACTTTCGAGGCTTGGCGTTCTCAGCCTTGGCTGTTGCTATTGGCTGGTGTTGATGCCGTTTGCATAAACAAGCGCCAGACGCTTCTCACGCGGTATCCTCATTACATAATTACAGAATATAAGGAGATCTCATTAGATAATAGAGAACTTAGTTACTAAGTAGTATTTTTTGTCTCTTTGTATGTTCTTTACCTTACCTAAGCACCGTTTTCCCTTATAGACACACTTTTCCTTCTTTTACCCACGGCCTCACTTCGCCCTCCTATGTAAACCTGCTCTCCCCCATAAATGTCGTAGGTTTAAGACTAATTGGCAGCGTGGAATTATCTGTTACTTGGAAGTTGAAAGCGAATTTCGCCCGGATGGTTTAATAGTCGCTTAGTCCGCGGTGGTTGACGATGGACAAGCGCCAGACGCAGCTTCCGCGCAACGTACCAACCACGACTTCTTCCGTGTATAGTTACAGAGTAGCTGCAAAGCAGCAACAAAGACAACAACACGAAAACGTCAGACAGCGACGCTTTGGTGTGATACTTGAGAGAAGACTCGCAGCAAACTGAAAGCCCTGGTTGCAGGGTAACAATGGAAGACACTCAGCGAAGATGGGTGTCCGTTGCGATGAGAGGCTGCATGTTGGTGTCCTGGAGGAGCTCCCTTCTCAACCGTCAATTTTTTCTCAGAGTTGCGTTATATGGCTTTTTGAACTCCGTGGACATTACAGCGTTGCGCTACTGGTCGAAGAAAATAATGGAAGTTTCCATTGCCAGGCTGACCTAACGTCATCCCGCTCAGCCATCCCGATCCAACAACCGCAACGGTTCGCTTATTCGGGACGCCGCATCCGCATCCAGGACACTCCGTACAGGGCCTTGCTTGTGCTCAAGTGGAGCGGCAGATCGCACCAAATTGACTCTCCGCAGAAGCCCCAGACAAACAGCATCGGGAAAAACTCATGAGTGGCTGTCGGGCTGAGTTCTTCCGGGCGATCCTTGGGCAGTGGATCCTGGCTTATTCCCTCAACAACCTACAAGGAGGCTGGAGCAGCAAATCCTTCGAGAACATGCAGAGCGAGCTGGGGAGCCCTCTGTATCTGCTCGAAGGATGGGGGTCACAGCCATGGGCATGCAGGGATTCAATGGATCTTTCGGCCCGTTTGATAAGTCTTGTTACGCTCTGTTCGTGTCAGCTTGCATGGGGCGGAAAAGTAGCCCCGAAAGCGAGAGGGCTGGCTTTCAGTACTCTTGTACAGTCATGCCTCCATTATTATGTTTTATGCATTCACTTTCGTGAAGTATATAAAGAAGGGACCAGAGTCCATGTTGTTACGACGTTGAAAATTAGACCGCATACCTATGAATTAACTGCATGTTCTATTTATTCCCCATCATGATTACCCTCCCTCTCTCGTTAAGCATTCTTTCTCTTGCTGCAGCCTTTAGCTCTGCTGCATCACTCCAGGTCCGTGAAAATCATGACTGTGCTTTGATACAGCCTCCTCAGGTCCCAGGGGCCGAAGTCCTGTCTGTGATAGGCGTGCTACGCCAGGTCGAGGTCGCTCCATTCCCGCCTTCGCCATCAAAACCCAACACAACCATCGAGATCTGCAGTGTTAATGTTACCCTTTCCCACATGGGGGTTAACGACAAAGTCGTCGTCTCAGTATGGCTGCCTCTACCTGATAAGTGGAATGGACGTTTCCAGGCGACAGGAGGAGGCGGTTGGGCTGCCGGAACATTTGACCTGCTCATGGGTCCAGCTGCCCTTGAAGGATATTCCACTGCTGGAACTGATGCCGGCGTGACTGTTGACGCAGGATCTGCGGATAAGTGGGCTCTAAAGGAGGACGGCACTGTCAACTACGATTTGCTGGAGAATTTCGCTAGTCGATCAATTCACGACATGGCCATCGTCGGAAAGGCCGTGACAGAGAGCTATTACAAGAAGCCGGCCAACTATTCTTACTTCTACGGCTGCTCCAATGGCGGTCGACAGGGAATGGTGGAGGCTCAGAAATACCCAGATGACTTTGACGGCATTCTTGCTGGTGCGCCAGCCACCTACTGGCCCCGATGGCTCACCTCGACCGAATGGCCACAAGTTGTTATGCAGAGCGAGAAGGTCTTCCCTTCCCAGTGTGTCTTTGAGGCTTTCAGAAAAGCCGGCATTGCCGCATGTGACAAGCTGGACGGAGTAGAAGACGGCGTTGTTTCTAACCTCGACGACTGCGAATTCAATCCATTCGCCCTGGTCGGTAAGAAGGTAAAGTGTGGAGGAGAGTCAACTACCATCACCCTCGCCCAGGCCTGGGTTGCGAAGAAGATCTATGACGGCCCCAAGTCTACAGCGAAACGGGTCTTGTGGGATGTCCTTCCCGTAGGGGCGTATTATGACGGGCTCGCCAACAGCACTATCGAGAACGGTGTCCCAAAGATTGCTCCCTGGGTGATCTGTTCCTCCTGGATCAGATCTTTTTTGAAAAAGGACTTGAACTTCGATCTCTCCACCATCACGTACGCCGACATGCCCAAGCTTTTCCAGCAGAGTATCGATGAGTTTGATAAGATCCTCGGTGGAAGCAACCCCGACCTCTCCGCTCTTAAGAAGAGCGGAACGAAACTCCTCAGCTGGCACGGCCTAGCAGACGAACTCATTCACCCTCAAAATTCCGTCAAATATCGCCAGGCAGTCGAACACCGAATGGGAGGCGGCTCTGAGGTAGACAAGTACTACCGTCTATTCTTGGCCCCTGGAGTCACTCACTGCGGCATTGGAGTTAATGACGGAGCAGCCCCCGTTGATACGCTGAAAGTCTTAGAGAGATGGGTTGAGAAGGGCGAGGCTCCAGATACGATGCCTGCTATTGCAACCGATGCAAGCGGTGCTACTACCATTTTCACCCGAAACCTCTGTCGATACCCTTTGGTCCCCCGATACAAAGGAGGCGATAAGAACTCTGCGGACAGCTTTGAATGTGCCAAAGACTTTGGGTCCCACCATTAACTGGTAGGTCGCTGGATGGAATTAAGAATAGAATAACGAATGAAGGATTTCTTAGCCTAGAAAGAATCGATTTTTTAATTATTATCTTTTAATCTTCAAAAATCCTGTGCATTACTCTCTGATATTCTGAGTCAACTAACTATTTGTCACCGCTAGTTATATACATAACTAACCGGCTGACTTGATAGCTTGCAGTATTTGTCATTTCTATGAGCTGAAAAGTCTCAACTCAAATGATTCCAAAAAAAAACCAGCTCAGCCCTGCGGGATCCTTAAGAGCTCAAGTTTCTGCCCCAAGCCTTCAACTCACTAACTAACCAACCAGGGGCCCCTAGCCTGAGAAGTCCTTAACTAGCTTTTCAATACCCTATGGCGTTGCGAGGCGTGATGATCCTCCATTCTTGCCTCTCAGCCGTGGTGTTCGACATTTCTTAAAACTACCATATATCATAGCCCAGGACCAATTGGAATGCACTATGCATCGTTCCAATGCCAGGTCTCGGGGAGGCTCAGCGTCTAGATGATTTATCCGAGCAGTCAGATGGGGTGGTCAGCTCGTTCTCGAAATCTACAGCTGGACCCGCAAAGCATATCTTCACCGAGCGGTTGATATAAACGACTCACCACTCCATGCGAAGCACAATTTGAATTAGTTACACGTTGAGTGGCCATGAATGCATAGCGAGACGAATGCCCAACACTATCCTCGATTTTATCTAACCAGTTCCCTTCCCGCCATCGCAAAATGACGGAAAGTGACACCTTGGGCAGTCCCCAGGTGGGCTCCAGCGAATCTGACCAGCCCGCCAGAGCCTCAAATGCCTGCGAGCCCTGCAGACGAAGGAAGAAAAAATGTGACAGGGTATCGCCGACATGTAGCTCCTGTAGGAAGTACGTTACTCTCCTTAATTGCTATCCTGGTTTGGATAACACTAACTATTAACAGACATCTCCTCCAATGCTCATACCCCAGAGTCAGCCGAATTTCACAGCTTAAAGTCCTACGTGAACGACTTCAAGCTTTAGAGAATGTCATTGCAACGAAGGATAGCGGTGGATTTACTCAGCCACAGGATATGCAAATGTCTGCGGCCCTGATCACTGCTTCATCCATTCAGGAGATCGGACTTCCCCAAATATATCCCATCGAATCTCGATGGTATATGCCTGAACTGCTACGGTTCTGTAAGTTTGGTATCTCGTTTCCTTTGTTTCCTCGAAACAATTTATCTCATTTTACGTATAGATAGCGAATCCATTGCACTACAGTCGCAAGGAGATGGGTCATTCACACAGCTTGACACCCTACGAAACATATGGATAACAACATCACTGACCGACGAATGTATGTTTCATGCTACACTATACGCCGCATCTGCATATCTCGACCTACTTCGAGGGCAAAGCGGCAATGTTATTACTCTATATCATCAGACGGAGACCCTTAGGCTGCTAAGTAGTCAACTTGCAGCATCTAACATACAGGTCACTGACGCCTTGATTGCAGTAACAATGGCTCTATCTCAGACCGAGGTGGGTGATATTCCTCCTTACCTATTATTGACTTCAAGGGCAAACATATTTGCTCATTCGTATTGCATAGGCTCTCTTTGGCAATGTATGCGCCTCTGGGGCACATAGGGCTGGATTACATCACTTGGTAAAGCTTAAGGGCGGGCTCGAATACTTGGGGATGGATGGTTTACTTGCAGAATTGATATATGTGTAAGCACTCCATCATCAAGGGCATATACTATTCCTCGTGATACTAACTCCTGTAGGGGCGACGCCATGGACTGTCTTCTCTATGGCACTGAGCGGTCATTCCAATGGGCTACAAATCCTAAGCCTCCACCAATGGCTCTCTTATCCAACGTTATATCATGGGAAACTTCTGCACATAAAACTTCGCCCACCTGTCAAAGTTCGACCAATATCCTAGGACTTGTACAGCAGTCAATGTTGTTAATTGATAATCTACCCAGTGCATCCGTGGACAATGTTATAGCTACCTCCTTCATTCAAAAATTCATCCATCTCCATGATGAATTTTCATCTCTATGCAGTGACAATACCGTCAACTATTCCTCGGATTCATCTACAGAATTTTACATATATGAATGCTGTCGTCAGGTAGCATTGTTGCATTGGCAACTAGTCAACGATAAAGGTATCTTGTCTACGGAAGACACAATACCTGCTAACGCTAGAGACCTTAAAGTGGCTATGGGGAAGATGGACATTCCGACATGGTCGAAGGTTGCTCCAAGGGCTTTTATTTGGGCCGGAGTGACTGGAGCAGCCGCATCTAAGGGTTATGCAGAGCGTGCATGGTTTGCGGCCCGTTTAGGCCCAGTGGTAATGGCTCAAGGAAAAAACGGGATTCCTACTCTTAAGCAAGGAATGGCTCTTTATCAATGGCTGAAGGCACCGGTTCTGGTGTGGTAGGATATAATGAAGGTTACATTGGCATGACTGAATGAACTGACCGAGATTTTTTGGGAGGTCAGGGGTGATCAATTTCCGATTTCTCCATTTCTCCACCCCGGCCTTTACCAAGATAAAATCTAGCCAAATATATGTACACAAGGGGGATAAAGGCAAATGATCCGTTAGCAGATGGTTTAAGCATCCCACATAACTTCACTCAATCTTAGCAATGAATCGTCAAGCCCACGCTTAGCTGCCATGAACTCTTCTCTCGCCTCAGGTCCCTGAGGACCTTTAAGTGCAGCAGAGTAACATAGCTCAATCAGCACCCTCAACTCATCAAATGTAAACGGCTCCCCGTTGCCTTCCGTCAAGACTTGGCTGCCCATCTCCTTAAACATATCTCTTTCTTCCTTTGCATTTCGTAGTGTCTTGCCTGGACCTTCAAGGAACCAGTCCAAGAACTTGGCGCTTTGCGGGAGCGCAACTACTTCGGGCATAGAAGCAGCAACGTCTTTGTCCAACGATAGGCTGCTCTTGGATGATACTGGGGCAGGGGAAACAACGATGATATTCTTCAGATTCTGTTGAAGCACAAGGACATCAAGCTGAAGTCTCAAAGCTCCGTAACTATTCATTGCACCAATAAAACGAGTGCTAGATACCAGTGCACGGTCTATGAGTCTTGAAAGGCAAGATGTGATATATCGGCATTCATTTGGTCCTAGATAGTTTGACATTCTAGCACCAAATGAAATAAGATCGTTGTTTAATTCAAGCACGATAGGCGAAGCAGATGTTGGTTCGACCGTTAATATATAAGACCAGTTGTTTTCGGTTGAGGAATTCCGGTTCGGCTCCTGTGGCTGTCCATCATTTTTGCCTTTCAATGCTCGGGATATCATGTATATTGATCCACATCGAATATCGAGGTGTAAGGTGAAAATGGCTGTAAAGGCTAGGTTTTGAATTGATGTAATAGCACCATCGAAACCCACAACGGACTCTTTAGTCATAGGAAGACGAAGAGGGCGTTCGACATCACCGCGTTTCGGTCTCATCGCCGCCTCTAGAGTCCAACGTCGAGTAGGCGCTACTTGTCTGGATTGGATATGGCTCGAATCTGTTTGATGGGGAGTGATGTGGCGTAGTTTGGACAGGTTACTCGATAGCCAGTTCTAAAGTAATGGGTCAGATGATATAACAGCCTGCAAAGCAAGAGGGAAGAGCTTACCATGCTATTATAGAGCAGTGACAATGAACCAACTATCTTTGGATCAGCTACCATGTCATAACCTTTCAGTGAGGTTTCATTGGTTGCAGAGATAAGAAGCTCTATTTCCTACATAGAATTAGCGTCTGCCCTCACAAACTGATTTATTCGAATACCAACCCTGTTGATTAACGACTGTTTCTCACTAGCAGAGCATTCCCATAGCTTTCGTCCCACTTCGCGGATATCCTGGGACTCCGCAAATGCCGCTGAAGTTTTTAGGGCTATACCACCAGGATGGTTAGGTGATATCCGAGTCATAAGAGCTGTACAGACTTCATTAGAACATATTGTAGATGCAATGGGAGAGTTGAAATGCTTACCCTTATACCAGCCGCAGCACTTTTCGTAGTAAGTAATGATTTGATCAATTATCAATTGCGTGAAAGCTTGATCGTGGGGTATACTATCCAACATCCGGCTAAACTTTTTTATTAAATTCATGAAGTTGATGGTTCCCTAAAAGTGTTAAAAAGAATCAGGTCACAACATAATCAATGAAACCCACAGGAGACTATGGTTCCTTACTCTGAAAATTGGCCGAGGAGAGTGCAAGGCCCATTGAGGATCCTCAGTGTAGGCATCCACAGAGATGAAGTTGATGGCACAGAGCTCGCTGACAGCTTCATCAAGCTGAGGTTGGAAAACGTTTATCAAGAACTCATCGAGGAAAGATGTAAGTGCGCCAACAGCGATGTCGGAGCTGGGGGGAACTATCTCCTTGAGCCGGTGGATAAACGAAAGAGCAGGAGGTAGAAGCAAGCTGATGTTAAAGACACTGGGTTCAATGAGCAGCTTATGGCCAGTCCCTGAATTTTGTTGGTTAGAGCTATTGTTATCGCTGGTCGAAAACATCTGGCGTGATTTAGGCACAAGTCCAGGAACAGAGGCTCTCAGAATCTCGGCCAGCTCCTCTTGCTCTGCTTTCAAATCAGAAGCGGCCTGGTCGACTTCAGACATTTTGAAGAGTTTCTAGAAACAAAATTAGTGGTGGTTTTGGTAGGAGTTTGAGACAGGGTCCAGAGTTTTTATACCTTTGTTTTATCGCGCTTGACAGAAGATTGAGCGTAGCCGTTATCCGTTGCTCTGGTCGTGGCTCTAAAAGACTCGGCTCCATCTGTGGAAAGATAGTCATGAAGTAGAGATCGCATCTGCGTAGACATTAGTATTACCACTGCCGATTTGATATATGGCGTACATACCTCGCTCTGATATAATTTCCATAGCTCTTGGAAGCTGCTGGTCAAGTGAACCTCATTTGCAAGCTTGTCTCGTTTGACAATGCCACTGATAACTTCATAAAGGAGTCGATGACCTTCCGCAATTGTCTCAAACTTGGCAAATAGATTCCACAGAAATTCTGACAACAGATGCCTTCGCTCTGACGCGGAATCGGGGACCGCTCCTGGCCCGGGCTTTCGAGCATCCTTTTGAAAATTAGGATGGCTGTTATTTACCTCAGCGCCTGTTTTATCGACAACACTGTACAGCTCGACAGGAAGACGTTGCTCTATCCTATCAACTACAACGTCCAGGTTTCCCATCTTATGAAGTGCTTCCAATAAAAGGTGGATGTAATAAAACGTATCTGTCTCTGGGTTGCGAGATATATCTTCCACAAAGTGTGTAGTTGCATCCAAAGATGAAAAATATTGATAAAGGGGGTTCTCCCAAGAAGTTCCACTTGCACTAGTTGACGTACCATCTCTGTCGGACGAGGGTTTCCACCGGTCACAGCAGTATGGGGACTTCAGATACAGGTGGTCATGCAGTTCCTCGACAAGGATATCAGTCAATGAAGTTTCTTGGTTGCTGAAGTAAGTCCGGAGGTCTCCTAGGGAACCTATGCCCGCAAGCTCGGGACGTTGAAGGAGCGCAGTCCCTTCTTTGAGGATATCAACCGCGGCAATAAATCTCTTATCCGACATCCGAGCTTCTAGCTTCTCCGGGAGGGATTGGGCATGTTCAATCAGCTCAAAAAGTCGTAGGATTTCATCGTAGGATTGCGATGCCATAGCCTGTTCCTTCAATTCCGGCTTCATAGTAAGCAAACTGGCTTTAGCTTCCAAAAGGGCGGCCTTGAGAGTTCTGATTTGGTGCTGCGAGCTTTGCAGACTACCCTGGATGTTGTGGTACGTCCCGAGGAGACTATTGAACCCGTGGTGATGCTCTAGAAGGATAGTCAACACGGTTGCCTTTTTGCAAGCGCATCAAGAAGATGTCTCACCCACCATTGACCACAGACCGCAACGCATGCTGGATGCGCTGATGTATTTGTAAAAACTCCGGCTCTCTATCTGCGCGACCAAGGGTGCTTGTGTCCATCAATTGTAGGCCAACTTGAACGGGTATGCACTCGCTGTCCGCCATAAAGTCCCATTCGTCTTCGATAGCTTGAACAACGCCTAATAGCAAGTTCAAACAAGGAATTAGCGAGGCATGGCTCTTCCTTTGGACGCCGCCAAATGCTTCATGGGAAACATACCATCGATCTCCTCTCCTCCTTTGATTTCTCGGCCGCTACCTCCGCTTCGCCCGCTGCGACTGGCACTCCTCTGCCTCGCAGTCTCTTCCCGTCTCTGTCTTTCGCTTCCTCGAAATCGGTCTTCATCTTTACGACCACCCCATGACGGACCATCGTCTATATCGCGACCCCGAGACCGCACGGATACCTGGGGAGACAGCTGTTCCATCGAGTCGCCGGGCGAGGGCGATTCAAGATAGGTCCCTCCTCCATATCCTCCACGCCCCTCGCGCCCCCGGCCATATCCCGCAGGCGAATTCATTGACCCATTATTCGATGCGCCGTAGTCGTGGTCGTAGTCGTAGTCTCGTCTGGGGTTGCGTGAAGTCGTGAAATAATCGTTTCTTGGTGTTGGGTTGCCCGAGTTCATGATGGTGATGCAAGGGGCTAGGAGTAGGAGCTTTGAAAAGCCCCAACCACGCTAGCGGCTCTGTTACAGATTAGTTGGTTACAGGTTACAATGAGGATTGAAGCCAGCACACACAATAACAAGAGATATAAATATTGGAATATATATAAAAAAATATAGTAAATATCTAATATATATATGAGAATTCAAGGTAGAATTATGACATAGACACCATGCGTGAAGGTTTTGGTTAACATTTATGCGTACCATGTAACTTAGTTGCTTAGAGTAATCCAAGGTGGCTGATAGCATATAATATACATGCATGACAAAATGTAATATAACAAGTAAGATATCCATCATTATATCGTATAAATAGGTGGCAGCACCTCCAGGATCTGAATGCAGCCCTCGCAAGTGCTAAAGAAAACCTCCCTAAAGGCCCGGAGAAGCATCTGTCAAAGAGGCCAGACGGGCAATAAATACATAGGCTGGAGTTTCTAATAGTCCCTCAAGACGGCGACAAGTTCATCCAGCCTTGCAACTTCGCCTAGAAGCAAGGTTTCCTTTGCTTCCCATTCCTGTAGTGCAGCCATATCAGAGGCAGAGAGATATCGCTCCATGTTACGCTTCACATCAGATCGTTCAGCTTTTTCAATCAGTGGTTTTAGTTTGCTTCGTTCATAGGCCAGGCGTTGCAGGCATCTGGCCATACTCTTGTATGTATCTTCGATAAGCATCATGACCACTCGGTCAGCATCATAGAACCATAGGTATATTGTTCGGGAGGGCTGCCGTTGGGCATCCCGAGGAACTTCTTGCAGGTCGATAAACCCGCCAGATTGCAGCCGTGCCAGTATCTGCCGTAAATCCTTGGAGGGCATCAAGCTTATTTCTTGCAAGCGTTTCTCATCTAATCTCCCCTTATCTGCAAGAACGCGGAGGACCCGTACAGCAACACTGCCGTACCGAGATTCAACGAGCCGTTCGATTTCAAGATGCCGTAGCTTTCGAGCAAGGTGCCTGAACTCCACAGCCCATGTGATGATCCCTGAGTCCATCCTCCGCGTAGAAAAATGGTAGGGCTCTGAAGCGAGTAGAGAAAGATGCTGTGCGACTTGGAAAACACGGCTTTGAGCCTTCGATTGCGCATTCCCTTCACCGTCCTCTTCATCAAAATCGTCTTCATCTTCATCCTCATCATCCTCGCCATGGCCATTTTCCAGACCATTCTGCTTAGGTTTTGCCGCAGATATACCGGCAACACTGCTAAGGAGATCCAGGTTGGGGTCGAGATCATCAACTATGGTATGTAATGGAATCGGAACAGAGTAATGTTGCCCTTCTTCTCCTTCTAGAACAGGCTCATCCTGCTGGCGGCACTTCCGAGTCTTAAGTTCAATCCGAGACAGTAGTATTTCATATACTTGTGAAGTCACATGCGAGGTTGCCTGATCAGCCAACTTAACTAGCCTTTGGTTGCGGAGAGCAACATTGAATTGCTCATAATTGATCCGGATAGTCATATTACTCTGTCAGTCGCAATTAGCTTAAGGATTTCAGGGTTAAAGAAGGCTAAGACGCCACTTACGTCCAATGTTATATCACTATCACCATCATCCTCATCTTCTGATATATCATAGTTGTCGGTTTCGACTGCTTCATCAAGCTTCGGCCGCTTGCGCGGGCCTTCCGAAGCCCCATTTGCGGCTCGCCTTTTTATTCCTCTGGTGATATTTCGGGGAATCAAGCCGTATGCAACGGTCCCATCCATCCATTCCTGAAGCATGATTTCCGCCTTCTCCTCAATTTTCTCTTCAAGCTTTTTCCCCTTTAGCCCTTCCGTTTCACCACTGGCCTTTACCGCTCTCCGAGCCGATTCCCGTAGATCAGATGGTGATTGAAAATGGACATCCTTCACTCGCATTATGTAACCATAAGCAGCAAGCTCTCGAAGTGTAGAGCCGAGCCGAAAATTTCCCTCTCCATTTGTATTATCAAAGGCCCCAGCGTTTCCGTTCACACCATCTTCCATACCATTCTCCATAGTTTCCTCGTCTCCATTTTCAAGCGAGTGGTCACCGTTTACACCGTCGGGTTCATGGGTTCCATTGCGCAGAGGAGCTGGCTGGAGCTCCGGCAGGCTCTCGAGATGGCTTATTTTGACATGTCCCAGGGACAGAATCGTGGACACCACTTTTGCAGCGTAATCCCCCAGCCGCTCCCTTGTTAATTGCAAGATACTTCCAGACCGCACCAGCAAGTATGCAGCCCGCCAATTCGCTTGGTAGTATGAAACGCCGTCCTCGAAACCGGTATAGTGGAAGATAAGCTGCTGCTGAATGAGGACAGCTAGGCCGTGTTTAACTTGTCGAGGCGAAAGGTGTGTGTTGTGGACTATTCTCATGAGCGGTTGCCGTCCATGGTGGACAAGGTAGGAGAATATCAACTATACATAAATATATCAGTCACACGCAACATTGTCTGCCCCATGCTGTCAAAGACTAGGCGCATACAGAGTATAATTCTCCAAAATTATCTGCTATCAGAAGCGTACAAAGCTCCGCGACATACTAGAATGATCGTCAGCGTCCGCTTTCCTTCGTCCATTGAGTCCCAAAGAGCTCCGTTACCTGCGACATCTTTTTTTGTGTATGATTATGACTTCTAGAGAGATGCCACTCTAGAAGCTCTCAAAGGTCACGAATGAGCAGTCATCGGCATTCCACGCATAACAAACTCCAAGCGCACCCTCGCTTCTTCGTCTGCTGCGCTTTTCTTCCCGTTTTCTAGTCTCCTTCGTCGTCTTTTCTTCTTTCTTCGTCTTTTTCTGCCTTTTTTCTTCTTCTTGCAATAAGCGGGACCACATTCACGTGACACGAGAAGCACCACCACGTGATTTTCAAGAGTGTCGTCAAGTTGACCAATCAGAATGTCCGCATTTGGCCCATTTCGTGAGTGACCGGAAGCTTTTTTTGGCCCAGAAAGGCGAACGTCGACTTCTTCACTCCTTCTGGTGTATCAAGACCACGACAGCCAGACCCGAACAACCATCCCCCCGGCTTCAGCCCGCCCATTTCTCCCTCTCCCGGCTGTACCCACCGTCGATACAGAAGGCAATGATGCTTCCGCGAGCTTCCCTTGGCCGGACCGCCGCGCGCGTCTGGCGCAATGGCTGCTATCAACAGACCACCGTACGAGGCATGGCATCGCAGGCCGGCCTCGAGTTTGAGACTAGTGAGAGTGCTGGTGTGAAGCTTGCCAGCAGGGAGGTCTCTGGACCAACTACCACTCTTACCGTGGTTGCTAAGGCCGGTTCCAGATACGAGCCATTGCCCGGCTACTCTGAAGCGTTGGAGAAGTTTGCATTCAAGGTGAGCCCAGAATTTCCAGAAAAGGGTCGATTGCCTATCAGCCAGAAGGGCTATCGTGTTTATTTTCATTGGGGAGGCATTGGCTGATGGATTGGATTTCAATTGCAGTCTACTCTCAAGCGTTCGGCCCTACGAATCACCCGTGAGAACGAGCTTCTTGGAGGCCAACTTTCCTGCTACCGATCAAGAGAGAACCTTGTTCTCTCCGCTCGCTTCCTCAACAATGATCTGCCATACTATGCTGAACTTTTGGGAGAAGTTGTCTCGCAGACCAAGTATTGCAGTAAGAAAGCACAATTGCTCGTCTTGTTTCTGTTTCCGTTTCAGATAGGATAACTAAACATCGATTGATATATCAGCCCACGAACTCAACGAGCTTATTTTCGACCTTATCAAAGCCTCACAGAACAACATTGCTGCCTCTCCATCGACTCAGGCTCTTGATGTTGCGCATACCCTTGCTTTCCATCAAGGACTCGGAAACCCACTCACCATCCCGGCTGCTACTCCATTGAAGAAGTATGTGTCTGCTGAAGGTGTTGCCTCCTTTGCACAGGGTGTCTACACCAAGCCATCCATTGCCGTTGTCTCCAGCGGTTCCAACTCTGCTGAGCTATCCAAGTGGATTGGCCAGTTCTTCAATGAGCTCCCTACCTCCACTGCTTCCGGTGCTCTCGCCCCAGCTGCCACCCAGCAGACCAAGTATTTTGGAGGAGAGCAACGAATCTCCAGCCAGGCCGGAAATGCCATTGTCGTTGCTTTCCCTGGCTCCAGCGCCTACGGCACCTCTGGATACAAGCCTGAGCTCGCCGTTCTCGCCACTCTCCTGGGTGGAGAGTCCAGCATAAAATGGTCTACTGGATCTTCCGTCCTCGCAAAGGCTGCTGAAGGTTTCCCTGGCGTCCGCGTCTCTACCGACCAGTCCGCCTACAGTGATGCTGGATTGTTCCATATCACTATCTCTGGCCAGGCTGCCGACCGTGTCTCTCAGGCCGCCAAGGCTGTTGTTGATGCCCTGAACAACGTCGCTGCCGGCAACGTTGCTGCCGAGGACGTCAAGAAGGCCGTCGCCCTTGCCAGATTCCGTGTGCTTGATGCCGGATCCAGCCTTACCGCCGGAAGCGAGGCCACTGGCTCTGCTCTCGTCCACGGTGGCAAGGCATTCAGCATTGCTGCTAACGCCCAGGACATCGAGAAGGTCACCGACGCCCAGGTCAAGGCTGTAAGTTTGCCATTCTGACAATCAAGCGATATCTTTCTTGTAGACGCTCAACTAACAATCACTTACCAGGCTGCCAAGTCCCTCCTAAGCAACAAGGCCTCCGTTGCTACTGTCGGAGAGCTCTTCTCTCTTCCATATGCTGCTGACCTCGGTCTCACTGTGTAAATATACCCCCCATGGAACAGGTACCTCTCAACCACAATCGCTGAACTCCTAAAAATTACACCTACACACACACAATAGACTCAGCGTAACTTTTTTTGATGTTACTATACTAGTTGAAATAGTTGAAGAGAAAGAAAAAGGGAGAGTTAGATAGGTGGCATTTTTCCTTCTTTCCTGTGCTCTCTTCCCTATCCTCCGTCTTCCCCGTCACTCTCCACCTTGTTCTCTTTTGTTTGTCCTCTAGTAAATGTACTTATATAAAGAAGAATCCGAGTGTTTTTCATTCTTACTCTTCTTCGTGGTGTACTCGTCAATTATGGTATTTGTTACTATGCACGACTGAGATTAGAAAGCTTGAGCTGCTTAGGAATAGCATATATATCCCAGGTTAAATAAATAGAAGGGCAAGAAATGGCATACACGAAGGAAGTAATAACACATTATTTTTTTACCCACATTCGTATCAACGACAGTAACTTCGTGGACATTTTCTTATAAAAGCCAGAAACCTAAGAAAGAACAAAGGGAAAAAAGAACACATTACTTCTATAACTAATACAACATGCTGGAAGATATATGGCGAAAATGGAAACGAGATGAATACAGAGGGAAAGAAGATATTTTTGCAGGCCAAGACCGTAATAAGCTGCTGGCAGCTTAATGTTTGGCAGTGACCTTTTCTCCAGTTAGTTTCTCAACAGCTTCCTTGGCCCTATTAGAGTCGATGAATTAGTAAAATGAATATGAGACAGACAAGTAATGGAAATTAAAGATGAACGTACATGTCTCCAAGAGCAACCATGCAGACAGTCTGCCAGATACCAAGACCAATACGAGGAGTGACACCCCTGTAAAGACCCTTGATGCCGTTCTGGCTATATATGTAGCTGAAGGCCTTGCCGACAGTCAAATTCTTTGGACGGTTCGGGTCAACAGTCTTGCTCTGCATCTCGACACGGATGACCTCAATAGGCTGGTTCCAGGCCGACAAGCCACCACCGATGGTACTAGCAGCGATCTTTTCAAAACTGTTGAGCTTCTGACCGTCCTCCTTTCCAGAGACCTTTCTGATCCCGATTTCAGCAAGACGGGAGAGACCAAATCGAGAACCCCAGTTTGTAGTCTGTCGAATGGCGACGGCGTTGACGCCCTTGTTGATTCCACGGATACCTTCACGGCGGTAGATGTCCATGAAAGTAGCGAAGGTGCTTGGGGGCTTGACGCCTGCAGCAGCCATCTTGGACTTGGTGATTTCGACAGTCTTCATGCATGTGCAGAAACCCATGGTAGCGTAGGCCTGGGCAACACCACCAGCCATACCACCACTGATTCCACCGATGAAGTCATTGGCGCCGAAAGTTTTGGCATAGTACTCTGCTTCGGAAGCCACGAAGAGAAGGACGGCACCTTTGGTAGAGGCCTCGATCCAGGCCCAGGGAATGAGACCTTGGTAGTCTATAGAATGCAGTCGGTATTTATACTGGTGAGTGTATGAAAGAGAAGCAATTCTTACATCCAAGGATGCCACCACGACCCCAGATACGACCCATGGCACCGGCAAAGGTATCTGACCGGTTAGCAGCCATTGTAGTCTTGATGACTTCCAACGGCTGGCCGAGGGTTGTAACCCTATTTCAATTAATCGTTCGTCAGCACTGTACAGCCATTGACACACATAAGGCGGGCATATATAGGCGGGGAAGCGTACTCAAACAGGTTCAGGCCAGCGCCAACTAAAATTCTCAATCCATCAGCATCAAATCAAAGTGCGTAAAGGGAATAATAATAACAACAACAATAATAATTTTCATTCCACTCTTCTCTTCTCGCGCGGACTGCACTTACGTAGCAAATTGCTAAACTTGACGGGCTTCTTCTCGATCTTATTCTGGCCTGAGGCGGACATCTTGGATACTGATATGCTGAAAGGGGCCCTGACCAAGGGGAAAAAGATTGATGTGTATCGGGGCGGAGGACGCCTTATTTATTTTATCTGATGGCGGCTAGCTGGAGCTGACGGAGTATACCCGTTGGAACTTTGACTGGGTATGTGTATATTGCGGCGAAGGAATCTAGAAGCACCAAGGCTCTTGTTGTTGCTGCTGTTCCTGCAGGTGGCCTCCGAATATACAACGACTCAAGGGCACCTATAAATATCAACAACAGCGCGTTAGTCGAGGCCAGCCCATTAACCGTGCTATCTGACGGCGTCTTTCACAAGCCACCGAAGACAATGAAGCGCCTTTCTATTGCGGCGGTATATGCTCCGTTGCGGACAGGGGCCAGTGGACCGCGACGAAGCACAAGCACCGCCCATGGAACGAAGAGCTCCGGCAAGAATTAAGTAAGGGGAAAAGCTTACCGTGAAGTTTTTTTCTTCTTCGTCCTGCTTCTCTGGAGACAGTGATTGACAGTAAAGAGATGACCGAGTTGAAAGCGAGATGAAGCAAAAAATTGAAGACGACGAAGCCGGGAAGGGGGAAAAAGCAGCTGAATACTCGGACCTTTTTCTCTTTTTTCTTCTTCCTCCTGAAAAGGGACCGCGGGCGGTTTTGGCCTGTGATGGGATTATGTAAGCGGTGAGAGCCTGCGTTTTAGCAGGCCTGGTTGGGGTGTTTTAGCGTTAGGCGCTCAACAAATGCGCCTGCAGAGCCGCGATAAACGGAGCTTTTCTTCCTCAACAGCTCGCCTAAGGGGAGCAATCTACTTGTATCTACTTATATCGGACACGACTATGATTATTGCTGAAATACGAGGCAGAGGACGAAAGTCGGTTGGTGTTCTATGCGATGAGCTGCTCGTCCTTAAGAGACTATCGATAGATATAGACTCATTCTCACCACTACAGCAGGGGAGTGTCAGCTAGGTCCTAGGCAACTAAGGCTTGTTGCTATGCATGCAATTACTAAGTATAATTATCGAGAGACTCAGACTTTGCCAAAGTTCCCTTGCCGATAGTCCGTCGTAGGCCTGGGTTAGCGTGGGGAGTTGGCCGCGTTGATCACCCTGAGTGGAGCATATAACTACCGCTGATTTTATATATCAAGTACTTCATGAGGAAAGCCCTTGTAGCACTTCTGTGTAATTGTGATTAGCTATGACGGATCTATATGCAGCTTCTCTAACAAATTTTGACGTCTCTATGCCTCTCTGCATAATATAATAGTGAATATAAGTAGAAATGAAGAAAAACTATAAGATTCCTTGACATCGGACCTTATTAAAGCCATCACCATCACTACTTGGGTTTCCAGTAAAGCAGACTAGAAATGATGATACCACGAAGCCTAAGCGAAAGTCAACTGAGTTCTGCTGAATTGGAGGCCCATCAAGTAGTAGGCAGCTGTATAGAAGGTAGTACTTTGACTTGCTTGGCTTCGCCAGACAGCTGGCTACTGGTCCTAGACACCACGTAGAGGTGCAAGTCTTGCCTAGGTAAAACAGAACGCCCAAACGCTCAAACGCCCAAACGCCATAACAAAGGAAAACATGGAGAAGTGCCGCATTACACGTCATGCGGCAGACCAGAGCACCACCAGAGCCTTCACCATCCTAGGCAGGAGAGGAGTCAGGAAGAGCGCTGACAGACTCAGGGGCAGGGTCACCAGAAAGCGTCAACTGTTCGACTCCCTGCTGAGCGCCGGACGTATCGACGCCCTCCTCAAGGATCGAAATCCTTTCCTCTTTCCAGAGGATTTGCAACCTGTCGAGCTCAATCCCCCTGCGGAGACGAGCAGCCTCTGCCGCCTTCTCCTCCTGCGAAAGGCCTCGAAGCCGCTGCCTCTCGGCCTCCTTCCTCCTCTCCTCCTCCTCCGTCGACCTGGAGGCGCCGTCAAGCAACCCCCCGCCACGGCCCCCGCGTCCCCCACCCCTTCCTCTCCCTCCTCCTCTGCCTCTCCTCCCTCTCGCTCCTCCACGACCGCGGCCATGCCTGTTGGCAGGGTAGCTGTAGATCGTCACGTTCTTCGCGTGGAAAGTCTATGCAAATCGAATATTAGCCACATCAATCCAACTATGTTTGTTATTCCCAAGAATGAGATAAGAAAAATGATATAAGAAACACGTACCATTGTCGAAATTTCCTGTATACGCGAAGAGTAGGTAGTAATGAGTTAGTCACGGCTGTTTGCACGCATTTAAAGCGTGTATAAGGGTACTTACTCGAATATGAAATGTTCGGACGAGGAAAGAAAAAAGGAAGGAAGAGAGAGAAAGAGAGAGGAAAGAAAAGAAAATAAACAAAACAAGTGAGAGCTGGGCAGAGTGGCTGGGAGGGAGCTAGGGCTGGCACTAACCCCTTTGGGCCTATCCTGTACCCTCGAACTAGATATAAAATATCCTGCTTAATTTATGAACGAGCTGCTGTGAGCTCCATATCCTTCGTGCCGCTTAGTGATTATATCAACCACTAGACAAGTGCAATTGTAATCAAAGATATAATCCTATGTTCTATTCTCAGGGGTATCTAAGAGAGACATCAAGCTGTAAAGCTGAGATAAAGACGCAGTAAATTGGATCTGCTATGATTTAATGAACATGCTCCTAGTATAGCCTCCATATTGTTTGTTTCTCCTCCCTTCTTAATCTAAAATACTTAGACTATACGAAGGGTGGAATTTTGGCATGGCATATAGGTTCTTAGTATTTTGTTGGGTATATTCAGGCGATCAACTGGTCGCCCTTGATATTTATATAAATATCTAGGGTAAAGTGAAAATATGCGCGTCGTTTATTTTTTATGCCAAACGATGGAATAAGGTTTAGTTATGGTAAATCACGTGATGTTACTAGCGCCGATCCGGCTTCTGCCAAATGACGTCGGTTTTCTCTGGCGACTTGCCTTCGAACTCCAACTCCAACTATATCATTATATCTCTCATATGCACTCCTGTAAACACGACACAACAGGTTGAACGAGCCCTCAGTCTAGTAAGTGCTCAGCTGGTACTCACAAATCTTCATGTCGTCCCCCCCCCGATACCCTAGTTGTCATTTAAACATAAACACTAACTAAACATGCCTTGCTGTCCACCGTTGACCATCTTTACAGTATCATACTCCTGGTACCGCTGATAATCAGCACACATTGCACTACCGCAACTATGGACAGCGTTTGCAAATTTATCAGCGAGTGGGTTTCAGCAAGTTCTCCCTCGACCGAAGAGACCCGACGCAGAGAACGCCGATCGATGGAAAAAGATGCGGAGGCTTTTAGAAGCGCCTTGCGAATTGAGCATGTTATCGATGGCTTTGAAGATGACGTTCGGGACATGTATCCAGATCGTACAGACATCATCACTGTGATCAAAAAATTTAGACAGGTTTTATACGATGAACATGGTGGAGTACCACCATCTTCCGTCCTCTGTCTCCCTCCTACTATCCAGGCCCAGGGGAAAATGACATATGACAGAGTGGTTGAAAGATGGTCAGATTGGACCAGCCTATCCAAGGAGTTCCCCTTTTTGACGGGCTTCCCCTCTATCGAAGAGCAAGCTGACTCCATCGATGACAGCGAAGCGCTCGCCGTAGAGACTGCCATTGCCATGCAAAAGTGGCATGTGGATAAATATGGGAATGCCTTATGCTAAGGATGGTCAGTTTACTTTCGAGTTCAAACTTTGTAATTATACCCTGATACCCTTCGATCTTATCGCTGTTTTATTCGCCGCTTGAAGGCCTTAGGCCACCACTTATCTACTTAATGGCTGCGGGTGGCTTTCCTCGAAATTCTCGCCACTCTTGATGTATTTCTTAAAAGTATGAAACGATGGATATATTAAGATGCCGTGTCTTGATACCTCTTCTTCACTTTCTTTTTGTTCTCGTGCCCAGCCAGCCGTCCTGTTCACTGCTGAGCCTGAAAGTGTTGCATCAAACTATACGCACCTGCCGCAATAGGACAGAAAACGTGACTGAGCGTGATGGAAAGGGGCACTAACCTTGTGGCTCGAAACTGACGCGAGTTTTTTTCTTTTCAAGACTTTCTTCTCAAGACTTTCTCAAGACTTTCTTCCCCAACTCTTCTCAATTTACTTCTCAAATATCACGTTCCTCGGAACCAGGTTTCTAGATCACTGAATCAAAGATGGCTCCAGGATATAGCAAGTTCGCTTCTCTAAGCCGTAGCTTGTAGCATGCTTATGCTAATGTTTGCTCCTACTTAGACGCGATATCCAGATCATGAAGCAATGGTTGAAATCAGAGCAGGTGAAGAGCTACATTAATGCATGCCGTCAAAGACAGGAGAATCATGCATTCGAAAAGGCAAGGTGTAAGGAGTACTTTGCTGAACTATTCTATCAAGATGCTCAAAAGGGGTTTAAGATGGAATGCCCTCCGGCCTTGTGGGTTCTGGCGATCTTCTGTCGATTTCTGTTCGCCTTACTGCGGAAACCGGCCCTTGACCTTATGGAAAGTGGCGGTCACTGGAACTGGCCCTACTGGCTCGGAGAACTTTTTTGCTGCGGTGGCATGGTGCTGCAACTGGCCATTGCCAAAAACCCGCAACTGAGTACCACTAAAGCCCGTGTCACTATATTGGTAAGTACCTTTGTCTCTCACACGATGGACGCTATTGCAGCATGCTACCTTGGGTCTAGGGAAAACGACGCCTTTCTTAACGGCGTAGCTTACGTCTCAAGGATTGGTTGTGAGTTTTTCATTATGATCATAGGCTGCCGGGCTACGCTACATACCCTACAGCCACAGGAAGTGGACCAAGCCGGATGCTTGGAGACGTAGGATCAACTTCCCGCTGAATACAAATATTGGGCCGAAAGCTCTCTCAGTAACTACCGCGACGAACAAAATTTCAAAGGAGCCCTCCGACGCAGCAGCAGACAACGCGTACAAGCCAGCCCGAGAGCTTCTCCAGTTGACAATACCAAACCCGTATAACAGACGTTAGCGGAATATACTCGTGCTATATCGAGGACCACTGATCCTTTGGTTGCATGAAATGTGCCATCGGTTACGTGGGTGCGATGACAAAACGGGTTGAACATATTGGACAATTGGGGCTTCGGACCTGGTTCTATGGGGCTTCGGACCTAATATATTTCAGACTTATAGTTTGACCAAGCCTTCGGGTTTGGAGTCATCGCGTCTATATGTGTTCAACCCACCTCCCTTTTTTTGTTGGCCGATGGCCAGTGGCGACCATCTGGTATCACGCTCAGAGTCTCTGCGCCTTGTTGCGTACAAGATGAAGGTGTGTGTGGGTTCGAATCCTACAGCTGACATTTGCCGCACCCATACGTTACTATTCCTGATTTCAAACCCTGCTTCTCCTCCTCGGTAGGCCCAAATACCATTTTTTTTTATCCTAGAACCAAATTGCCCTTTCGCTAATCCTTCGCCAGGTATTTCAATGGAGCTTTCTAGTTGAAAAACTTGACCGAGGTCTCCTTTAGCAGGTAACCGGAATTTTACGCCGGTATAACTCCCAGCACCAATTAGCTCCCGCGGCTCTATCGAGCAACCATGTCTTAGCACCTACTTCGGCGTTGTACGTATGTAGGATGGTGGTGGATAGCTATATAGATATAGTTATTGGTACTTGGTCGTAGCCCTTCCGCGATGTGCTCCAAGACTTGCCATTTCGCTTTGAGAATAACAGAAAAATGATTGGGCATATGCGGTGTCCCAAGAAAAATACATGCAAGTTGATGTCAACTCTGCATGATGCATGGAGTGCTTTACAGCCACCAGAGATGTCAAATGAGATTAAGTTTGGGTATGCGGGCGGGCCGCTGAACGTGAGGTTCCATCCCGGCGCACCATTTGGAACAATATATTTCCCATTCTAATTACGTAATATGACTTTATTTTCCAAACTCAATTGGATGGATGGTCTACGAAAAACCGGAGAGGAATACAGAGACTCGTCTGACTAAAGAGGATATAAAATACAACTTGATAGTTTCATATAGTTACAGACTCGAACGGACAAAGGAAATAAAGAGGAGGTGAACAAAAGAGAAAAGGGAGAAAATGGATTGTCAGCGCGTCATTCTAGACAGCCATATTCCACGGTCTATAACTTTCGACTTTTGGTTCGCTCAATGATTGTAAGGTATATAATTTACAGCTTTGCGCCGACAAGCTTGGCGTAGCCTTCGGTGCTGAAACTCTTTGGACGCTCGATAGGGGAGCCGAGGGCGCGGTCGATGATGAGCTGAGGAAGGACACCAAGGGCACGAGAGACACCGAAGAGGACGGTGTAGTAGCTGGCCTCGGTCAGGCCGTAGTACTGGAGGAGAACACCAGAGTGCTATTCCATGTTAGAATTGTTCAATTTTAGGGGAAATATAGCATTCAAACTTACAGCATCGACGTTGGGGTAGGGGTTCTTGGTCTTTCCGTGTTCGGTCAAGACACCAGGAGCGATCTTGTAGACCTGACTGACGAGCTTGAAGAGTGGGTCCTCAGGCAAGTGACGGAGGGCGAATTCACGCTGAGACACGTAGCGGGGGTCGGTCTTGCGGAGAACGGCGTGGCCGTATCCGGGGACGACCTGGCCGGCGTTAAGGGTAGACCAGAGGTAGTCCTTGATGGCCTGGTCGCTCAAGTCGTTGCCAATGGCCTTCTGCATCTTGTGAAGCCAGTTCAAAACTTCCTGGTTGGCCCTGTGGACGGATTAGTCCAAATGATATGGCTATGGTTACGTTATGAAAGATGACTTACAATCCGTGGAGAGGACCGGCGAGACCGTTAAGACCGGCGGCAAGAGAGAGCATGGGAGAGCTCAAGGCAGATCCAACCAAGTGAGTGGTGTGGGCACTAACGTTACCACCCTCGTGGTCGGAGTGGATGGTAAGGTAAAGGCGCATCAACTCTACGAAGTCGGCGTTGTCACCGTAGCCAAGCTGGTTGGCCAAGTTGAAGCCATAATCCTTGTCCTTTTGGACGGGAGCGACCTTTCCGTCCTTGAAGACGTTGCGGTAGATACGGGCAGCAATGGTGGGCAGCTTGGCAATCAAGTCCATGGAGTCCTCGAAGGTGTACTGCCAGTAGTCCTTCTTGTTCATGCCCTTAGCATAGGCCTTGGCAAAGGCAGACTCATGCTCAAGAGCGGTGACAGCGAGGGAGAACTGGGCCATTGGGTGGAGGTCAGATGGGCAGCGGTCGATGAGTTCCTCAATGAACTTGGGGACATCGGAACGGGCAGCCCACTCAGCAGAGAGGTCGCGAACTTGTTGCTCGGTTGGGACCTCACCGGTAAGCAACAGCCAGAAGAGGCCTATCAGCTTGTTAGACCTCCGTGTTTCAGACACGTTTTCCATCCGTCTGATCTATACACACCTTCTGGCAATGGCTCCTGGCCGCCTGGCGCCTTGGGGAGGAGTTTCTGGCACTCAGGAATCTAGTTATCCACAGTTAGTTGAGATATCCTAAGACAGCTATTTGTCCATCTAGATAAAAAAAAAAAGGAAAGAAAAGAAAAACTTACGGTCTTTCCACGGAAGCGAATACCCTCCTCAGAGTCGAGAATAGATCCCTAAAGCGCAGAGTTAGGCTCTATTGCCATACTAAACCGGGTCCAGCACCCTCCTTACCTCCCAGACGAGGGACTTGATGCCACGGGCGCCACCATAGACCTGGTCGAGGGTCACCTCACCAAGGACCTTGTGTCCATGCTCCCTGTAGATTGTAAAGGGCCGTCATCAGCGATGCTCTCCAGACTTCTCAATGTCTCGATACTGTTCTTGGGGTGTGAACTTTACATACTTTCGGAGCTTCTTGACCTGCTCAATCTTCTCTGGTATCTGGGCGGCGAAGGTCTCCTTGAGGGTCTATAGGTAAACAACCACTTGTTAGTAAACTAAACCATCGTGTATGCAAGCATACTCAATTCTGGAATTGGGTACGTACAGGAGCCTTGGAAGAGTACTGTCGGAGAGCATTGCGACCAGCAGCCTGGATAACTGGCTTGGAAGCCATGGAGGTGGATCGGAGAGCAGCGCTCCCTAGTCTGAGTGAAGCGGCCATACCAGCGGCTGATAGAAGATAGTGTACAGGGGACGAATTAGAAGTACACGGCGAGGGGAAGACTTGTTCGAGGGTTGAGATGAACTTGAAGCTGTGAAGTTGAAGAGGAAGAGAAGGAGAAGAAGTTTTGCTTTTGCTTGTGAGGGTATTGTCGGGACCGAAAAACGTGACCAGCTGGAATTACAAGGGCTGGTCTCGCAGTTCCTGGCCGTCATGTATTGTCACGACGTCTTTTTACTCTCCCGGTATTTTGTTGGGCCCAGCAATCTTTTCATCGCTTTTTTCTTCTCCTTTTTGTGCCGGTGATGCATGGAGTTCGGAGGTAATAAGGGGCAAGGCTGGCTGTCCAGGCATCAGTTGGCTTGCTTCCCTCAACCATTGAGCGATAGACAGCCTCGGAGGCAGCTGAGGGACAAAGGCTGTAATGATGCAAGTTGCTGCTGTCGTTATAGAACATGGCAGCGCTGTGCCGAGGCTCAGAGATAGAGTTATGCGATATAGATGCAATGCACATATTATTATGGAGATGGGCTATTATTATCATTATAGCTGCAGCGATATTTTATGCTGTTTTCATCTCCACGGCATCCATGTCCCATCTGAGGTAAACCTGTCTAGAATGTGAATAATGCATACAGACTGTGGGGAGTGTGTTAAAAATCCAAGGTCTGCATCCCTGGCAGCTCGTCCCCGGTGAGACCCTTCTCCCTCAGCAGCACTGCTCTTCTCTCTAGATACGCCTTGTAAGGAGCTTTAGGAATTGTCTTCTCCTTGTCCTCCCATGGCTGGTATTGGACCTGCTCCCATACTTCCAGTTGATCCATGAACCCCGGGTTGGGCCGGATCTTCCGTTTTCCTTTCACCTCAGCGAGGACAGCGTCGCGGCTTTTGCCATATTTCCGCATCAGATAGGCTATCACCATGGTAGGAGAGCGAGATACCCCCCCCTCACAGTGCACAAGAACGACACTACCGCCAAGGACTGCCTGGTGACCCCCATGTCCACCCGGTCTCCCGAACTTTCAATGTACTAGCTGAAGGTTCACGTTTGTGCTATGGTATCCGACTGGCGTGAAATCTGGGAGCTAGTTGGATCCAAAATTGCCTTCATATCCACTATCCACTGGGCTTGCAGTTGAATTTCGAGGAGTAGCGTACACTTCATCGAGGAAATCACAGAAGATATTCATGTGTTTGATGAGATCCTGGGTCTCTGTGTCGTCGCACCGTATCCAGAGATGATGCTTGACGTGTCGTTTGAACTTTTGTTGCTGCCACAGTGAGCAGCCGTTTCCAACCAGCGAGACCACCCCGGATATGTGGTTATCTCGTAGGATAAATTCCTGGTAAGTATTGAGAACATCTGCAACATAGAGACCAGGCTCTATTTCAGGGGGCGGGCGGACATCGTAGAGGACCATATTGACAGACAGGTAGAGCAACGGATGCTGAGAACTCTTCTTAGTATATTAAAGTATTACCTCAAGGAAGAGAATTAGAGGTGAGCAGTCTTAAACAATAGAAACTTACAGTTAATATGTAATGACGAGGTTGAGAACTACTCGGGAAAAAATGTGATTGGTGATAGTTAACTTAGTTAATTAGTTTGTAAGATAATACTTGTACAAAATTATCGGGGGAAAAAGGCAAAAGTGCAAAAGAAAGTGTGATTAACTTTTAGAGGTGGTTAAATGCCTATAACCAAGATATTGAGAGGAAATGGCTGTTGAATTACCGATAACTTAGTTACAGTTTCCTATATTTCATTGCTAGATTTTGATTTGTCCAAGTTATCATAACTCGAGAGGGATTAATTATAATACTGTTTATCATGTAAATAAAAGGTGCCGTGTAAATGTGCTATTTATCAGGAAAGGTACAATTGTAAAACCAGGGTGATTCATTGAATACGCTATTGTTGCATTTACAAGAATCGAGTAATGAAGTCTTGTCCTCAAGCAGGACAGTGTTCCTATAGAACACAAGAGGACCGAGAGCACAAACTGCATATATAAACCCTTCAAGCCTATATGGAAATGACAAAAAGTTGCAATCTCAAAGCATACTTCAAACTGGGCACCATAACTATCATCTTAACAAAACACCATCTTGTCTAGCAGCAAAGGATGGCCGACATGCAACGAGAAATCGACCTTTGCATCGAGCTAATCGAGGATGCTCTCGGTCAGGAATACGATGCTGATGAAGACACAAAAACACTTATCACTGAAATTCCCGAAAAGATTCTCCAAAGGTCGTTTGTTGCGTTGCGTGCTCAGTCTGAATCCGGCACCCACTATGTGGACATGAGACGGCCAGACATCAAAAGAGTTTTCTCTTGCGCCTGGCAGCGAATGGTCCAACCTGCATGGAGTCATATGATGGTATTAAGTATGGGTTTACTATGGGTAAGTTTCAGACACTCAGATTCCAGGTGAACATTGCTAATAATTGACAATTACAATCTAGAAAACTTGTCGAGGGAGTCGACGCCTATGTCGACATTGAGTTAAACGAGATGCAAATGTCTGACTATTACGTAATCATCACATGATCATAATTTCCTGTTTAGGTTAGTCCAAGACAGCCAATACCTTCTCCTTGAAACTTGCGAGGGAGAAAAACCCTTTTTCACCAACTCTTGACAACTCCTGTCTTCGTCACCTTTTATTTCTTCTCTCAATATTTTTCATCTTCTAATATTAGCAGACAGGCTGTCTTATCGCTCGTATCTGGCCTGCTTGGATTTTTCCTTTCTCCTTGCTTGAAACTGATAGTGGAACCTCGGCCGTAGGCTTTTTTTTCTCTGAGCCTGCTGCTTGTGGCTGGGACTGTAGTGACAAGATCACCCGTCGAGCGTCAAATAGAGACCTTATCTACTGGATCACGGATAGCTTTCCTACTCTCAGTAGATACAAGATACAACATAGTGTGGAATCTTCCGGTCCCAAAGAACCTGCAGATACCAGCCCAAAACCAGCCATATTTGCAAGTACTAGCTTTTACATCCTATTCACATAAAATCGGTAGCAGCCTCTATCAGCCATGTCTTCTGCAGTAGCAGAGCTGGATGGCTATCTCCATTCTATGCTTTCCTTGAAGCCCCCTGGTGTGTCTGGATCCAAAATTAACGGCATCACTTCATTGTGTACTGCCAATGTTCAGGTTAGTCATACGCAATACTGTCCTGACACTCTCACTTCTTGCAAGCTCTTTATGACTAGAAGGACCCTAACTAACTTCTTTCTTCTCTTCTCTATATAGTCCGAATCGGTGTTGATACAAAAAATCTATACCCATTTTAAGCGAGCACCAGGGACACACAAGTTGGGCGTACTCTATGTCGTAGACTCTGTAACTCGACAATGGGTAGAATTAGCACGCAAGGCTGGCCAGCAGATTGGCGGCAGTGCTCCAGATGGAACGTATGCTGCAGGCGTTAACCGAGTGACCGAGCTTCTCCCAGTCCTCATGACTGATATCATAAACAATGCTCCTGAAGACCAAAAGGTACGCGTACTCTTAGACATGAATCAGACTCAATATCTCCTGCAAGGTGGAAAACAAAAACTCCCCTGCAGTGCAGAATATGATAGACCTAGGCATCCGCCAGCATGGCGTTGCCTTAAGACGCCTAAATCACCGTATCACAAAACTCCTTTTTCCCCCTTATACTTGTGACTTTATATCCGCTGCCCTTCTTGAACAATAGGTCATATATCATGCTGTGGCTGAATAATTCCCACTTACGTATATCCGTTTTTTTTTTTTTAATTTAGGACAAAATCAAAAAGTTGGTGGACATCTGGGAGCGAGGATACACATTTCCAGCTCCCATGCTCCAATCGTTCAAAGACAAGCTAAATGCTCCAGTATCTCAAAGTAAGAAAATGCCCCCTTGGAAAAATGCCCTCTGAGTTCATCCCCATTGGTTTTAGAGAAGTGGTTTTTAATACAGCCATGGGATTCTATACTTGGGGTAACTCGAATGGCTGTAAGTTATAATAATGGACGAACATTTTTTTCTAATGTACACGCAACTTTCTTAGACGTTGAATCCACAACACCAGAAGGGTCTCCGGCTCCAAATTCCTTTGCGTTCGGTGGATCAGGCCAACAGCCGGCTCCGGCAGCTCCTGCTGGAGGTGCTGCTGTTCCTGATACATCAAGCATTTTGAAAGCACTTGCTGAAATGGCAAAGCAAAACACAGCCGCCCCAGTCGCTCCCGCCGTCCCAGCAACACAGACTAGCACAAGTAATTTATTAAACACACAGGCTGCAGTCCCGCAAACAAATGCACCGCCTGTAGACCAGGCTGCACTTCAATCTAACGGGCAGTCCGTAAACCCCTTTGCTGGAAATCTTGCCGCCCAATTCCCAGGTCTGGCCAATACCGCCCAAAACATGTTCCAAAACCAACCCCAAGGTCAGGCTGCAGGTGCAGGCGCAGGTGCAGGTGCTTATCCTGGTCAGAATCCGCTTGCACAATTGATACAGCAGCAGCAACCTCAGCAGCAACAGCCAGCCGCCCCAACTCCTGTTACTCCAGACCCCCTTCAACAGTTAAATCTGATCCAGCTTCTTGCTGCACAGGGTATTCCACAGGAACAGTGGGCTACAGCTCTTCAAATTTTAAATCTTTCCAACGCAGCCAACGCAGGTGGAATGGGTAATATGAATCCTGCTGCACTGGCAGCCTTTGGCCAGATGCCCGCAGCGAATCAGAATGCTTGGGGGGCAAATGCGCAGCAGCCCGAGAACTCATCACGTGACAGAGACCGGGACACCCGCTCTCCACCAGGCCAGTATCGTCGCCGTTCACGGTCTCCTGGATGGGATAGACGGCGTGATGTCTCTCCTCCTCGTCGGCGCGATAGCCCTGTGTATGGTGAATATCATGGTGACTCTCCTGGCCGTAGCCGCGGTGAGCACGGCAGAGGAGGCCGGCGAGGGAACGAGTACCGCCAGCGCAGTCCACCAGGTAGACGCCGTCGAAGCCCTAGTCCTCGCAAGGAAAGCAACCTCCCTCCTCCGGGACCGAAGTTCATTGACTATGACTATTCCATTGGAGACGGAAACATTAAAGGTTCGTTTATAGATCTCTTTATTAGTCCTATGCGTCTATATGAAACAAGGAGCTAACGTGTAAATTCTATAGTTCTGAGCCGGACATTATTCGTTGGTGGTGTAACGTAAGTACCAGTACATCCTGCTTGTTTATGCCTATGATTTGAAAGATTGTCTTTTTAACACATGGGGTGATTAGCTCAACTGAATCTCATCTCCGATCGCTCTTCTCCCGCTACGGCACGGTTCAGACATGCATTGTCAACAATGACAAACGACATGCGTTCGTCAAGATGGTCAACCGGCGCGATGCCATGAATGCCCGCGAAGGAATGGAGCAGTACAAATCCGGAGACATGCAGCTTAGAGTAAGTCATACATCCGTTTGCCCGCATATAAATAGCCTGGTGGCCTAACCTTGAGTTATTCTAGACACGCTGGGGAGTTGGATTTGGCCCCCGAGACTGCAGTGATTATCATACTGGAGTCAGCATAATACCCGTTGACCGGTTGACTGAAGCCGACCGCAAATGGCTCCTTACTGCAGAGTACGGTGGGACTGGCGGTAAGCCCATCGAGAATGGAATGGTTGTTGAAGAGCCCGATATCGAGATTGGAGCTGGTGTATCTTCCAAGGGTACGTACAAGAACCTAAAAGGCCTGGAACTTTCTACCTTGTGTTTTGCATGTAGACTAACTGAAACAACCAAAACAGCCATCAGCCGACGCATGGCAACCGACCAGGGGGGCAAGCGTGGCCCCCAGTCGAGCCGATATAGCCATGAGCGCTTCCGCCGCAACGAACGCAGCGGCGGTGGTGGTGGCGGAGGAGGAGGAGGAAGCGGTGGTGACGACAGCCACAATAGCGGTAGTGGCAGTGGTAGTGGTGACCATGACCGCGATCGAGACCGTGACTCTGCCTCCGGGCCCAACGCCAATGCTATAGGAGTTCCTCCAGCCGTTCCAGGGTTCGGCTTCTCGTTCCCTGGCATGCCAATGTTCCCGCCTGGGTTCATACTTCCAGGCACGCAGACGTCGACCACCGGACCCCCATCACAGCCTAATGCGCAGGGCCAGTGAATCATAGAAACAGAACGTTGAAACGACCTCCTCCCCCCGTCTCCCATGGGCATCGGTATACCTCCACGGCGTTTTAAAAGAGTCACCAAACCTTCGGTCAAGGAAATGCTTTCTCCCTTAAAAAAACAATCCGAGCTAGTTCGCGGTGTGCCAGTCGCGAATGAACCAGGAAAACCCTCTCTCTGCAACATAATAAATACCCTTTTTTCCCTCGACTTGCTGTTCTCCTTCAACCCAGGCTGGCGTTTGAGCTTACTTTTGCATCCCTTTCTTCTTGCTTCGTGTAATTGATTGATCTGTTCTTCCCTATCTTCTTGTTCCCTTTTCTGGCGTGTCTGTGGCTTTCTCCTTTCATCTTTCTCGCCTTTCCTCCTTTCAAGTCTTGTACAGTACTTAACCTTTTTGCTTCTCTCCATCACCTTACCTGGGGCACACATAATGCAAATCCAATGCAATCGCTATTCTTCAATCATTATCATCATCATCCGTCCCTTCCAGCCGTAAAAAGGGAACGAGCTTAGCTAAGCTTCATCACGTGCAGATCACCTCGTCTTAAACTTGCAGCTTCTCGCAGTGTTTTTTTTTTTTTTTTTGCTCCTGCGCAACCTTGAGAAAGCGTAGGGAAGGACACCGTAAGTACGGAGTATAGGTTGGTATAAAAATAACACACTTGCAGCGTCATAGTAATATAGTCGTACCGAGGGAGGTGAGCAGCAGCAATCCGTCTCCGCGAACGTCATGAGAACAAAAAAGTGGGAACATCGCCACGCTTCACGAAGTGCTTGTTCATTGCTTATCTGTAGCACGAAGGCCACCCCCCCCCCTTCCCCCCCTCCCCCCCAGAGTTAGAGGAAGGGGTGGTCAGATTATTTTTTTTATTAGCCAAATTTGAGGCTCACCTAGCCAAAAAGCGGGGGAGGGAGTCGCAAGGGGATTTATTACTTCCACGTCGCATAACAATCACCGACAACTGGGGCAATGGGGCGCCGTGCGACTTGTAGAGAAAACAAAAGAATTGGGGGGATGCCAGGCCGAAAACCAATCCGACCTGCGCTGCTGACTGATATGCTACTTCTA